ACTTCGGGCTTACAAGATTTTTGCGAGACCTATTCTCGAATATGGTTTAGCGATCTGTATCCTTTTCCGAGCTGACTTGAAGGAACTCGAGGACACCCAACGGTGTTGCCTACGGATGTGTCTCAGGCGCCCTGCTTTTTGCAAGGCAATAGGGACCGCCACTGTGGCCTCACTCGCTGCTCTCCCTTCTATGTCTTCTCGTTTTCTTATTCTACAGGCCAAATTTGTTGGTCGTGCTCATACACTCCCTGCTGATACACTCTTGCGCTGTATTATCCCGCAGCTTCAGACTCGCCGAGGGAATGCGACATGGAACAGGCTACGTCGCAACACCCTCTGGAAAGAAGTCAAGACGATCCAAGCTGAACAAGCACGTTCGTCTTCTCGGAACCAGCCATTGGACCCATTTAAAGTAGCCATCCGAAACCATCTTCAAGGGGAAATAGACAAACGTCTTGCTAGTCGCCACCCACCAGTGACGATTTCACGTGGACTTTGTCGTCCTGTATGGGACCCAATCCTGTTATTGCCGGCCACCAGCAAAGAAAGACATCGTCTTATCCGTTGGCGTATGGCCTGGCTCCCACCCACTCCTTCTGTTGCCTGCCGATGTGGTGACCCCAAAGCCCATCGTGCTCATTTTCTGGTTTGTCCGCGCACGGATTTCTTTATCCAAAGGATCCTGCAAATACTGCCATCGTCACCGCCCGACCAAGTCCATCCCATCGATTTTGCCCTTAATCAGCTCCCCCGCCGACCAAAGGTTAATCTTCGTTACTGGCAACAGCTCTGGCCGATCCTCTTGGAACTCCTCCGGGAGATCGATATTGCAACATCTGACACCGACTTTGAATCAGAACCTCCACCTGGTGAACTACTCCTTAATGCATGTGTGGCACGTCAACAGCCCACAATGCCTCATTCCAATCATTAACGTACCTCTCATCCTTTTCCTCGTCATTATCCTCCGCCCTGGCCATTAATTTGTGCGACTTTGCTCCTTACTTTTTTTACCATTTTGGATTTTTTTTCCTTTTTTCCTTCGTCGATCCTTTCCTTTTTTAGATTTTTTGCTATTTTTTTATTTTCTTTTTTTCCCCTTTTGGGGTTTAGCAACTATATCTTCCCAAAAACCCTTAAAAACACCGAGGCGGCCGAATCAGCCCTTGTGCGACTGGCCATTGCCCTCTGAATAAAATGTTTGAACTACACTACACAACCCTTTTTGGGAATTTAGCAAAAATTACATTTATAAGTATAAATTGTCCGGCAAATTGCGGGTCGGACGTCGTCTATGGTGCGGTGTTGCTGCGGTTATGCGGGCCGGATTTGCGAGTCTGGGTAGGAAAAAATTGGGCGGCATTCACAAAGTTGATTATCATTCAATTATTCATTCTATGTCTTTATATAGTTAATGACGGAAGTCATTTGAATTGGTCGTATTATAGGAAAACGTTTATCATGTAGATATTGTCATTGAATGTCCTATGAACAACGAGTGAAGAAAGAAACGGTAAGTCTTTGAGACTTCTGTCGATAATGGGATGATATTCGTGAATGTAAACTGAGTGATTATTTCATGTCAAGGTTTAGTTCCTGAAGAAAGGTCATTATATCGTTCATTCTCACATATTCGGTTTTGTGTGTGATAAAAACTCAGTATATTTGAACTGCGTCATTATGTATGCGTCTATCCGTGAACATGTACATGATGTGATGAAAGAGGAACGGATGCATAATTTTTTTTATTATACCGAACACGACACTTTGCAAACACTCTTTAATCAGCTACTATCCCGCTTCCCTAACAGCAACAACAAACTACAGACCGAGAGAGCAGAACATTGTAATCTTTGAAATCAACACGCGCTGCTAGTCACTAGGTTAAAAAGACAAAGCCATTGATTTCAAAATGCGCAAAGGTTAATTAAAAATGAAAAGCCCAGTATATATTTCAAGTTAAACTAGCTCCTCTATTAGGGGCAAAAATAACGAGAATGCTTGAACTGTAGTAATCACAGTCAGCTCCAGCTCCTGGATCTTTTTGGGAATAGCTTGTAGGATGATTGTATAATATCCAACGTTCAGCTAAGCCATTAGCTTTTGGGTGATAAGGTGTGGTAAGAGGGTGTACTATCTTTTTCTCAACAACGTATCATAAAATAGCCCATACAAATTCTTTGTTCGCTTTTTGATGTATGGAATCATCACGATCCCTATGTTCGTCAGCACAGTGTTGAGTGCTTTATTCCCAACAACGGGAATTGTTTCTTGATTTTTCTGGAACAAATTGTGAATCACCCAACAGCAAGATATTTTACATATTCTTTTGGAAGTAGCGTATTCAAGATTTTGCCACATTGTATACATTTGCCTTGGATATTTCCAGTTTCTCAGATCCCGATAGATCTACTTTGTCAATGTGGCGGTACACAGCACCAAAACGAGTCAATTGGGCTCTGTCCCTTAAATCCTAGAAATATGGCAGACGACGTTGAGGATACCGACCCACTTGCTCCCATGTCTTCAATTATGGAAGGTATGGGTGTTTCTTTAAAGATCCTCTGACATTGCACGCATTAAGTACATATTTTCCCATTATGTTGCTACCAGTTGGCCGTCCTTCAACCGCCTCCTGAAGAGCTGCGCCAATTGCTCACCGGCCAAGAGGAGATATCCAAAGAATTTATCCATTATATCCGAAAATACAACACCCTTTTTGCATTTACATCAACTGGCGTCGAGGTAATGTACAGTGGCTGTTGTTGCGTTAAGCCGATGCTCAAACCCAGAAAAAGAAAAGATTGTCTACTGAAGTTGATGTGGTATACTGTAGATTGAAGGTTCGTTTTTTCGGCGAAGAAGAATATTGAAATTGTTGGAACTGTTGGCTGATTGCGATTCCAGCAATCGCGAGATGTTCCTTGGGACACCGAGTAGATAAAGATGTGCGCCTTGATGATTTTTGAATAGCAAAGGGTGTACATTCACCAGTTGCGCAGCAAGGAGTCTATTTTCAGCATCATCAGGCGAAAGATGCTTCACAAAGAAGACTTGTCGTGGTAGGCCTGTGCCACAGTTGTGAGTGAATCCTTGGCAGGTGAGCTCGTGCCTGAGGATCAATTCGGTTTCGTGCAAACCACGGAGTCCATGCGGGCGATCTGCAACGGTCTGCGGATTTTCGTCCTCCCGGAACTGTACAACCTGCTCGTTTTCAATGTAGATAGCCAGGCGTTGCGTGCTGGGAATAGTCGCGATCCATGGTGAACGAAAGCAACCGGTGAACGGCCTCGGCACCTGACATCCCATGACGAGCACCGATGAAGTGGGCGATTCCATCCACTTGCCGTCTGACGTTTCTGTCGTTATCGGCACAATACATTGCTGCTGCAGCTCGATTTTACAGGAGTCTTTTCCATGCACGGAAACCTACATTACTCCACATGGACCGTGAAAATTGTGGCGCATCATCAACCAGCAGCTGTATCATAAAATGATGGTAAAAGTTTCCACCGCTAGGGAAACGTGCGTCCATACTCCGTTCGGGACCACTGTGCGGGAAGATCAGCGCATAATGAAGCGCGTCGTAATATTGATGCACTTCACCGATACGTTGCATGCCATGACCTCTTGTTCGAAGCACAATGTCGCGGCTATTATTGGGTATGATCGTACTGTCTACCAGGATCACTCCAACTCCGCTTGCCGTGGATGCGTTGTATCTACGAGCATCAGGAGTGTTTTCCGCGCATATGACCTTGTGTAGGCTATGCGTGTCCACATGTCGCTCAACGTCAGTCAGCGTAGATGTATTTGCCGGCACAAAGATGACAAATCAAATAATCTTGAGCATTCCCGATGAATTTAATTGACTCTGCCAGAAAAAATTGGCTAGCATGGCTAAAAACATGACTGAAATAAACATCATTGCACTCACCTTCTTCGAATGTCAAACTGACTTTTATGTGATCGTAAAGCATTGCTTGTGTGGTACGCCCGATTTGCATTCTAAGCATTTATGTTCCTATTTGTTCCTTGCTTGATGTCGTTGTCATGAAATTGTAACGCGAAGGGGAAAAAAAGCGCAGCGGTGACTTCATGCAACTGACTTCTTTTGTCTTGCGCCATTTCAAAGCGCACCGCATTTAAACTTACATTGTCCAATTTCCTCCAAAAATTTCCTTCACTGCCCACTGTCACCACGCACGAAAGAGAGCTCCTTCAGAGCGATTTGCCTGTTAAACACTTGTCCAAACATCATGAGGGTGCCCTACAGTTCGTCGTATGTGCACTAGATATATTGTGGTTGGTGTATATCATACCATTTGAGAGTATTGACCGTTGAAAATCGGGGAAGAAGCGAGATATTAAATGAGTGAGTCAAAGGTACCTTGTGTATGAATCAGGGTAAAAAGAAAAAACAAATGTGCTACCCTGAGTGTTGTAAAGATCGGAAGAGATATGCTGATATGTTATTTCAGTTATAAGAGTACTTATACTTGAGGGAAACTGTGCTGAAAATCAATTGACCAAAAACAAAACAAAAAAACGGATTTACCAACATCAAAAAATAAGAAAAGAAAACATCACTGCATTTTCGTGCTATACTCGGTCAGAACAACTGCATATACATACCCTAAATTTCAGATGGTATACCACTTCAGCCCAGCAAATAACCAACTACACGCCGTTCAGTGTGGTTCTTGGCTGCGACGCCAAGAGCACCAGCAATTCCCAATTCGGCGTTCTCAGTCTTCCGGTTCTAAGATCGTATCCGTAGCCTCTTCGAGAACGTTTTTATATGCTATTCTAACTGTACTTATTCTAAGATACAATTTGCAAAGCACAAGAGGTCATAGCTAGCAAGTTTGGATTCCAACAATCAACGCGAGGGAATAAACTTTCATTTCGGTTTGCATTGATAACATTCAATTTCCGAAAAACTCGCAATCCCAAGGGCGCGGGAGAATTGAATTCCGGCATCGGTCATATGACTTTTTCGGATATTCCGGAGGTCCGGCCGTGGCGCGTTGCGCTGATACACCTAGGCCGCTGGCACGTCCAGCCCTTCTTCCGCATTGCGTATCAGTCCCAATGGCTGTAAGTTGTCAAAAACATGATATGGATATATGGATAGCTATATTATGCGATGGATGGGAGAGTGGATGGGAAGAATAGTGCAAAAAACGATGAAAAACGGATGGATGGTCATGGAGAGCGAAATTTGGGTAACTAAGGATTATTTTTCTGTTCATGTAGTTGGCTGTCGATTTGTTGAATCCCTCCGTGGAACACGAGAAGCGTTCTCATAAACTTAAGCGTTTGGTTCAATCGCCCAACTCGTACTTCATGGACGTGAAGTGCCCCGGTAAGTGGCTCATATCACTCGTCCCTATTTTACTTTAAATCTCACCCATTGAATTAGGCTGCTTGAACATCAGCACCGTCTTCAGCCATGCTCAAACCGTTGTGCTCTGCTCATCCTGCGGCACTGTTCTCTGCCAGCCCACTGGTGGTCGTGCCCGTTTGACTGAAGGTAAGAAATTAGATCGTTATTATGCAAGGTAAAAGCTGATTAATGGCTTTATATATTTCAATAGGATCGTCGTTCCGCAGAAAGGCCAACTAAATCACCATCGCTAAAAAAATAAATCACGCATTTCGACTCGACTTTTTATGTGTCAGGTTGGCAATCGAGCTAAGATTTGTATACGATGTTGTGTACTGTGTGGAGAAGAGGTTCAGTTTCGTCGCTCACGGCAGTAGTGATGGCTCCGTATGTCTTGTCATAAGGCTCCATTGCTTTGAAATTGGAATGGTTGGATAAACTTCGAGTCAAGTCCTCGGACTTGTCTGTATACAGGACAGCGGGTCGTTTCCGAGGCAGCAGAAAGAGTCGATTCGCTTTCCGATTCGTGACATGACGGCGCACTACACGGATTTTGTTACGCACTGCCCATGAAGAACAACCTCAGTTAATTTGCCAAATTATTTTCGTGCCTGATTTTCTGTGAAAAAGGGCATACCATCAACATAGACGTCCGTTTCATCGATAATTTCCTGTCAATCATCGTTATCAGTGTATGAGTTTGGAGGTCTACATTATGCATTACACTGGATATACCTCTCCGATTAGCTCTTCTATGACATCCTCCAGTGTGATCACGCCTAATGCGCCAGTGCAGCCTCCTGGATCGTTCGATACCAATGCCATATGACCTATGCATCACAAATACAATGAGAATCCAGTTTTTTTTTTTTTTTTTTGATAAACATCTTGCGGGTCCCAATTTGAATTTCCTACTTTTGCCTTCTTGGAAGAAGTTAAGAATATCGAGGCAGCTTGTGTCAGGGCCGGTTTCAGGAAGCGTGCTAATAGGAAGATCCTTGACCGGAAGCCTGTCCTCTGGATCATATTTAATCAAGCGCTTGGTCAACAACATGCCGATGAAATTCGTCTTGTCTTCGGCACTATGGACAGGAATTCGCGAGTAGCCAGCCGTGAGAATCTACGAGAATCAGCTACATCGAGAGAATAACAATGTTTGCAATTTCTTACTTTATCCACGAGAATTTCATCAAGAATACTCTCTATCGACAGCGTAAAGACATCTTCAATCGGAGTCATGATTTGCGATACAGGCTTCGATCGCAGGTCGAGGACTGCACCGATGATGGTAACTTCATCGGCGGTTAAGGCCTCCGCATCACTTGGATTGACGGCTAAATGTAGAGACACCAAAGATTTCAAACCTTATCAAAGCCGATTAGCCGTGCTCTAAACAACAGACTTTGTGGAAGATCATGCCACTTACCTGCTTTCTTGTAAATTGTTCCGTGAGACTCTCCCAGAAAATAGTCCAATAACAGAGCCGTAGGATAAGCAATTGGATACATGAGATACATCAATAACAGTATCAACCTATGCTTCAAATATTATTATATTAGAGAGAAAAGGGATTTTCTGATTTATTACCATGCAGTTTTGGCTCCAATAGCCAAACCATGCCGTACGCAAATGGCTGTAACCGACAAATTAAAGGCTGCCTTTTTCCGACAACTTGCAATTTTCGAAGATGAAACTTACATTGTGGAATCACCCTATAGGTATATTATTAGACTTGATACATCAACAATGTAAACCCAAAAGGAAAGAAAAACAAAAAGGATCAGTTGTCTGCAATTTAAAAGAGGTAACTTACTCGCCAAAGATTACAATGAGAGCGGTAGAAGCTACCACAGCCTGCCATCCTCCACCGAGCACTCCATCAAGAATGATCGGTAATGTTTCATTGATGATAACATTGGACAATAAAAGGGTTACAAGCACCCAATGCTTTCCACGCTCCAATAAAGCCAACACCTTGGAAGCATTTTTCCTCTCCTCTGATGTTCCTGACTCGATAAGCACGTGAAGATTCGTCTCGTCCAAGCCCATAAGGCCGAGCGTAAGTCCTTTACAGAAAGATGCATTGATAAATCCTTGAACACTGCATACAAGTTATACTCAAAGTAAATACCTGCGAAGATACCACCTAGGATTACCAAGGTGCCAATCACAATGATGTGCTCATAGAATGCAGGAGAATCATAACGAGGATACGGCTTCTCCGCTACAACCGGAGTTGGGTAGCCGCGCGTGATGGAAATGAACGAGGCTGCGATCAAGATGATAGATCGTATAGGATATATACGGTAATAGGTTTTTACCATGTAGAAAGGTAAAAGAAAGGAAGACAGCTGTGGAGTTTTCTTATTTTTATTTTTCTTTGTGTTCTGTCATTGACTGAAGTCATTGTTTTTTTTTTTTTTTCGGAAGGATGTCCGTTTGATATTCTCACTCCGCGGAGTGTCCTTTTTCTTACTACGCATGTTTCTTGGCGAATTCTTTTTCTGGCTGTCATTATTTTAAACTTTAATCAGAAGACGTATCCCTTACAACATTCTCTTTTCTAAAAGAGTAATCTATTGTTCTAACGATTAATGTTCATGCATTTGACCTCCTCTGTCCGGGATCCTCATTGACATCCCACCATTGCGCATCACGGCGGTAATAACATGTTTCATTGGTGCGGCATTTCAATTGAACTGCGCCCTGACAGCTTGAAATATTCTGTGATCCCAGGTTGTGCCACATTGATTTGGCGATTTCATAAATAACTGGACCATTACCGTGCATGTTCCGAATTTTCTAAAACCACAGAAGGTAAATTTAAGAACCAGACATTTCACAAGGCCAACGTTATCGTGTGAGACAAACTTTAGTTGTGCCATAATAATTTGCACTGCATAGTATACTAAAATTGTCGCTGATTCATGGGAGACGCGTTCAATGAGGATAGAGTATTAAGCCGCTGTTTGACTTTCGTTTCTAATTATACGAGTCAAATGTTTCTGTTCTTACTCTATGCTCGATGATGCATTTGCCGGTTATCGAATAAAGATAGTAGCGTAGCCATGCCTGACCTATTTATCATTGCGTTAACTCGTTGCTATCGCCCTAAGATGCCTAAACTCAAGAAAAATATTCTAGGAACCTTTCACCTCCTTCGTCGTATTAGCGTTTGTACCACATAGAACCCTGCATCACGAAGGAATAGACGTCGATAATTTTCACTCAAAAGACCAGAGTGCTTGTCTTTGCGTATCTTTTTTTCTTGGTGCTGACTGAAAATCAGAGTTACAAGGTCAGCAGCAGCAAACATGGTTTTTTTTTGGAAGCTTGTGAAGTACCAGGAACAAGTGGCGAGGGAGGATAAAGCCCAAAGCTGCATTATCCACGAGAATGAAGCACTGTTTTCAGCAAAGAGCATTAAGTGATGACATGAGCAGGAACTTGACAGCTCGTATGCCGGAAGTAGTCATTATAGACACAAAACAACATCGACTCCTCTTTTGTTCTATCACGTTCGGCTAATTTTCTTGTTCAAAACTTGTCACTAATGTGATCAATGACCAAAACTGAAATTACTAGCAATCAAAAAGAAAATGCGGTCGAAATGCGATATACTAGACTTCCCAAAAATCGAAAGATCGCAAGGCCTGCGACAGACCAGAGTATAAACGCCATATAACCGTTTGTGCGCTGTTCAAAGTTGCCTGTTACATTATTTTTGATCAATGCATAGTCATATTTCTTTTTGCCCGCATCACATAATACCTAGCCAAGACCTGTTCTGAGCCGTAGAAATGATGACGGCCAAGATGATATTGCTAAGGATCCAGCATACTACTAGACGTGTACGGAAACCGCGATAATAGTCTTCTTGTTTTGTGCGTGGATCACGATGATATTTGACTTTTTCCGGTTTCTGTTGCAAACGACTACAGGCTTCTTCGTACAATAATCTCATATCTTTTTGCTCAGGCATAGCAACTTCCGCCGTCGTCTGGCCTTTTTTGGTTTCGACAATACCAAGATCAATGGCAACAAAATTGATATTCTTTGTACCCCAGCTACATGACACAGTAAATTAATAAATGCGATTTACTTTTTTTTTTTTTCGCCAAGAAAAAACAATGACAGCGGCACTCAATCTCTCTTACCTGACGTCGTGCGTATTACAGAATGCGTATGTATTCAGTACATTAATATAACTGGGTGTCAATAAAAGATACTGAAGCGAGCTTGTGATCATATGCCACGGGTCAAGAAACAATAAACTGGAAAGAAGAAACACCGCATAAGTACTCGCCATGGAAATGATGATGTCTCGAAAAGGACCACTGCCTAGGAGAGACACCACAGAGCCTTCCGAAGACACGACGGCAGAATGAATCGCCGAATATGCTAGCCAAATCGATGCAAATATGATGTAGATCATCAGTAGCGCAAAGAAAAATATGATCATTGTATAAGCGGCTTTCGAACTACCGGCAATAAAAAAAAAACCATTAAAATTATGTCGCATCGACTAGAACCATTTCATCACATGTAAATACCCCTGAGGCCGATTGCCCATTGCAATCAATGACAGAATAATTAACAGAACGATATAAACGTAAGTAAGAGCTGTGTGAACAGTAAAAGCCGTTTCTGAAGAGAATGGAGGATTGTCAATCGTAGACAACGATCTGGTCAGAATGAAAAAGCATAAAAAGAAGTTGCCCTTCCAGATAAACGTTAGGAAAAAACTGGCATGAGATATTTTGATGGGATGATAACCCCTCGCTTCACTTACCAAGGCAAACCAAGAGTAAATCCATGTAAATGAGAGGTAGATAAGCTCTATGAACAACCAGAACTTGCGGGCGACAGAGTGATCGGTTGAGAGAATGTGGCCCCAGTGGAATAATGCATACATGGCCGAAAACATGGAGCCTGTACCGGAAACAGGACGGCACCAACACGTCATCAGCTTATGGCTGGAAAGCAAAATCAAAACCCAGAAATCACTTACCGTTGAGCCATCGACGACGCTGAGCAATGAATTCAGGAACCTTGGTTACAATTAAAGAATTAATCCGTGCAATGACAACTCGCACCAAACGTTGAACTTACCGTACTAGGGACATCTGTCTCCGCATAAGCCCCAGCAACATAATGTAGCACCCAACTAGATCGTTTTTTTGCCACTAATTCATAGCATAGAATACGATCCTCTGCCAGGTACATGTTTGCTTCAAATATACCGGCTTCACTGCCATGCAAATTTTCGCCGAGAAAATACTTTTGTAGCGGTCCGTGCCCATTCACGTCGTTCAGAAGGGCGCTGTAACGATAGGCACTAAATGCACCCGGCAGTACCTGGATGTAGCCTAGCATCGATTCCAAAGGTTTATCGAGAATGTTGGAGATCTTGTATTCAAAATTTTGGCTAGCTACCAGCGGATTGAGCAAATTCCAGCCTGCACGACCCGTCATGGCTCGGATTTCACCACATGCACCACCAACGTTAGGATTCACGTGAAACGTTCGCCATAGTTTATAGATAGAGGTGGGACCTGGCCGTGTACCCACATCAAGTAACATGCAAATATTAGGTCGTAGCAACGGACAGAAAGCTTGGAAAAACCATCGGTGTGAATTGATTTTGCGTTGATTCCTCTCTTTGAGACAAAAAATGATTTGCGTCGGAACAATTTTATCCAAAGCACCTTTAAACTGGAGATGCGGATTTAACGATATTTGCGTTGTGAACTTTTGAAATCAGTGGAGCCATAAATAACCATCAATAAAACGTCCACGCTAGAATGGGTGAATAATTCCACGGTGCAATTACCTCGTAAAGATGAGCTTCTACTGGTTTCGAATTCACAATATTTTTGGCTATGCCTTCTTGATAGACTCCAATGGCTGACAACATATCCAGAACACGTGGATGAACATGGTCACGACCATCAGCAATGATGCATACAACCACTTTTCGCCAACTGTCGATCCCCTAAAGGTATTGCAATGTTTATCATCTCCCGCAAATGAAACTGCTCGCATGGACCTGCTTACCCATGTCTGTGATCTGTGTCTGTTACATAAATGGGAAATGTTTTTCATAACACCGTGTAACGTTCTGCACAATAGCACCTCGTCTTCCTTGGAGCCAAATTAAAGTTAGAAATTTTGTTTCCATGCAAATATTATATTGGCAACTACATTATACATAGTGATGCACAGAAAGAGTTCAGTAGGTGGATCACCTATCAGCTCCTGTCGCAAATGATAACTTCCAGCAAAATCCGCAGGATCAGCGGTAACAGTCGTGTATCGCATATGAGTGAATTCCTTTCTGTCTCTTCTAGGAACAGCTTCCAAATAGCGATTCGATACAGGGCAATCCAATACTAAATTTCCTTTGATAAGTGGAACACGTCTGATGGTGCGGTATCTGCGTGGCTGTCTAGTAGGAGCACGGAAGTAATGTTGATTTGCATGAGATATATACATCGGCATCTCAGTGTTAGACGGTGGTTGATAAAAAGGGGCGAAATAAAACGGTTCCACTCTATTATTCGTTATCGGCGGTTGCTCAGAACCTTGTCTATTATCGAAAGCTGGTCCGTCTGGGAGCGGACGGCCTTCTTCACGCATAGGCGATCCGTTTAACGGATTGTTGGCTGGTCGCTCCATGAGCTCATAATTTTCGTTATGAACTTGATGTGGTGGAGGAAAGGGAGGCTGTTGTTCATTGGTGGAAAATGACATAAAAGTGACCTAGAAGTGCAAAGGGCGACGGGAGGAAGCGGACCAAAGGGATTTTGGACAATGGCCGCCCAATAAATTTACAAGATTGGCTGTGACTGCGATCACATTGAAGTCGTTATATTAGGTGAATGGACGTTTGGAAACAGCGGTCGATCTCCAACATGAAATCCAAGGAAGTACGCGGACTTGCGAAATTATCCAAGGGTATGGCTTCTTGTGCTGCCCAGGCGACAACCTACGGACAATGCATTGCTTCAAAGTACAAGGATGTGCACAAAGACATGTGCGTCAAAGAATTCGAAGCATTCAAATCATGTGTTCAGCATGCGGTAATGTCATTTCTAATCAACGATGATTTCCCACGCATACTGATATCTTGTGATAGTTAAAGCGCTCATGGTAATTTCAAGCCGACTGAATTAAGAGTAAACGGAGCATACAAAAATAGACGGCAACAGAAGCGATTTCCGCGCCAATTTTCTGCATAACAACCACATATTTTCTTCTCCATATCACTTGGATGAAAGCACACAGTTTTTTTGTTGTATTAGAAGAAAAGCGAGGAAAAGAACAAAGACCAGAATGGGAAAATAACAAGTAACAAATGCTTATATTTCGTCGATAAAAGTGCCCAAAAAATCACTGAGCGTTATAACACCGTTAAGTCGACCATCCTGATTGCACCACCATATCCGTTGAGCTTTCCGCAGTACAAACGCTGCCATTATCTGGGACAAAGTAAATCGTTCATGACAAGTGAAAGGAGGGCACAGTTCGCCGTGGCTCGTCTTGAGGTATATGATGACCGGCTTTGCTAAAGTATCGAATCGGTTGCGATTTAAACCACGCAAATCTTTGGGACTGATGTCGGCCACCAAGGTATCCGTATCATCCACGATCGGAAGTGCACCTATTTGCCTGTGGGCCATTTCGACAAACGCATCCAAGGCCGTGGTTTTGAAGTTGATAGAAATGACGGATTGGTCATGGTGACGTCGTGCCAATGCTTTTTCAACAATCGTGGGAACAGTAAGATCCAAAATGGCAGCGCCCAGCTGGTGATTGTGCGAATGTAAATATTTGACAATATCCATCTGTGACAATAGAACGGGAGTGTTCTCGCCTTGCACAAGAACGCGATGACTGTTGTTACTCAACAGTGCAATAACACTTTCCAGTGAATCTGTCGGACGAATAGTAACCAAGCGAGAACTCTCATCCGTCATGCCAATAGCTTCGCTAAGTGGACTGAGCATGATGTCTCGTGTGCTCTGCAGGGTTTCCAAATCGGTCTAATAAAGCAAAATAAATAAAAAACAAGTCAGCTGGATTGGTTTCAGCATCCTATTTGGCGATACTTACATGGTTGCTCAACCACTTCAAAAGGTCTAAAGCGCTCACAATCGTAATGTAATGCTTTTTGTTATTATCGCATCGATACACAGGTACAGAGATGATATCCTCTGCTAAAAGTAGGTCGAGTGTCTCTTCAATGGTTGCCCTCACAGGCAAATCAATCAGTGGACGATAGGGATGTTGTTTGATCGTGGATAATACATTGGCTACGGTCTTGGTGCTTATAAATGAGTGGTGCGCGCTTGAACGCCTTCTGCTATTGTTAATAAGTGGATAGAATTCGGTCATATCGGTTATCAAGAATAAAGAGGTAAAAAAAGGCTTCTTGATGTGGGGGAAGAGGACGCATGAACAAGGATTGAACTTTTTAAGCTGCGAACGAGAGCGTGACAGTTTTTTCGGTCACCAATGAAATTTCATGCAGGGCATCACCGCTGAAGAAAAGCGCTTTGTGCCATGTTTCCCCACAGCATGATTACTATTTCGGGCAAAAAAAAAGAAGTTGTATCATAACATATTTTTGTCCGTTTGTCTTTCTAGACATTATGAGCGACACAGTATCCGCTTGCAACGAACCCACCGTTATTCGTCAGGTGTACTTGCTGATTTTTAAATTTATGTTCACAAAAATCCGTAATAAAATATCCAAATCGATATGATGTTTACCATAATTTGAGGCCCATTCAGAGAGGTATTTGTATGATCTCGTGATGACAACTACAGTATGTTTTCCTTTAGGAGCACAAAGAAGCCAAACCGTGGAAATTTCTGCTGAATAGAAATAAGCAGTCACTTTCGTCGTATCCGATATGGCATGGATCGTGTGTTTGGCCACTCGGGCTCGCCCGGTTTCCATTTACAACTCCCATGGCAAACGACGCAGCAGCCAAGTGCCCTGTTGAACAGGAGGCCAAGGCACCAAGCAATCCCGGACAATGCCCCGTTGATCATTCTAAAATGAAGAAAGAAGCTTCTTCTGTTCCTCCGAACGCTGCCAAATGCCCTGTAGATCATTCTAATCATGGCTCGACACCATCGGCGCAAGATCAACCCAAATGCCCTGTGGATCCATCGGCTTATAAGCATTTCCTACCACCAACGGCTGATAATAGCGAAACCGAGAAGTGCCCTGTGGATCCTTCTGCCTACAAACACTTTCTGCCGCAGGCCAGTCCTTCGGACAAAGGTTGTGATTCTGACACTTTCAACGAGAGCAATTACATGCCCAACATTTCGCAAACACAACAGTCGGATCAAAAAATGCCTCTGGGCCTTGACCGAGAAACTTCAACGATTCCTCGAGCCCAGGGATCGGAAAGTAAATGGATCTACCCTTCTGAGCAAATGTTCTTCAATGCTATGCGCCGAAAAAACTGGGATCCAAAAGAAGAAGATATGCCAGTGGTCGTACCGATTCATAACGCTGTAAATGAACAAGCATGGCAGAAAATCCTTGAATGGGAAAGCATGCATCAGACGTAAGTGGTTTATTGATAGTCAGCATAGGCCAGCGTTACTGAGTAGGTTTTTTTATTTTTTCATTCAGAGAATGCAATCAGCCAAAGTTACTGAAGTTCCAGGGTCGGCCGAAAGACATCACACCAAAGGCACGGTTCCGATCATTGTTCGGGTAAGAAAAGTTGGTATGCTGTTATTCAATGAATAATATACTGATACGTTTTTCTCCAGATATACTCTTCCTTTTGATCGTCATGACTGGACAGTGGATCGTTGTGGTGAGAGAGTAACGTATGTAATTGATTTCTATACGGGCAAGAGAGATCCGCGACGACCAGAGGCAGTAAGCTTCTATTTGGATGTCAGACCAGGTTTAAGTCCAGGCGGCATATGGGATCGCATCAAGATGTCATGGAAAAAGGGAGAATTTGTTTAATCAGTAATTAAAAAAGGAATGTCTGAGTTTCTCACTCAGGATATTCGTTCGTTTCGGTTTTCTTTGCAAATGGGAACGGGTGTTCATTATTGTTTAGTTCCATATGAATCAACACGTTCGGAAATGTTGATTGAGGCAAGTCCACATCGTGCTGCAATTGTGGGATTTTGAGCACCGCATGGATTTTCTGCTTCGAATATCAAATCGTGCTCGAGGGCGAGTAATGAGGATGAAAGATGGAAAGGTCGAAAAAAAAGATACAGGACTGTAAAATATTTTAATTATGATAGTTCAACCACTTAAAATTAAGGAAAAGAAATGAAAGGACATATAGAGGCGGCAAATATCAATTTGACTCTGTGCTATATAAATTACGCATCGTCTTAGAATCAACAGCCTACCTAGAAAAGGTCTGCAGTCCATTGACCTTTTGCAGCCATCCAAAAGACAGCCAGACGTCATAACTGTAATCTAAGACAAAGATCGAAAAGATAAAAAAAAATATGTAAAAGTATATGCAGCATGGGAACTTGTATCCATCGGAACGCTTTCTTTTGGGAGGGGGCAGGTTGAAAGATTCCCCTTTTTGCAGTGGAGGGATGCTTTCCGGCGGCCTGTGAATTACCGCTCACTGCATCAAATGAGACTCCGCACGAAGTGGTGGCTTGACGGCCAAAGTGAGACTGACCAAATGCGGAAACCGCCCGTAAACACAGCTTGATTTTCTTTTTCTTACCCGCAAAGACGATCCACGCTTAAGATCCGTTAAAGAGCATGGCCGAATCAAAGAAACCCAAATCCGATGGATTGGACGAAGCCCATGTCGAGAATGAAGAAAAATATCTTCGCGGCAAATCAGTTTCTTACAAAGTAGGACAAATACGACGTTCGATCTACACGAGATCCATGATAGTTAACCGGATCTATTAGAAAATCAAAGATAAAAAGTTAAAGGGAAAGCTTCGAAAGCAAGAAGATGAAATTCGTGAAGCTGCTCGTGCCGCTGCTCGAGCTGAACTTCTGCTCGGTGAAGAAGCAGGGTTCCTGGAAGCTGAAGGTATCGAACGAACTTACAAATTCCAACAAGATCAACTCAAAGATGCCGTCGATGTCAATACCGCAAATAAAGTAAGTCGTCGAAGTACATTCAACAATGGGTCTTTTGGCATCGTTTGTTAACCAACCATTGTAGATTTTTACTTTGGATTTACCGGAATTCGGTCCATATGCAGTCGATTATACCAGAAATGGCCGGTAAGATCCATCGCAGCGACGCATTGCCGAGAATGCATTATTGACAGAAACTTGAATTTTTTTTTTATTTAGGCATCTTCTCATCGGTGGCAAAAAAGGACATATCGCTGCATTCGATTGGCAAACAAGCAAACTTCACTTTGAGACTCATGTCAAGGAAATCGTGCGCGATGTCAAGTAAGTTGATGTCGAACTCGTGAGGGGGGAATGGACATAACTGACGGTTGGTTTGTGATTGTAGGTGGCTGCATAACGAGACGATGTTGGCTGTCGCACAAAAAAAATACGTTTATATCTACGATCATACCGGTTTGGAAATCCATCGTTTGAAGGATCATATCGAAGTGAACAAGTTGGAATTTTTACCCTACCATTACTTGCTGGCGACAGTTGTAAGTAATTAGAAATGAAGAATACATCGGTAAATATGTCAATTAATTAAGCATTGATTTAGGGCAATGCAGGTTATCTCAAATATCAGGATACATCCACCGGTCAGCTGGTATCAGAACACAGAACCAAATTGGGTCCATGTAAAGCTATGGCGCAAAATCCATACAATGCTGTTCTTCATCTCGGCCACAGCAATGGTAAAGTAGATCCACTTATATCAAAGATGGGCTTTTTTGGGATATTGACTGTAAGCTTAGGTACGGTGACTTTGTGGTCTCCAACCATGTCAGCGCCATTAGTGAAAATGTTGTGTCATAAGGGACCGGTACAATCCGTGGCAGTGGACAATTCCGGGCGCTATATGGCGACTTCTGGTCTGGATGGTCAATTGAAAATCTGGGATATCCGAAAATTCGAGGAATTACAGAGTTATTATACGCCTCGACCTGCAACATCTCTTTCAATTTCACAAAAAGGTCTTCTCGGTGTTGGTTGGAGTACACATGTATCAGTAAGTTGTGTAGTTATATCGCTCGATGTTTTCGCCGGATTGTTTAACCGTGACATTATTCTTTGTACTCAGATCTGGAAAGATGCTTTCCTTACAAAGCAAGAATCACCATATATGAATCATTTGCAGCCTTCTTCGGCCATTTTCGATGTGCAGTTCTGCCCATATGAAGATGTACTTGGTTTCGGCCACGAAAAGGGTATCTCCAGCATCGTGGTGCCAGGTATGTGTCGATTACGTGTGATGATGAAAAAGAGAAAGCCGCAATAAAGTACTAATCCATGTATGATGTTACAGGTGCTGGTGAACCGAACTTTGATTCTTTGGAAGCTAATCCATTCCAGACCAAGAAGCAGAGACAAGAAGCTGAAGTTCACAGTTTGCTTGACAAGCTTCAGCCTGAAATGATTGTGCTGGATCCTACCCAGATCGGCAAAGTTACCAAGGTTACTAAAGAAGAATTGAAGAAACGACGGTTAGAGGAAATGGAGGAGAAGGGCCCTGACACTCCTGCGAAGGAAAAGAAGAAGATGCGAGGAAGAAATTCCGCACTGAAACGACATTTGCGTAAAAAGAACAAGAACGTTATGGATCAGCGCAAGGTATGTGGTCATTGCTCCGTTGAATTTTGGAATATACAAGTCGCATTAAACATTAAACATTAAACATTATGATTTCTTTTACAGATGGAATTACTGGAGAAAATCGGCGCCGAAAAAGAGAAACGGGCGGCAGAACAGAAGCCCAAAACATTCACCACACTCGACATTTTCTAGACAAGCGTTTCATTGCATTTTTTTTTTTATTCTTCAAAAAAATTCATTGTTTTCTCCTCCTTTTTTTCCCCCTTTTTTTTTTACAATAATAGAAGGAGAATCGAAAGATGTAATAATAAGACATGATCACCCCGCAGAGTATATAATGTGATAACCGAGAAAGAACAGGAAGAAAACGAAGGAAAAAGAATTACACAAATAAGTATAGAAATAAACATTATATGAACTAGGTAGGGAAAGAAAAAGATACGGTCGCTGCTATAAGCAAAGAAGAAAGAAAAAAGACGGTAAGGAAAGACAAGAACGAAGATCCGCAGAAAACAAAAATAAGAGGGTCGGGTCCTTTTTTCACATCAGCACACATCCACAACAACTGCTGTTCTGGCTGTCCTCTTCCACGGCGAAATGTTCGCGATGACCCCCTTTTGCTCGATGCTCCTGTTCTTTGTTCATGCGACGGATTTCTCGTACCACTTCGTAAAAGATGTCATCCACTCTGATACGCTGCTTTGCGGACGTTTCATGGAACGGACAACCGAACTGTTTAGCAAGGTCGCGGCCCTCTAATTCAAGGAAACCAATCAATAAAAATCCAGTATACAAGGCCGTCGTTCATGATCAGCAGATGGAGACTGAATGGTGACGGTGATGATGATAAGAACCGTTCTATATTTACCTTGGCTGGAGACCTGTCTGTCACCTTCAAGATCACATTTGTTACCAACTAATACCATGGGGAAAAAGTCGCGATCCTTTACGCGCTGGATTTGCTGGTAGAAGGTGTTGATCTCTTCGAAGGAAAGTCGTGATGTTATAGAGTACACAAGAATGAAGCCTTCGCCGTTGCGCATATATTGCTCTCTCATAGCACTGCACAAAGCTTTGTCAACCATGATCCTGTTTGCCTTCGAACAAATATCGACGTACCTGTATTCTTCTTGACCAGCTGTATCCAATACATCCAACAAAGCGGTCTCATCATCGATTACACATTGCTTTCGGTATGAATCTGGATATTTTTCATATGTCAAAGGTGGAAGTAAAAAATCAGACGGTATTAGACAAGCGAGCATACCTTCGATGGTTGGATCGTATTCATCCACAAAATGGGACTGAATAAATTGGATGGTTAGGGCGGATTTACCGACGCCTAAGGTTCATATTCCGATCAATACTGTGTTGCTGTGAAGCTCCTAAAGTCACTGCAACTTACCGCCTCCACCGACAATGACAATTTTGTACCTGAACAACGAAACAACAGTAAATAAGGGTTCGATAATAAAAGTGGCCGTGTTGTTTTCAGTTCACGGTTCCTGATTGTTCAATGAACGGGTCTTCTAGAAGAACAAGGATACTCACTCTCGTAAGAACGATGCTTTGGACATTGTGTATAATATGAACAGGCTATTCGCTAATGTAACGATTCGAGCGTGAAATGAAGAACCGAATATCTAATAGATGAGGTGGATGGTCGCAGATTGACGGGAAGTAAATAGCCACAAGAAGAAGAAAACAGTAGCAAAATAAACGAAAAGGGAAAAAAAAATATCACCCAAGAAACCCAAAAAAAAAAAAAAATGAAACTTCACTCGGTTCAAGCTGGGGGAGATCGCAAAAGAGCTTGTTTGATATTTGTGACACAAAATACTTCAATTCGGGAAATGCAACGCATGCCCATCTTTTTTCCACGGATTCAGTATGATAATGTAAGCCATGATTTACAGCCGTTTTCTATAAGAACATTTCGCCACGTGGGGTTCATTTACGATCCTAGGCCCTGAAAGATGAGGATCCGTGTTATCTCACTGTGCAAGGAGTATCCACGGTACCATGATTACGGTAATCCCATTCCGAATTTTTTTTATTTATACCGTATAGTACCGTGTACCTGATGGTGCAATTCCTCATTCCATCATATCATCGTCTCCGTAGACCATGATTAATTCAATAAGAAAGATCTGACGAGGATTTTTTCTTAGTGTGACAAGCGCCCATGGTATGATTTCCTGGATTGAGCGTAAACTGTGCGATAATGAAATGGTATGATAAGGGCGTTGACTGACAAAATACACCTCGCTTATCATTCAGGAGACGATGGCTCTTTCATTCTTTCAAAAATAGCAGCCCAATAGATCGTACTCTCATAAAGATCCATCCTATAAATAATATTATCCGAGCCTGCAGCATAGGAAAATGTCTGCTAAACAAAAAAAGGAATAGCAGATCTTCCTGAGTCATTAACCCAGAGAGGATTCTCTATATTCTCAAGTCGTGCATGATGAAACAAATCAGTTATCGCAGAGTCTTCTGCGATATACTGCATCTACATGGTACAAATATATATTATTGCCTGCAAGATGGCAATTGACAGAACGCACATGAATGGTGCATTTGAATAATTATAATATAAAGGCACTACACCGCTTGGAAAAAAAACTGCCACGGAGGTAGCCAAAGCAAAAAGAGCTTTGACAGATGTATTTCCAATAATTAATCAATGGCACTGAAATATAAATCATACATCTTTGCATTTATATAATTTCACATGAGAACACTATCTAGATAGCCTATTTGCTCCAAAGCCTCATGCCTTGTAACAACTATTCACTTTTTAATTATGCTTGTCCTACGGTATGCGGTCATTACAATCTCAATCGAGGCACATGACCAACGCGATATTCTTACCGTCATGTGGCTATTGAATATGTGCAAAAAGAGGACGCCGGCGCAAGGATCAAGGTAAATCCAGTCGTACCGAATAAGTCCATACCGCTTTTTTGATTCGTCATTGAAGAGAATTAAATGCGCGAAATCGACAAAAGCTTTTGGTCACAGCGTCGACGTGGCAGGGTCGACGTGAGCGCAATAATTTCGTATGCTTTTTCGTAATAATAAACATCTACGCTAAACCTACTTGCGTGTCTCCATCACTGTATACTTAGCTGTGGATAGCTTTACCATGGACATGCCAAAAGATAAATTCATTTGCTCTGTTGCCTTCTAGTACAGTTACAGTATCGTTCGATTTTTAGAATAAAGCAGCACTTTTTTGGGTTCCCGCCTAAATCAGGCGGTGATTGTAACGATTTGAAAGGATACAGACTTGTACTTTGTGATTGAGAAGTAGCAAACCTGCAACTGACAGCTGATGGCAAATTCTAATGATTAAATTAATTAAACAAATGCTATCACCCAAGGATGATATTTTACCCACACCGCAAACCACTGTAGTGTTTTTAGAGTGTCATTGCGGTTAAATAATGTGATGCTTCAGTATGGGGAAAACAAGTATATCAGGTGTAAGGAATAGTGAGGGATGCAAACTTTGATTTTTTTCAATGGGATGACATACTCATTCCAGTTTACATTGGGTGGCCCATATTAAAAAGCCCAAGTTGTCATGAGACTTGACGCCGCATTTTCAAATCCCTTTGTTTTTATAGTGTTTTCGTTCTTTTCTCTCCTTTCTCAATTAGGTTACTGACCTTTGCAAAGATAACCTGACAGGTTCACTTGTTAATGTCAGATTGTCGCGAAGACTTATTTATGCAACTGAAATCCTTCTGTGTCACCAGCGTTTCCTTTCCATGTTTTATATCCCGCTATTTATCGCTTGTTGTGTGTTAGCAGTCAGTAACGCACGTATAGCCTACATGACGCCGATATTCGACCCCGAGCTAATCGCCAACCCTTTCGTGCATGACGGTCGTATCCGCTACCATGGTAGCCGCTATGTTTTGCTTGACAAACAGCCATGAATAACTCCTTTAGCGTTTTCTCCATACTGTAAAACATTGGGTATCATGACAACCAACAACCCTATTGATATTGTATTATAACTTGCGAACCCCATTATGTTTGTCTGATATTGTAATTTTATTCATCACACAATTTCCAGAATGACCCGTCATTCGATAAATATGTCAGTCTATCGAATCACATGAATCAGTTTCAAAAAAAGAAGACTAACGAGTTCGACCAGGAAATATCATAAGCTGTTTCTAGCTTAGTTCAAAACCAGCGTTTGAATGGATGACTATCATACAGTTTCGTTTTAGTATTATAATTCGGATGATGCATCGCATTGTAAATGGGACTTACCATAGCACAGCTTTTCTCTTAACAAAGACTTTTTAGTGTACGCTAAGTAAAATAAGAAGTTTAAGACCTGAGTACGCACCCCAACGCTATCATATGTCTAAGAGGCCTACCTGGCAGCTTCAATAGGTTGAAACTATTAAGAGCAGCAGTTAGTACTATGTAATGAGCCAAAAGAAAATTGGATCCTACCATGTCGAGCTGGTCGGTAACCAGCCATTTTTATTGTCTCTTCCTTTAAACAAGGATTTTACCAATTTGACTCTGGTGTTGCCGGTATTTGAAGGATCGGCTTCGGTGGCCACCATACGGATGGTGAATGGTGGACTAAGGTAGTCAAACCCACCCAAAGGAGGCTAAAAAAATCAAGGTCTGTCAAAACCCACGGGGCCTGACCTTACTGCGTTTATCACTTGAGATGTGTGATTTTTTCTACCTTCGAACAGCTGGTAACAAATCTGAGAAATGCTCGTTTATCTTCAGATGAGAACTCGTCCACAATTTGCCACAATAGCCGAATGACGGGATGCTGGTCAAAATACCCATTTTGATACTCGACATGCTTGCGAAGGTCATTCACATCTAAAGCAAACCGGTTAATCTGTATATTCCCCTGTAGACTTTTGTCAGAGACCTACCAAAGTCAGTGTCTTCGCCTGAAATGATCCTAAATTGTACCCGCATTAAACATTACGCAGAATTTACTATCGGAAGAATCCAGTTTGCCTATTCAGTTATCCTAACCTTTGTAGCTCAGGTGGAGAAAACACCTTGATCCATGACGCCGAGATGACACTCCGAAAACCATTGACAAACGCTGCTGTCTGCTCCCGCGTTCGTTGGTTTAGCTTGTAGTCGGCCATTAGAAATATGTACTCGAGTTTATTGGGGTTCGTTACGGTCAAGTGTTTGCCATACTATGCAATTGTAAGTTACCCGGTCATGATGTAAGAATGCTGTACCTACATATTTCAATTCGTGGGTGACCATTTCACCAACCACTTCTTCGTCAACGGCAAACGTCAGGCCCAGATCCTCCACATCGCCTACCCTTTTCGTTACAGCGTATTTACGGATTCAAAAACATAACATAATCATACCATCATAGCGTTTGAGAAATGTCAAATTACGCCAAACATCAATGTCCAACTCTTTCAGTTCTTCCAAAAAGACATTTCGACCAAGCAATTTGGATAAAAGGAAACCAGCGAATTGTGCATCCAATAGTATCCCTTCATAGACGGCTTTGCCCATGAGCTTCAGAAAGTAGTATCAATTATCAGTTTCATTGGCTCTGAATATGGTAGAGCGATATGAATATACCTTTCCAATGAATTCAAAAATGCTAATGTGACGAGCACCGTGGATCGATGATGAAGGCGATGGATAAAGCATATTGTTGGTCGTAGATGTAAACAGACCAAAATCGGGCTTGAATACTTCCTGAACGATCAATGTAATGAAGTCTGGATTGATGCAAACATAATTAGCATTTTATAATATGACGTCTACATCCAACGATCTGCGAAGGTTTTGATTACCTTTGAATGGTCCACCCTGATCAATTCCCGCTTCTTCCGTGCCTATAAAAACAAAAACATACCCAAATCAATGAAACCATTCTACAAGTTGAGAGGTTGCCAATATGGGTACCATATTCGTTGACAAAGGTGACACGTATTGTCCCTTTCCAAGCTGACGGCGGTAAGCCGGAGAGTCCACGAAGACCATCTTCTAAGAGATACTTCCTTCGCACCGTAATCGACCTGACGTGCTTGGTCATCACCGTTGCACGATCCAGAGTGATCCAATCTCGGAATATTTTTAACCGTGTAGTAAATGGGATGGTATGCGGCATCAGCTGTAAAATACGCAGAGGAATAGATTCCCCTTCACGTACTCGTGCAAGGAAATCAGTTGCATTGGATTGATCGGTTTGGAACAACGAGAGGAAACCTGGCTTATTCATTGGATCGGAAACCAGCAACCAATGATCCGAAGGGCAGAATCGATGCCGGGTGTCCAAATCATAAATTTGCAGCAATAGCCGCCGTGCTGACTGAAAATAGGCCGCAGAAGCCGGTATAACCTTCTTTTCATCGGGTTCATGTTGAATCAAAGCAAAGTAGAATTTGTTGAGGAAGCTTCCAATATTCTTGACGTCGTCGGTTGACAGCGGTTTTTGATTTTGAAAGAGGTCTACATCATCCAAAGTGCTATCTCCTCCGTATCAGGCAATCGTCCTTCCAACAGTGTGATAAACCATGAGAACTTACAGGAATACAATAGAACACAGTTCACAAAAGATTTTGAGAATGATAATCAGCGGTTCCTTTTCGATAGCCGTATTGGATTTTCGAGCCGCATCCAAGTAAATCGCCATATTGCCTCGCGGACCAAAACATTGCATCACACGCCACAGCTTCGGAATCAGGTCCTTCGTAAAGGCCAGTCGATATAGAATTGTTTTTCGGTTGACAGTAAACAGAGCCGATAGTTGATGATACATGCTGAAAATCGCTTGCACCTCCATGGAAAATAGCCCATAGTAGTAGCCTTTTTCAGTCTGTCCGTCTTCCTCGGTCCCGGAAAGTTTTTTCAAAGCTCCGCGCCATTTTGATGTACGACTCGGTGCAAGTATGCTTTCCATGGGTGAAAAATTTAACACATCAACGAGAATGTCTGCAATATAATCGATTGACCAAAGAAACTCCATTTGCGACACCACGCGATCGTACACAGCAGCTTCGAGAGAATTGCCCCACGTTGCCGACGACCATTTGAATAAAGGATGGTAATGAGTAAATGGGGGTATCTGTCGTTCCGAAAAGCTGCAAGCCAAGCGTCGAAGACATGCATTGACAAATTCCACGAATCGCTTACTTTTGCTTTCTTTTTCACGTGCCAGCTCTACAATGTTGCCAAGCAAAAACAGACAGCTATTGCCGTCCAAGGCTTCTGCCCATGGATTGTGTTTCTTATCGGTAAGGAGCGGATAAATGACGTTCATGGTCCAGGTACGCAAATGGTTCGTCATATTTCGATCAGTGATTGCAGTAATGGCAGGCGTAGCTAATATATTCTCGCATATATAATGCGCGCTGGTGTCCAAGCTTTGAATGTTGAATAATTGATTGACATTTTCAATAGGGAATAACGCGATTCTAACCATGGTGGACAACCAAAGTTTCATGCCCTGGATAGTTTTGGTATCAGAGGGAAGGCTGTTGCCTTGGCTGTACTTCTTGCTGCGTTCCTCCAAGCGAACAATTTGCTGTACTCGAACTGTCATGGCCTCACGTAGCGAAAAACTGCACAGTGTGCTTTCCAAAACTTTGCAACCCGTGGCGCGTAAAGTTTGTTTGGGATTGTCGATGACGCTATTTGCGGGAGGCATTTGCTTTAACTGATAAGAGGTAGGGTTCAGCAATTGCAATAATACAGTGAGTTCTACCCCGGTAAGATACATAGTACCGTCATCGTTCCATGTAACAACTCGTTTAAGAAGCTGGTTAACCACGTCCAGTAGATATCGCTCAGCTCTTTGCATATAGTCCCGATTCACCAACAAGACATAAAAGGAAGGTACAGAGACAGATGTATATCTCAGGACCAACTGAGCGACTCTGGTTAACCGTTTGTCGGAAGGATAGGAGCGGCTGAATAAACAATATAAACCGAGGCAGCGTAATAGTTCAGCTTCATTCATCTTGGTTTCGGAATCCAGCATCTGATCCCATTCACGCCACATGTCGGCGTCAGACGGTCGATAGTTCCGTTGTCGCCACCATCGTTGTAAAACGCGAACAGCACTTCCTTGTCGTTTAAGCTTCGTTTCTTCTTGTCTTTTCTTTTCACGTTCAATACGTTCTGCTTTTGCACGATCTACAAACGATCCTTTATCGTGATTAAGCGAAGTAAACATTGTACTCACTTCACGGGCTACAAGTGAAAGGACTCAATTGGGGAGCGGTAATTCAGATTCCGCCATTGCTCCCAAAGGGTCAGTGCTTCAATAACAGAAAAGCAGCCCTCAGCTTTAACGTATATGGAAAAAGGGGGTCATTTGAGCCAATCAAATAAAAGAGAGTAATGGCTTTCCGACAAAGGTCATCCTTCATTGAAAATCAAATCAGGAAGGATAGGTTCAAGTGCGCCAATTGCCTAATATTTAAGGATTGCATGTTGCGGAGAGGTCAGGTTAAAAAATAATTGCTTTATTATTAAAGCGCGACGGTGTTGGCAGAACCTACGATCACATGGTTCAAAAGGATACAATGAGGGAAAAGGGGACCAACAAGTGGTAAATGAAAGCAAAATTGTGATGAAAATATGGCTAGTGCTGATGATCGAAAATGAATGATAAGGACAGGTACAGGTAGTTGAACGAGTTGGCTATATACATTGCGGCGTTCGACAGTGGCAATATGAAGAGGGTAACACTTGAGAGGTCGAACTCAATGCATGGTATAGCATCGACGTTTGTTGAATTTCGACGATGCTGCGATCGCATCAAATGCTCATTCGATAAGGTCGGCCGCTTTGGGAATTCTTCGAATTGAATAGCAGGGAGATGGACACACCAATCCATGTTGAATAGTGCACCAATGTCATCCACTTGACTGAGATAGGCAAGAATTCTGCGATATGGAACGGTATACGGATTGTACACAGTTCCAACATGGTATATGTATGCGGTGACAGGGCGGTGTGATGTAAAATGTGGCCTCATGACCTAATGCATAAAGTTATCAGCTTCGCTCTCGTTTTTAAGAGGGAGGGGGGCGTCTCACTAACAACTTGGATTACTAGGCCACGTTATCGCTTGTTCGTCCGGGGATACGGCCTCGTCCAAATGTCAAGCTCCACAGATATCGCCCCACGTTATAATAGTGCCGCGGCTCGCCATTTTAATGTCCAGTGAGGCTTCTAGCCTTATTGCTAGAGCAGGCTTCTTCGTCAGCACCGAATGAATCCTCTCTCGATCACATTTTTCGAAAGCATCCCCAGTCTCACCAGATCCTTTGAGGGTGCCTGCTTGTTGCTGCTCTGACTAGTTGGCTTAACTACTACAAAGCCAAGCGAGACATCGAAGTACAATCCATCCAACTCCGAGCTGCAGTAATCGGGTCGCTTTTCCGAGATGGAGCCGCAGTCCAAAGCTTTAACTTGTTGATTGGTGACGCTGGTCCTATGTAATTTATGGGGCGATTAATAAAAGGGACCATATTCAAAATCGAGGATACATTATACTAACCATCGCAACAGCTCGCCTTCATCTGGGCTGTCAAAAAATGGGGACAAGAGCACGTCCACATATCTATGGCAAAACCGCGCCTCCATAACCTCAGCCTTGACTGCTTGAGCTCACCTGACCTTCAATGGTGATTCCAGCACTTCTCCGTGATCTAGTACTATATCTGCCTCCAGTGATAGATCTCTTCCGCGTCCTGGTGCTTCGTCTAGGGTGGCGAATACTACATCGGTTTGAGGACGATCTTCCTGAGTTGGTGGTTCTTCCTTCGGGAGCTTCTCACCCTAAACATAACTTTAGTACAATGCAATTAAACTACTAATTGTTAAATCAGATCAAACACATACAACGCTGAGACGGATCGAATGATCTTGGCGTCAATAACCGATGACGTGCGGGATAAGGTGAGCCACTCGATTTGGGCATCCAGGCGCGTCAGTTTTCCTCGTTTGAGATCCTACATGGCAGTCAGCAATATGCATGAAACCATTGCGTTGATGTCTTCACCTTGATGATGGCCACCATTGCATCCGAGATATCTTTGTTGAGTGGCGGCGCGAAGCCGCCAACGGAAAACTGCTCTTGCAACTTGTGATACATATTTTGCAATGGTTCTCTACCAAAGAGACCTTTATGTCGGTATGCCAATGGTCGTCTTGCACAAGAAGAATGCTTGACAGTACCCTAGAAAATATTACGTTTAGATAAGAAGATGCATTTCTTTCCTATATGTATAAAATATATAAATACTCACAAAATATTTTTTTCCTCCATATTCAGTTCGGTCTGGTTGTACTTTGCTGCCAATTGAAATGCGTAGAAGCACAAGTCGACGCATGCATGTACCCGATGGAAAAGCTTTCCGGGCTGAGAGCTTCATCATTTCAAACCTTAGTAAGAAATATGATGGATATGATTCTTATCTCGTTATGTCACCTGTAATCTACCTTGGTCAAAGTGTCATTGTCCAAGCGAAGCATCTCAATGATCTTGCCCAAATGAATTTGCGTTGCACTTGCTCTTCAATCCAGTTGGAGAGATGCTCAGTTCAGGTCCTCCAAACTGCCTGGAGTGTGACCGACATGTTTCCAGTGATAGGTCACCTTGACGAAACCTTTGTCAGCCTCAAAAGAGGAGACAGAGATTCGGGCTTTACATCCACAACGGATGGAAGGCTTGACGCGGCGCTTCTTCGCGGTGGAGCGGTAGCTGCCAGCACGATGACAGGTGTAATACTCGCGAAAAAAGAGAGCGCCAGGAGGACAGGAGGAATTCTTTACGAACCTACAGTGATAGCTAAAGACGTATCAGTTACCTACACATGTTCACGTTGGGAACTACTTACCGCTCTTCTTGTTCCTTAATGAAACGAGCAATGTCGTCCTGCGGGAGCATGATGACAGCAGGCAATTCAGCGGCAAAGGAATCGGGGGGCTGAACAACAGCAGCAGTGATATCGTTGACGGTTTGAGGGGTAGACATGAGCGACGTACGAACAGATAAAACAGGAAGATAAAGTGGGAGGGAGAGAGAGTAAAACAAAACAAACAAAAAAAAAAAAAACCGCGTGCGATGGGGGTTTTTTTTTCCTTGTGGCAGGAACAAAGAAAAATGTGCGCTCGTCAATGGATGACGTGAATTGGAAATTGATTCTTGATGGAATTTCTTACACTATTGTTATGCATGATTCAACAGGACACAAAAATGAAGATTTTATGCCCATTGAATATTACCTAAAGCTCCTGCTTTGGTAAAGGCAAATGATGGATCAGTCGTTGACACTATAATGCAGCACAAACAGTACGCCATACGATGCATACTTGATGAATTTCTGCGTCCAACAATCATCCGTGCCTACGCGCGTTAGGACTTAAAGAGCTGTTATGGCTGCGCTGATCTCGCCATAATGAAGTAAAATGTGCTGGGTTCAAATAGGTTGGTCGCATTCTCTGCCAGCTATGATATTTTCGAAAATGGTGTGCCAAACCTTCCTTTTTGTGCCAATCATTTTGATTGTCATAGTCTTCATTTGTCACTCGTAATGGTACATCTCAGTGTACGTTATGTTAACCAACGCTAATCGCTTTTCAGTAGACTTAGCTGGGTGTCTAGATGATATGGTCAATCTTCTGCCAACAAGGGGCAAGCCAGCTGTGTCTGATTTTTTTATTGGAAGTGGAGGGACTTGAAAATGTGACAGTCACTTCGAACTTGCTGCCATTGTGTTTTTTGAGCGACCTGCATCATTGATACAGGCAAAAGAAACGTTACAAGGAACCTGCACCGAGCGAATTCACGTTCATGTTCCAATTACAAACAATACCGACTTGGACGGCCGCATCGCAGGCATTGCAGGACGCTATTGCCGAGGCACGTGTCTCCAATTCAGTGGCTGCGGATAATGGCTTGCTTCAGCAACTGCAACAAACCAAACCACTGTTGCGCAGCTTGTTAGACAATGAACCGAAAAATGCAGAGCACAGAACTATGCTTCAAACTGGTAAAAATGGAACAATTGGGTTGCTTGATAAACTCATGTCAGCTTTGTACTTACGTATCCTGTAGGCAAGACTTATATCAACCGCGTTATGCACAAAGTCAACGACGAGTTCACCAAACAAGCCATTGCTCTATCCGATCTCCTCGACATTAACGAATATGAAGCGTCGACATTACTTTTCAATGGAACTCGAGAAGCGGTTACTCATCAGGAAGATTCCATAAGTGCATCGATCAAGCTCTATTATACCGAGCGAGGTTACCTTTTAGCCTCCATTGACGCGATCCTAAAGTCAGCTAAAGACGCCTCGCTTGACGATGCCAAGCGCGATTTCTTCCGTCATATTGCCATGGAGCTTATGGATACAAACTATGCTTCCAATACGCAAACCGAAAAATGTACCTTGGTCGGTAAACTTCTTCAAGCGATACAGCAACTTGGTAAAGCCATCGACGTTGCGAAAAAAGGGACGGATACTTCCACTACTACAACGACAACAACACAGATGGCAACGGCATCGACGTTATCCACTACAGCTTTCAACAGTGCTCCCGCCGCATCACCGTCCATCACCGTTTCTGAAGAAATGAAATCCTACCGACAGCAACACATGATCGATGAACGCATTCAGATCGCTCAACTGTTATACCATCTCGCTTCTCTGTTTTGGTTGGACGCAAAGGATATTCTTGCTCTCGTCGACGATCTCAAGAATTTGGATCTTGCTGATGTTACCACGCCTTATCTGTTGGTGGCAATGATAGCGTGTCTGTCCTGTTCCCAAGACAAATTGAATTCACACGCACCTTTACTGAATGACCTGTCATCTCTGCAATCGCTCGACGGTAAAATCAAGAACGACACCTGGAAAGTCCCATCCATGCAATCGGTTTTGATTCTGCAGTGGGTCATATTGATCCAAGAAACCATGCATGATCAATCGCAGCTGATCGAACGATTAAAAATGGACGAAGAGCAGCGAGAAACATGGGTGGATAAAGCCATTTCTGGAAACGCGTTGGAGTTCCTGAATCACTATGTGCTGTATTTCCAACATGACAATGTAGATGCCTCCGAGAGTGATCATCAAGAATCGAATGCAAGCGTTGATATGGTGGTGGATGGGTTATCCACGCATGCGACCGATTTTCTTAAATGTCATGCCAGCATCTGGGCCGATTTTCGACAGTTTGTTATTTACGAACTGGAGAAAATGGCGCTCACCATCATTGATGAGATGGCCGACACCTTGCAAAAATTAAAGTACGAAGAAGAAGACAGTAACCTGACCGTCAAAGCGCCTTTATCATCCAAAGTCGCTTTTGTGTCCATGACCAGCACAGCCGAACAATCGCACCATTTGGAAGCCTTTTACAATCTCCTCGCCAACGTCTATCGTCATCGTGTGAATGCCGGATCGATTTTCTGGGATATCGAACGCGTTACCTTATACCGATTCGTGAAATGGTCCGCGGACATCAAGCTAGCCGCTACGGTACGTGCCTGCTACGACTTTTTCGGCTCCATCGCGACCGGCGATCAGTGTGCTCCGCATGTTTTTGCCTTTTTCAATCTGGGCACGAACAAGAATGATTTAGCTTCAAGCCATTTGTTTTCGTGGGGCAAGCTGGTGAGCGCTTTGCAATTCTATGCTCCGTTACTAAACAAAGGAACCGACGATGGCATGCCTGCGATTCTTCGGCCGGCGGAAGAAGATCTGTTGCTCAAATTCCTGAATTTGTTGAAACAAGTGGTGCGCTATTGCGTCGAAGCGCGTACGGCATTCTGGAATGAGCCGGAAACCAATCTGCAACGCACTTTGATTGAACTGCTCAACTGCCCAACTTCGTCCAATGTACGTTCTTCTCTCTACAATGTGTTGGCCGCCTTTTGTTCGTCGACAGGCGAAGGAATACATGACGTTGGACGTGCGATCGCGCTGGATATCTGGGAGATGTTGGAGCACAGCGATTTGTTCAGCAGTCCCCGTTCGAAACTTCGCCCCATTACGAGTGATAACAATTTCGTGTCTCAACAATCGTTAATCTATGAAGATGTGGAGAGCCGACCGGGTCTTGCGCAAATGTTCAGCTTCGAAGGTCAACATATGGCTTACCCGCAGACATTATCCGTCCTTCATCTGCTCAGTTCGGCTATTCACACGCCAACCCGCCGTGAGGAAATTATGGCCAACTTTGAACCGACACCGCCTTCCATTCCGTCGACCTTGGGTCAGACCACAAGCATTGCTGGCGCTGGACACTTTATTTCGGTCATGATAGATACAGTCTTTTTGACGTTGAATGAGCAAAGTTATGTTCATCCCCGCGATAAATGGCAACTGACGGAAGCCTGCTTGAATGTCATGGAAAACAGTGTGCTCTGTTTCGATACCCGACCCATCACGGAATGGAGCAAACAGAAAAATACGTCTCTTTCCAGTCGCCTATCTGCCTTATCCTTGGCCAATAATCCTTCCATGGGGGCGTATCAACAAGCCATGGTTGTCTACCTGACACATCCTGGTTTCGAAGTCATCAGTCGAATTCTTTCCGGATCAAACCTGACGGTCAAGCTGTTTGAGATTATAGAGCAAGCCACCACAAGTCGCACTCTGCATAAAAGCAAGGGATATTACTTGGATCGCTGTGTCGTCCGCTGCCTGCGAATCTTGGATTATGTGTTAAAGATCCAAGACGTATTTGGTAGTCTTCTGATACCGTCTATTGTGGAAGCCTCTCAGACATTGCCCTCTGGTGATATCAAAATCGGTGATCGTCAGTTCCCAGCCTTACGATCGTTAGCTCCTCTCGGTCATCTCATGTTATACCACAAGTCGGTCCTCCCCAAGCTCGCTTGTTTGATCAACCATGACCAGGAAGAAGTCTGTTTCTTGAGTGCTCACATTTTGAAGGCTTTGACCGCATCCGAACGTCAACCTAGTGCCAAACTTGTGTCTCAATCCGATACGTACATTGGTTCAACGACCATTGGTTCCAAGATTGCCGAGATATTGAAAGCTTCCCCGGAATTATCAAGCATCATCTACAGTGTCAGCGAACGCTTAGCGATTGACGAGCCTCAAGTGGTGACGTACGATGACTACGACTACGATCCCAACAACATCGCATTTTGGTTGGCCGAGAAAACACTAACTGACACATCTACCAATTCCGATACCTTTGTCCCTCGCTTGTCGACGTCGGTGCAACTTACATTACTCGATTTGCTGCTCCAGAATGCTGGAAAGGATCAGCCTTCACCTTCGCTGTCCGATGTACTGCTTGGCCTGGAAGTGTTGGAACCGAAACCACACGTTATTCGACAGGAAACCCGTCACCGAAGCGCTCAGTTATTGACGTTGAACGCGCTTGTGGATTTAATGAAAGAAGAGGGTCAGATTCCGCTAATGCAAACGCATCCTCTTTTAGCTGAAAAATGCTTGGCTGCCATCTATCACATCTGCTCAAGAGAATCGTTTACACGCCCTGTCATGCGCTATCTTCGCTTCAAGGATTTCTTCAACAAACAACTTCTCAACCGCGCTTCGCGCTTTGAAACGAACGTGACCGTGGACCATCCTGTGGTTGGTGGCACCATCTTATGCAGCACTGGCGAACGAATCACGACCGACTTTACAACTTTGCGATCAGTCATTTATCAACATTCGTGGTTGCTGAAAATCATCGCACTTGAGCTTCGCGTATTTGCGGGTCAGAGCCACATTTTGTATGGTAAACAGGCGGACAGTGATACGAATAACGAAGCGGTTGAAGCACGTAGGCTCGCCAACCTATTTACCGCGGACGAAGACGTACAACCGTTGATGCGTATGCTGGACATGTTGGATTCTTTGGAATTCAAGTGGATTGACGATCTAAGCCAGTCTCTTCAGAATTTCCAACCTGAAACTTTTGAAGGTTTCCAGAGCAAGTCTTTTGAGACGACGGATGATTCCGGTTGTACTATGTATGACATTCGTGCTGTGTATCAACATTTGCGCCAGCGTCAGACTGAAAAGGAGAAGGAACCCAATTTTACGGACGACGATAGACTCGCTTTTGAGGACAACATTGGCCGAGTGTTGCAGTATTTGATGGCCGAAAATCACGCTCGAGAATTGTCGCACGCCAAGATGGAGTGCCTTCAAGGGTGGAAACAAGCAGTAAAGATGATATTAACCCACAGCTTTGACTATTTACCTTTCGAGACACGAGAAAAGATCACCTACGACCTGCTGCACATTTTGCTACCGAAATTGCGAAAGTCCAAGACCTTGGCCGGAGATATCCTGGAAAGTCTAAGCGAGCTGGTGGTGGCCCTGCTATCGCGTCTTCAAGAGGACAAGCGGCGCCAATCCGTTTTACACATGTCACCAGATATTGTGTTGTCGGGTTTACCCAAGGACAAATTATGTTCCGTCTTTGCCAGTATCCTGGATTGCGTGCAAACGCGTGAGACGTCGGTCATTCTTCGCGGCAACATGTACACAGCCATGGTGATGTTCTTACAATATGTGCATATGGACAACAGTAATAACCAAGGCGCTTTATCCGATATCGTGGCTGAAATTACCCATCTTGTCCTTTACAAAAATCCGGATGCTCTGGACGTTCTATGCGCGGATGCCACGGATGGTTACAATGCCTGGAAAACCACCGCCTATGCAGCGTTGAATACCTTGTGTACGCTCACGACCCGGGATCGTCAAAATGGGGTGGAAATCTCTTCCTTCCTTGTCAAGAAAAACTTTTTGAGTTACAGTATTGAAATGTTGGAGCGGGAAGATAAAGCGCTTGTAGAAATCATTGATCAGCGTGACGGTAAGTTTATTGAGAATAAGCGCATGTGCATTGGAGCTCATCATTATGAGATTTTGTAGCTTTACTTATGCCTTTGATGATTTTCGAAGCCAAGTTGGCGTTCTTTTTGCGACTTGCATTGATAAAACAAAGTGCCGGGTTATTATTTGAGCGCGGTATCATGGAAAGATTGGGCCAATGCACCTTTTTGAATCAGCAAGAAAAATTCCAATCTCCTCGTTATGGTATTTTCGCCCAATCTTGTGCATTCTCTTCGTCGTTGTGCTTTACTAACGATCATTATCGTCATCCAGACTCCAGCACTTGCAATGGTTTACAGCGCTATGACCGTATGCTTTTACCCGTCTTGGCGTTGGTGGTTGCACTGTGTAGCCATCTCGCACCTTCCGATGAATTCCAGCTGAAAAAGGTACAAATGTCGAGCGTCAGTGTAGTGAACTGATGAGCACGATATTGATACATTAAATTAGATCGAATACTGGGTGAAGAAGCAGCCATCCTTGGTTGTGATCCTTCGTGACGAGCAAAACTACGTGTCGTTAACGACATTACAAAAGCTGGATCTCATTTCTCTCATTATGTATCGTTTGAGTTGCCGCCCTGGCTACTTTGATGATATGGTGAGTACATTGTAAGAACGATCCATTTTCGCCTTTGTAACTGACGCAAGCTTTCCTTATACCTAGACAACCCAAGGTCTCGATGACTTGCACTCAGCGATGATCAGCTTATGTGCCAAATATCTATTGCCTGATTTTTGGTTGCCGAAGCTTATTCCTACTACCGAAGAAGAACACCGATGGGCTAAACAAATCATCTCAGGTGAGTGCCAGTTGATTGTATCTGCTTCAGAAAATGTACTGACGGACAATGAACACCACAGCTGCCGACGCGAAATCCCTGCTGTCCTTGAAGGCGCAGGAGACCGTGATGAGTATCCAAAAGAATCTGTTGGCATATGCACAGAACAATACATTCGCAGGTTCAGGTACTCTACTGTAGTTTTGTCGGTTCTCGATGGTTGTGTACTTATTTAGCAATGTATAGTTACATCTCCCCTGAAACCCATTATATCACATCATATGGACGCCAAAGAAGTGGGTCGTGCGGCGCTTGTCAATGGTAAGTGAAGTTTAAGGCAAAGACTTATGACGAAAAAGGATATGGGTCTGATCTGTTTTTTCCACTATTTTCTTAGCATCGATGCGAACCCCTTCTTTGGGCATGCTCTTCTCGGCGTTGCGTCATACGGCGCGCGCACTACGAGAAGTTCTTTCGCGTTACAGCATATTATCCTCACAGAAAGAAAACGTTGCATCGCTACGATATGAAGAAATCCGCGAAATCGCCAACACCGCTATTCCCAAAGATATTGATGTTAAATACGATCTGTTGAACCCTAACCAGCAACAACATCTGTTAGCGACAGAGATTGCGACGCGTTTAAAGCGCAAACGTGAACACTTGCAAAGTTTGCTATGTAAGTGCTCTTGAGGATTCTCATTCACTTTTTGATATCGTTCGATTTTTAACCTTGCAACTGTGATCCAGTTATTGCGGAGCATCTTTTGTTGATTGCTTGGCGACATTTGGAGTTCTATACGAATCCGTCTTTGACCACGCATCCTACTCCCATTAGTTTCTACGAAGTGGAAACGGATGATTGGTTCCGCGTACCCACACAAACCACACTATTCCGATCCACTCCTGAAACTGCGCGTCAAGTTAAAGCGCTCAGTCCCACAACCATTGAACCCGTGCTGGAGAAACTGCAATCGTTGGAATGGGTAAGAAATCAGATAAAAATCTTAAAAGGGGAAAAAAAAGGCTCACATTATGATTTCCTTCTTTAGCCGGCATCTTTGCCTGGGTCATCGGGAGAGGCAATCGCAAGTTTCTGTGATCGAATTCGCCGACTATATCAGTAATCCAAGGCATATCTTGTTTCCTTTGCTGTTATTTTATCATCCATTAGTATTATAAACCAACTGGCGTGATTAAAAGCATACAGGAACTTTGCAATTGTATCATACAGAGCTAAAAACCAATTCAGTTCACCTTTTCCCCTCCTTTTCCCTTTTTCTTGCACATACAAAATCAGATACAAGTCCAAACACATAAGTCTTTTTTTCTTTGGGAGCATTGATCACAACTGCAGCCAACAATTGTTATAGTCCAAATTGTTCTTTTTTATTTGTTCCCCCAGTTTATTGCATTACGAATATAATATGTTACAGCAATATGAACATACTTAGGCGGAAGAAGACTTTTGCATGGAAGAGGTGCGGCGTCTTTCCAACTTGCGTTCCTTGGTCTCCTTGACACGCTTAGCCAAGAGCTGCTTGTATTCAGCTTCGGCTTCGCGAGAAGCTTCAGCGCGTCTGCGCTTGATAGCGATTCTGTGTCTCTTGCGCTGGAGAGTGATGGGAGTGACCAAGCGCTGGATCTTGGGAGCCTTGGTGAAAGGCTTCTTGTCGGCATTCTTGGGTTGGATTTCGCGACGGATAACGTACTTGCGGACATCGTCGTCCTTGGTCAAGTTGAAGAACTTGCGGATCTTGGAAGCACGCTTGGGACCGAGACGCTTGGGAACGGTGGTGTCGGTCAAGCCGGGAATGTCCTGCTCACCCTGCTTAACAACGACGAGGGACAAGACGGAGAGATCGGACGAGACAATACAGCCACGGACGGACTTTCTCTTGCGCTCACCGGTGCGACGAGGACGGTAGCAAGAGTGACCCTTGGACAACAAGAGACGGACACGATGGGGCAACAAAACACCCTGCTTCATGGGGAAACCTTGCTTGTCGTTACCGCCAGAGATACGGAAAACGTAACCCTTGAACTCATCGCCAAGAGAATCACCAGGGACTTCCTGAGCCATACGCTTGTCGTAGAAAGCGCGACTATATCATAAGAAAAGAGTCATTGTTAGATTTTTCAATGACCTTTTTCGAGTAACTTTCGCACAAAAAACAGGAAAAGGAGAAAACGGAGATATGGAGCAAAAAGTGCAGTGAGGTAAAAAAAAAAAAAGGCGAGGCATGAAACGAGGAAACGACTATCGTTGAATAGTGTCGCGGTGCTGGTAAAAAATCGTGGGGTTGTGTATATAACTCGTCACTGTTTTGCTCGTAATCGAAGCTTCACTCTCCGTTTTTCTCCTTTCTGAATTGAAACGGTATAGAAAAAAAAGCTAAAGCTTGACATGGTGAGAATACTTACAGGCGACGTTCATCGTCGATTTCAATCAACTTCTGGCAGCCAGTGGCTGGGTTGGCGATATTCAACTATAGGAAACCATATCAGTTCATCCATCCCTCTTCTGTAACCAAGATCCTCGATATATCCATCCATCCGTTTCATCCACGCATCTGTAACGCCCATCCGTCCTGTGCATTGTCATGCAGCATGATATACGCACCTTCATGACGCCGCTAAATGGAAAAGGAAAGTTTCGTAGAGGTCAAGGTTCACCAAGGTATTTACCAGCCGTGGCCGAAAATAATGTCCGACCCGGAAAATGGCTTGTTCGAGCGGAAATTGTCCGAACGTATTCTCGGAGGTCGTAATGCACCCAACCCAAAGTCCGATTTCAACCCGTTTGCCTGCAATGGAGGCAAGTCTGTCTACTAAGCTTCAGATACTTTGTCAAATAAGAGTACGAACGGTACCCAAGTTTGTTATTGTGTTGCTGCAAATTACAATGGAACGACAGTATCCAAAATTGAACCATCGTCAAACCTCGTTTCCTGCCCGTCGAGGAGAAAAGGCAGTCACATTTCAAAATCGTGGCTTCACAATTTTTCTCCAAGATGCCTTTTGGGCGGAAGGAAATTTTTTTTTTCTTGAACGACAATATCCTTTTTTGACTTGTGCTCTTTTTGTCAGATCATGGTTCAGAATCAACTACTGGATACACTGTCGGTAAGCATTGAGTATTCTACTATTATAGGGTAATTAATATATTAGCGAAGCAAACTCATTTCTGTTTCTGTCTCTCTTTTACAGACTCGCATGACCGAGCATGCGCAGTTATTCGATGGCTTATTACATCTTATACCCGCGAAATTCTATATTACAGAAAAGAACGATGCTCTGGTACGGACCTATTTCATCAACTATTATATATTTTCGCTGATGTACTAATGCTGATCTCTACCTCTTACTGTAGAATGAATCAAAGTTTATGCACAATAAGCGAAAAAAGGCACCGAAACAAGCAATCAAGGAATCCACCAAGAAAGCGAAGAAAGCCAAAGTAAGCGGATCTGCTTAAACATGAAAGGCACAAGACAATTGATCGTTCAATGTCGTTTCTTGTAGCTGGATCCCGAGAATGATCAGTCCATTACAACGTTGCAGAAAGAAAAGGCCGAGAAACTGGAAAAGGAGAAGGAGGAGCAGGAGGCCGTAGCCGATACAGATAACGACGAATCAGACGATGAAGTCGACGACAATGAAAGTGACGGTGCCGAAGACGTCAGTGTAGCCGACGAGAGCGACGCAAAGATGGAAGGGGCAGATTTCAGTGGTTTAGGAGATGCTTCGTCCTCCACCAAACCCATTCCTAGCGAGCCTGGTTCGTTACGTTCCTTTGGTGGATATTACTGTGACTTCTCATACTGACAATTTGGTCCCACTGTGTAGCTGTTGTGAAGCCTATGAATATTAGCGGTATTGGCGAATTGCGCAATCGTCTACATGAACGTATCCAGGCGTTACGTAAGAAGCGACATGCACCTGGATCAGATTCGATGAAAGCACGCAGCAGAGAAGATATTATCGCCGCACGATTGAAACGAAAACAAGATAGAAAGAAGGCATTAAAAGCACAGAAAGAAAAGGGTGGAAAAGCAGCATCAGAAGAACTCGTCAAAGACAAATCGGCCAAGGTAGACTCGCATTTGTTTTCTATTATTCTTGGAAGTTTTGATATTCATCTTTTCATGTGGTCTGTTTAGTCTCAAGAAAACAAATCAGCTGCTGATTCGATCAAGATGGACGGTGATGTTTTCTTCAGCAAGTTGGCGGTGGCCAATGAAAAGCCCAAGAAGAAGGGTCCCAGCGATGCTAAATCACAACTAAAGAAAGCCGAAGCGATGCAAGAGAAACTCGAGAAACTCAAGTCAGAAGATAAAACCAAGGTGATTGTTTACAGCCGATGTATTTATTATATCAAGGTGATTAATCGTGTGACTTTTCTGTTTTTGGTGTATATAGGCCGAAGATTTGGCTCAAAAGAGTGAATGGCAAAAGGCTATTGCTATGGCGACTGGTGTTAAAGTGAAGGATGATGTCAAACTGTTAAAGAAGACGGTGAAGCGTCAAGAGAAAATCAAGGTCAAGAGCGCTAAAGAGTGGTCCGACCGTAAACAAAAGGTCAAGGATGATGAACAACGCAAGATCAAGAAGCGTCAAGACAATATCCAGGCACGAATTGATGCGAAGAAGGCGAAAAAGACGGGCAAGAAGGTCAAAGCACGACCGGGTTTTGAAGGCGGCAAGAATACCAAGGGCGGTAAAATCAGTAAACCCAAGCATAAGAAGAAATAATAAAGACGCATCCTACATAGCTTTTTCCATTTTCATCCATCCCCATTTTCATACTATTAAAAACACGTTACATTTTTTGTTGCCAAATCGAATGTATCAAAAATATGATTGCGAATAACGGTCAATAAGGTGTTATTGCAGCCGTCTAGCCCAGATTTTTTTTTGTTGCGTCACAACGGTTCTGGCAGTACCCTCTGAATATTTTCTCAACTGTTTACACTTATGAGTACAATTACGGCGATGTCGGAATTCTTAGCGGATGACATCCCTTTCCATAATATAACTTATAGGCTACAGACAAAGAATACATGATTGATTCTCCAAAAGGGCGGTAAATATAGGGAAATCGTAGCTTTTCCCATTGGACCAGAATTTATGGGTAAATTTCTTATTGTGGTTCAACAATGTATCTTGTTCGTTCCCTCTCTCCTCTCGGCCGGTAATATGGCAGCTGGCATGCGATAATCCTGTTTATGAGTAAAATCATTGCGGCTGAGAAACAAAAGTTTCACCACTAAACCTTGGTTACGGCGGCATATGTGAAAGTAACGGTTTCACCAATGACAAGCTTTTTTTTCATGTAGTTTGTTTGTAAACATTTTCTGTATTCTTTACTGGACAACTGTAGCGTCTTTGCCAACATAAATATCATGTCAGTAATCGTTTTAAACACGACGTCTTCATGGCTAACAGAGAAACTTATTTTGGGTGACATCACGCGGAATCAGCGACCCTTTGGCTCTTTGCAAATGACAGTCACGGTATTTGAGGAAACCGAAAAAAGCTGGCGACTCTTACTTTCTCGAGCCGCCTTCACCATCCATTTGTAAGCCTACGTCTTCCTACAATGGCTTCTCTCGCACAAATGCAGCCAAACATACCTCAGGTCATACAGCAATGTCAGAAAGAAGCAGAAATTCTGACGAACAGCATTGCCAATATACGCCAAACGCTGGAAAGAACGGATATCTCGATGGAAGAGCGAGATCGGCTCCGCAAGCAAGAACAAGAATTCCAGAACAAACTTACCATGTGTCAAAATATTCTTCAGAGCATCAATATGCGCTTAACTTCACAGAATATGCAGCAACGTGCCATGCCGCCGCAACACGGAATACCGCCGTCGTCTGTACCGAATGTACTTGATTCGGCATCAGCAACATCTTCAACACCCGGATCGCCCGCTAACTTTGGAGTTCAACCTGTGAATCCAAACCTCATGCGTAAGATCCCATTGATTTGTTCCTCTTCACGTATCGCGGATGAATTGATGTTTGTTTTCTAGACAATATGGCACAGGCAACTCCGTCGCAGCAATTACCCATGGGTCAACCATCACAGCAGCAGCAGCAGCAGCAGCAACAACAACAACAACAACAGCAACAGCAACAGCAGCAAACGGCACAAGCAGCACAAGCACATCAACAACAACAACAACAACAACAACCGCCCGCCTCATCACAGCCACAAACGCCCTTAACTTTGAATAAAACCGCACAGCAGCAACAAGCACAAGCCCAACGATCTCTCCTCACACCCAACGCTTCGACAATGCAAACTCCTAAACAGACACCTACAGGTGCTTCGGCAAAAGGAAGCTACGGGTTTCCCATTACACAACCTGCCGTCCAAAGACCCGCTCCTATTATTGACGCCGATGGAACAACACGTGTATTAGCTAAACGTAAAATTCAGGAACTGGTTGGTCAAATCGATCCTGCAGAGCGACTGGAACCGGATGTAGAGAATGTACGGAACTTTTTTTTGCCAAAGCTGATGAATATGAAAACCGCGGCGCTCACATTTTGGTTATTGTGTACAAATTAGATCTTGTTGGAAATTGCAGATGAATTCATAGAATCCGTGACCTCATTTGCGTGTCGATTAGCCAAGCATCGTAAATCTGATACGCTGGAAGTGAAAGATCTGCAATTGCATCTGGGTAAGCGCGTTAAAAAACGGATCCATCTCCTTCAGTGAACTGATCGATTGTATTAGAACGCAATTGGAATATCCGTATACCAGGTTTTGCTTCCGACGATATCCGATCCGTGAGAAAGCCAACTATTCCTGTGAGTCATCAAGCAAAGACGCAAGCCGTGAATCTCGCCAAAAATCAGGGGTCTTCATCGCAAATTAAGAAAGATTCTTAATTTGAATGAATTTTTTTTTATGGAAAGTAATTATACACGATCAAACGTTAATCCAATAAAACCCCATCATCAGCCAACAGAGTACAAGGGAAATAGTATCGGTAGTTTGCATTAGAGGTCACAAAAAAGGTACAGCTTTGCAGCCGTCTTGCATCCATTTACGTTATTTGCTTTGACAATATTTGTGCCTCCATATCGCGCAGCTTTGTATTATGAGTGCTAATAGTGTATAAAGTCTTTGGACGGGTATCTGCCCTATTACACAAGAATCTCGTAGGTTTGACAGCAGTATGCAGTCATTACAAGGGCGATTTACACAATATAAAACTGTCGCCATTAAAAAGCAGAGTTCAGATATATTCAGTGAAATCGATAATGAAGATTGATTGCACCAGGTAATCAGCACAGGCTGTCAATTTATAAGACCTTGGTAATCCAAGATTAGCGGCTACTGACGCGTTTATATTGATTGTGCAGGAGATCAGGCGAATTTTTCATGTGTTGTTGAATTGTAGGGTTTGGATATGCCTTCCTTCTATTGTACGCACATACAGTCCGTGGTCGGTAAGACATGTTTGGGGCATGCGAGCCATGAGCTTTTGACCAGATAGTTAGCCTTTACCACTATACTTTAAATGCCATTTTCCTAATTTACATTATACAAATTGAGAGCAGTTGAACGATCCTCTCTTAAAGTCTATGATAAAAGCCAACAGTTTACTTTCTTTTTTTTTTTTTTGAAAATATTGGTAAAAGAATGAATACAAGTTAAATAAGAAGAAAAATCAAATCTATTTTCGAGCTGAAGCCTGAACCTTGGTGGCATTGGCTACTACGTTCAAAAGTGCTGCCTTTTGATCCAAGTTTAAGCTGGCGTTCTGTCCAACCAGAGTGTTTAAGGATTGTTGGTTGACCATCTCGGATAAGGACATGCCTTGCGTTGGGGTGATGTAGCGTTGGTAATCACCGTCCATTTCTGACTGTAACTGTGCGGTATTTTCTTCCGTCGATCCTTCGGCAGCCATCACTTGAGTTTGTTCCTGTTTGCTACTCAGGGTTTCCCAGTCAATGTCTTTGTCAATGAAGGTCACGACTCGGCGTGCAGGGGAAGCCGCCGGTTTTGCAGCTCGATTTCTATCCATGCCTTGATGGCGACGATCCCGTTTCTGGTTATCTCGTCGTGGAGACGATCCGGCCTTTTTAGCATTGAACTTTGTTGATGAAGCAACACGTTTTTCTCCTGCATTCTCTGCCACCGCATCGTCAAATTGTCCAGGTTGTGCGGCTTTGGGAGTTTGTCTGCGACGGTTGTTATTGTTCTTGTTGTTATTGTTACGAGGGCGTTTGTTGTCCTTCTGTGCATTGGCCAAGAATGCGGAAAAAGGGTCAGCGTTTTCGGAAAGCGGACGACCACGACCGGAACCACCGAGACGAGCAGATAAAGGAGCTTTGCGGGGCTTTTCAGACGATCCAGTCGATGGGCTGCTGGGAGCTGAGGTGGTTGATTCGCTTCGAATGTTAAAGAGTGCCGGTCTCCACACGGGGAAGTTGCGAGCCAAAGGTGCGGCAGATCGTCGAAGCATAGTATTTCAAGCGAATGTCCAGGGGTGCCTAAACCACAAGAAATATTTTTTTATTCAAGGCAAAACGCTTCTTGGCTGAAAACAAGTCACAAAATGTCATGACAAAAATTCCGGGGCCAAACTTCATCGTGGCTTTCGTTGCTATGCCCAAATTTTCTTGTTCCTCAAAAGGGAATCCGACAGTAACGATATATTTGCATTCACAATATAAGCTTCTCCATCATCGGGCTATTATTTTTAAACTATTGTTTTGGTAATCTTGCAAGGATTGATCGGATTATTCCCCTTGAAATAGCTGAGATCATGAATAGCTGACGAGGACACCATCAAATGAATGTATTTGATCACACAAGATTCGTTGCGAAAATGGTATGGGTTACAGTATGCACATGCTTTATATGGCAAAAAAATGTCAATGGCTTGGTGAAGATTCTAGCTCAATGGTTCCATATCGCATGCCTAAATGTCCGCACTTGCTCCCAAGCTGTCAATATTTTACACCCTTTCACACAATCTTCAATCGCCGGTTTGCTCGAAATTGTATATACGCATTGTGCTCTATCTTCTCTGAAAATATCGTTCTTCCGTCTTCTGCATATTTTATGTTGATTTTCATTGTGCAAGATGCAATCGTTCATCCATTCGTGTATTCCCCCTCCACGGAAAACACTCCCAGAGAGGACCGTCCATGATTCGCTGGCATACTGGAAGCACAGAAGGTTGGTTACGGAAATCGTCGTCCAGCAGGAAAATCGATAAGCTTTCAACGTCACTACACCTCAAAAACACTTTTGTAGAAAGCATCAAGAATTCTTAACATATTTTGTGTTATGCACGACACAAGAAACGTCTCCACTATACCCCCCCACAACAGCGACTGTAATTCAAAAAGCACGAAATGCCCAGCGTACAGATACACATTTGACAAGCCGTCTATTTCTTTATATCATATATTAAATGTGACATAGAAACAACTGCTTAGAAAAGCTCAGCGTGAGCAGGGAACTCGAAAACAACGTCCTTGCCAGTCAACTTCTTGTAGACAGCAGAGAAAGTGTCGAGCTTGTATTCCAAGGAGGTGGCATCCTTGCTGTCAAGGAAACTATTTGAAATCATAATCCATAAGTATCCATGACCAACTGAAAACCAGTCTGCGAACAAAAAAAAAACGATGACACTTACACCTTGATGGTCTTGGAACCATCAACCTTAACACGGGTACGCTTGCCAACGATTTCGGTGGGGTAAACGAGATCTTCAAGGATAGCGTTGTGAACAGCAGTCAAGGTGCGAGAAATGGGACGAGGCTGCTTGGGGTTCGAGTGACGGCTAGGCTTGGGAAGGATACGGCGCTGAGCAACGAACACGACATGGCGATCAGAGAACTTCTTCTCCAATTCGCGGGTAAGTCTGGCCTGGATCTTGTGGAATTCCTTCAACTGAGGAACGGGAACAAAGATAATGATGGCCTTCTTGCCAGCACCCATCTCGACCTATAGAGAATTGATGGTAAGACAAATCTGCTTCACGCCCTTTTTTTTTTCTTTGGTTTCCATTCGCCGCTCCTTTTTCTCTGGTCGTCTTTAACGATATTTACCTCCTTGGCAGCGGTGATTTGGAGGACACGCAAGTCCTTCTTCAATTCAGCCACATTGTTCTCCAAGTCAACGAGAGCTTGGGCGATGCTAAGTTCGAATTCGTCGGCGGGTTTAGCTCCAGCGGGCTTGTTAATCTTGTGCGAAGCCATGTCGTCGATACTGCCAAAATGAAAACAGCAATAATCGCGGTTAGCATATCGATCCATTGAATCCATCCATCCATCCCATCCGTTCATCCATTGACTATAATTATCTATGGACGTTCTCTCCCTTCTTTTACATCACTCTGCCACCCTACTGATACCTACAGATTGACCACAGAAAAGAGGAAGTCAACGATTGCACCAGAGAGTTCGTCTTTGCCATCCGGAAGCGGAGGTCGAATTTTATCGCTTGGTTAGTGACGTCGACAATATTGTTGCCTATTTTGGAAGGTTTGATCGCCTTCGATGGCCCAGCAACTGCAGAGTTCGCAAATTCAGTTAACGTAACGTTTATGGTGAGAGTATGCAATACATCCACCAGCTTTGTGGAGCTATATATTCATATAGACAGTTCAACGCTGTACAGCTTGAGGCTATTGCTGTTCTCAAGAGCGCACACACACACACACACACACGAAGTATGGAACGTCCTAGCAGAAACGGTATTTCAATCCAAAAAGGCTGTTTCCGGTTCTTGGTTGAGACTTCCTCATAGAAATAAAACATTAAAAAAATCGTGCCTACGGTTATTATACACACAACTGCTGTTACTGATTGGAACGCAAAAAAGCGACCGGTTCAACTGCAGTATGGAATCTTTTAAACAGATTGTATCATCGTGTCTATCAATGCTAGTGTTCTTTCTCGACACCCCTCCTATTCATTGGTGATCAGTCAGGGCAAAGCAATGAGGAAATTGTAGATCGATTCCAGACGGATTCCAGGTAATACCAGGTGTTCTGACATGGATTTTTATTTGATTTTCTATCATGATAACAGGTACAGCTTTCCCTGCAGTATTACTGTTCCCTCTATTCAACTCCAAATTGATGGAATAGAGTCAGATGCAAGTGCTTTTGAAGCGGCCAAAAATGTATAAATTGATTGCTGTACTTTGTCTATTGAGAAACGGAAGGTCTCTTGGGTGCAGGTTCTCCATGTTTCACAAAATCGATTTGGACGTTGTCTGGGATAGCGAGGATCTGCTCCAATTGTTGCCTAAAATTTCACAAGGATAGAGTCAGCGTATTGCACAGGCAGAAGATCAAATCATAAAAATTAAAAAAAAGTCGCCTAGTCTAGGGAATATTAGTTGTACTCACTTGATATGTTCAATCTCCTTTGTCTGTTCGGAATCCTTGATCCATAACGCAATTCTAAAGAACATCTTTCTAACCGATACAACAGCACCGCAAATTTCATCCGCGTTATCAAATTGTTCACCGATCAATGCCAACAACTACGCTCCCTAATGAGTGACATGCTTCTTCTTCTGCTGGTGCAAAAGTCACATACCAAATAAAGCCAGTAAGTGTTGATAGCTTCACCAGTTTTGTTCTTGGGGAACTGGATACCAAATTTGCCACCCTTGGCATTCGCAGGATCCTCCCATTCAGGACGAATGCCCTTTTTGAAGAAGTGGTAGTTGCAGCTGCTGCCTGCTTCCAGCTTGTTGACTTTGGTAATGTTATTGTAGACACTACAGAGCAATCCAAATATTTTAACGCCACTGAATCAGTAGACTCACGCAGTGCAACTCCATGGTTACAAATACGACGCGGAAACAAACAATTACCCCCAGAAATCTTCCACGGTATCCACAGTAACAATTTCCTTCAGATTCTGCGACCATGATTCGGAATCGGCTTTCTTGCCTGGTTTATCAAACCACAAGGTCCATTCATGCTGAAGACGGTGCTTGACGCTCAAGTCCAAGTTGGAGTTCTGGCCAGTACCCTGAGTCTCCTGTGCGGCGTTCGATGGCTGCTCAACACGCGTTTCTTCTTGATGCGACATGGTCAAGTAAATGCACGGGAAGCGAACCGGCTTTTTTTTTGTGCTTTTTTTTTTTCCTGAGCCGCGAATTGCAGGATGTAAAAACAATACATGCCTAGCCGGACCGCACCGTGACTTGGATCTGCTAATTTTCCAAACTGATTTGCGGGGCACGATGAGAGAAAAAAAAATGACGAGCCATAAGTCTATTTAAAAATCCAGTTATTGGCGTTGTCGATGTGAGGCCTGTCTCAAAGGCTTGTCCCTTAGTTTGATCTATCCCGTTGAAGTCTTAGCAAAGTATATTGGGGACGTTTACGCATTGCCGAGGAAACAGCCAATGCAGTACGTTTGAAAAAAATTAACATACAGTTACCTGAATATTTTGTTCTACCATTCCACTGAAGGATAAGCTTGGAAGGCATGAATATCGATATTCCAAGTAACAAATTTAACTGCCTGGATATTCGAGAAAAAAAAGACAGTAATACCTCTTATTCCCATGTAACAAGCAACATTCATCTTATGCACTAGTAGTTTTTAGCTGTCACGATATCCATGCGCATCCGTGTCGAATCTAGAGTATTATTGTTTTGACTTGAACCATAAAATAAACCGCTTCAGCAGAGTCATTAATTACCAACAATGAATAAGCAATACCTGTCTACAAGATTGAAGGCTAAAGACGTCGCACTGATATGAAAAATTTCGTTTGATATCGAAGACCTGAAGGATTTTGAAATAGATATGTTCAGGGCATCTCATGAGTTTATAATTTTTCGGATGCGCCAAATGATGATAGGACTGATCCGCAAATTGAATATTTCTGCCTACAGCTTGGCTTGCAGTTATTTATTACGTCCCAATCCTCGATTTTGCTTTTATTGTTCAAATGATGAGATGGTTTTTAACATGATGTCGCTATGGTGCACGTTTCCGAATTCAGAAGTGCGCGATATGAAACACTATCTTTTCTCTTAGTTACTGTGAGAGGAGGTACACAAATCAACAGGCAATGAAACTTTCAGTCTAACTGGTTCAATGTCATGGGAAAAGGAGGCAAGTTATATTAGGAAAAACAAAAGGTGCGTATTTGTATTTGTGTGATTTTGTGTGTGCAGAATGTGTGTGCGTGCAATATAATGTGTGTGTAGGGAAGTGGGGAATTTTTTTCTTCGCATGGGATTAAGTTTGACTATTTTTTTTTTCTTAGTTAGGACGGTTTAGAGGAGGCGAATAGAAACAAGAAACATAAGGAAAGTAAATTTACAGCATAAAAGAGAGATAAGGGAGAAAGGAGTTGTAAGAAATTAAAAAAGAACCCCATCAAAATGATGAATAGAGACAGATAGAGAGAGAGACAGGGAGAGGGGTAACAAACACAAAAATGGAAATAAAGCGGATTACTGCTGGTTAAGGGAAATGGAATCGATGAGGAAGAACAAGGATAGATCGTCATTTAGCTTTGATGACCTTTGTCCAATCTATCCATCCACTCTTCGGGTATTACTGGGACGACCTGTCGTTCTTTGATATCACGTTTGGGATCCTCTGGAGACCAGCCAAGCATGGACACCATATGAGCCGTGGTAGGCACGGAGAAAGGGAGCATGAATTTCGAATCACGTGTTTCCTCGATCTCCTTCCCATCATCCTCGTCGTCTTCCGAGTCATCACCGTCGTCCGATGACGGCATAGACGTTTCAGCTGATTCTTCCTTGATAGGTAAAGAAGGTGCATGTTCAACCACGGGCGTGCAAGGCAGCGAAGCGGATGTAGTTAACCCCACACTGGACATGAACGATCCGACAAAGCTCGACATACTGTCGCGACGCGAGGCACTGCGTTGCAAGCATAAACTCTGTGTACGGGACATGGATACACTTCTGCGGGCTTTATCGAGGGAACGCGACTGTCTGGCTTGCTTGAGACGGACGGTATCCTCGGCCAGTTGCACCACGTACTTTTCAATTTCGTCTAGCAGACGCGGTTCATTCACTTCGTATCGATAATTCACCACACACCGTTTGATTTGAAGCGCATTGAGCATATCAAAATTCCTGACCGTATTGATAAAGCTGGGAAGTTCATTCAGTTGCGTCAAGCACTGAAGTAGCTGTAAAAGCTGCATGGTGGGATTCAAATAATAAGTCAGGTTACCAGGAAGGTTGTTCTGCGTAATCCAATCTTCGATCTTTGACAAGTTGAGGCGAATCTGTAACGCCTTGGAACGGCACAGCAACTTTTTGTTGGTCAGGATATGATTGAACAGTTCGCAGGACATAAAGTGGAAAAACTGAGCCAGGGCTTGAATGATCACGGTCGGGTGAACATCGTAAGATTGTAAGACATATAAAGTGGAAGACAGCAAGCTCGTGATCGAGTGCGGCGAAATGGTAACCATAGCATTGGACGAAGCCTGGTTGCCACCTTTCATTTGAACGGCCATACCACCATCCGGAGGCACAATCACCGAACGGCGGCTACTGCGACGGAAAAATCGATGCCAGTCGTCCGCAAAGTCCACATTATCCATGCCAGGAATCTCTTCGTGCTCCAACATTGCCGGACGCAAAATTTTGGAGAGTCGACGTTCCGTATCATTGACAATCATGGTGTACGTTTCCGAAATCAATTCCGACAACCGTAGCTGGTACTCGGCAGTGGCCACCACCAGGCCAGTGTCCTTTTTCAGGTAATAAAGGATTTGCGTAAAGTTGGTGATCCAGAATGCCAGCACATGAACATTGCGTGTATTCGCCTGTAGACGAAAAAAAAAACACACACACACACATGCATTAACCTTCTGACTCAAGTAACCACGGCATCATTCAAAGACCCACGAAACATTACCTTGATCGCTTGACTCATTCGTTCCAAGGCGCCATCCAAGACTTCGTGCAAGAGTTCATCACTGGAGAAGTAGTGGGCAAATCGGGCACTGAGGAAAACAACATTGGCTGGCACACAAATCTCTTGCTGAGAGCGAACCGGCAACTGGATATTGGTGATAATGGTATCGAGAATGTACTCCAAATCGTCCGCAGCAAATACAAACATTTGATCGGGCATACATTTGTCCCATCGGAATTCCATGAGATCAAGGGTAGTATCTCCATCAAGAGAATCGTCGTCATTATCCAAATCGTCTTCCGCATCCTCTTGAGTATCTGCACCATGGCTACCGTCCACCAACGCGGCGGCGGTTGCCAACAGTTTCTGACGCCGATCGGCTTCCTCGGCCATAAAACTGTCGAAGGCTTCCACGGTCGATTGATAATAAAAATCACAATCACCTGCATTGGAGGAAGACGAAGAAAGACTACCGGCAGTGCGTCCTAGAATACTGGATGTGGATGAAATGCTGTCACGTGGATTGGTGGCTAGAATATCGACGATTTTTTGATTGTCGGTATTGATGAAATCAAAGACCGTTCGACCTTTGGCGGATTTGGTTTGTGACGAGGCGCCATGTTCCAGCAAAACTTTAACGAGATCTCCATGGCTATTGTTGGTAGCCCACATCAGAGCCGACCATCCAACTGTTCATTTTCCGTACGCCAGGCCATATAGAAAAAACAGTCATTTCGGTATGAAAAAAAAAAGAATGATAAAAAAAACGCAAGAGGTAAGGAGTGCGTTTCACAATAAAAGGAGGAGAAAAGCAGAAATATGAAAAGCATAAGGGAGAAGCATGGATGCAAAGCAACAAAAAAAAAAATGAAGAAGCAAGAAATGATCAAGTCAAACGCAAGAAAATGAAAACGAGCATGAAAATAATTTGGTAAGTGATCATGGATCTGTAATAATGTTTGTCCCACCCAATCCAAGTAAAAAGGGAAACTTACAGGAATCTTGAATATCGGTCTTTGCACCTGCGGATAGCAATGCTTGGGCAATATCCGTTTTACCAAAGCAGGCAGCATAAATCAAAGGTGTAGTACCGTCATCGTCCTTGGCGTCAATATCGATCCATTGTCGGTATCGATCCTCGGATAAAAGCCGCGTCACTTTTGGCAGATCGCCGCTGGAAGCAGCACGATAGAACAATTTGGTCATTTTGGATTTTCGCGTGTCCGCGTCCAAGTCGGAACGTTCAACAAGAGAGTTTTCATCATCCAGATCGTCTTCGTCCGGAATGTCAAATGTGTGAATGTCGGTCTTATCAGATGAAGTGGACGACGGAGTCAGAACCATATTGCTTCCCAGCATCTCTGAAAGTTGCTTATAACTCTCAGCCAACCGTTGGGAAATTTCGTTGCAGGACATATTCTCGTATTGTTTTCGTACGTGATCAGTGTCTTGCTCATATTCATCGTCTTGCTCTTTGATCATACTCAATGCGTTTGCAAATTCAGAGGCCGGCATGAGCGGTTTTGGCTTATAGTTCAGAGTAGCGGTGTTGTCTTCCTCGGGCGGTGGAGTAATCACAGAGCCGTCTGTCACCATGGTTGCAAAGTTGGAAGACAATAAAAACAGTAGAAAATATTATAGAATTTAAATTATAGAAATCAAGAAAGGAGAACGAATACTTTTTCTTTTTGCTTTCTTAAATATCCAAAGAGTTCAACACAGAAAAGAAGGAAGTAAAAAGACAGATAAATCAATGAATAGTGACAAAAAAGCAAAGAGGATTGAAGCAAAGAAAAAAAATAAAAATAAAAAATAAAAAACGTGGATAATAAATAGCGGATAACGAAAAATGGAGTGGTTTGTCCCTGTATCACTTTCAAGGGAAATGGGAAAAAAAAGGCCTTTGACCATAAAAGTAATGTGAATCTTACTGTTTGTCAATTTCCTACGAAGGAACTTTGCCACGCGTCTGATTTTGCAAAACTACAATATTGGAGCGCTCTTTTGCTTCTTTGGTTCTGCGTTGTTTTTTTGAAGGAGTGATCATCCACCTAATATTCCTCGATGTATGTCGTTGAAAGGGTAAGGGGAACTATAAAAAAGAAGTTGAAGGGTCATCCCAGGTTACTGTATTTGGCAACTATCACGACGTGCAGGGAAAAAAAAGTGACACAGTGGAAAGAACCTTTTTTTTTGTCCAAGCCAAAAAAAAAAAAGGAGGCACCCTTTTAGTTTTTATCTTTCTTTTTTGGCCAAAAGAAAAAAGAAGGGTCAAATCGTTTCTGACTTGGTAATACTATTGGCAACTTTTTTTTGACAGTAACTCACAGCACCACATCTTCGAGTCGAACAAAAGGATGGCGTTGGAATTCTGTACTCCCCCTATTCCGGGCGAGACCCACAAGTACTATGGCTATTCTCACAACAACTTTATCAAACTACCGCAATTCATGGCCTTGCCGCCTAACGTGCCTGTGAAAAAGAAACCGGAGCAAAAACAGAAAACGATTCATGCCGTGGCTTCGGCGGGCAATCTCATTTTGCTCAAGCAAATCTTATTACTGTTACCGGATCCACTGAAAGCTGTCAATGACCCTCATCCTTCCACGGGATTAACTCCGCTTCACTTTGCTGCCTCGCGCGGTCATGTTGACATTGTGCGTTGCCTGATCGAGGAATATTCAGTTGCCGTGGATTCCAGGGATAAGGAAGGCGAGGTTTGTATCTAAAAAAATATTCAAACCCGGCCTCTTGGAGGTCACAACATGATTGCATAAATTTTAACATTTCGTTGTCTTGGTGTTAGACCGCCCTGTTAAAAGCAGCGTACAACGGCCATTACCATGTCGTGCGTTATCTCCAGACGAAAAATGCCAATATCCATCAGAAAGACAAGGACGGTTGGACAGCCCTTCATAACGCGTGTTCACGGGGTTATCTTCCTATTGTGCGATTGTTGATCGAAAATGGAGCTCGCGTGGACGTGCGAAGTAAAATGGGGCACACCCCCCTAAGTAAGTGTATCAGAACCCTGAAGGAATTCCTTTTTGTCTTCTAATTCTTTGTCGATCCATACTTTTTCATTTTTTTTCCCTCGCATTTTTTTTTTCCGCGCTCGGTTACTCTCCTTGAAAACCACGACTTCACAGTCAATGCCGCCTCCAAGGGATACATGTCCATTGTTGAATATTTACTGGATGAAGCGCATGCCGATCCTTTGGTCAAAAACAGCTTTGGGGAAGCCGCTTACGACGTGAGTGCCGCCGCTGGCGAATCTTACATTTGCGAAATGCTCCAAAAAGCAGGAACCAAGTGGTGGCAAATGCAGTACATCGAGCAAGGTACGTCATACCCTCCAAGTCCATTCCAAAAAAGCACGATCCTCCGCTTTCTATTTCTATGTGTTGAGGAAAGAAAACTGAATCGGCAATCCGCTTGTTTATAGGCACAGACCCCATGGTGGTATCGCAAAGAAGCTCGAATTACGATCTCTTGGATTTCCATGTGACGGTCATGGTGGTTCTCCATGAAAATCAACGAGCCACTTCGATTCTGGGTTTATCGAAACCTCAGTTCAGCGCCACCGCATTGACAAAATACGATGTGAAGGGTCCTTGGTCTCTACATCCATCGGGTCTTTCTTGCTCCAAGGAAGAGGTGCGTCTACCACCCAGCAACGTTGGACGTTCACCGGGCGGATCCAACTGGTTTTGGTTGACAGACTGGCAAATCGATTACAGTGACCCCCGTATTGATCCCACGTCAGGATGGCAATATGCTCGCTCCTTTGATACAGCCGACAACGCCTGGACTCCTGTAGCCCCTACCGCAGGATACGGGTGGGTCCGACGACGACGCTGGGTACGCGTGATGAAGCGGCGCATGGATCTCGCCAAAACCAATACTACGTTACCCAATGACACCGATCATCCGGAGAATGAATCGCAAGGCGACTACTTGTATTACGCCGAAGAAATCATGCAAGCGACCAAACGTGAATTATCTGCATCCACTGAAGATGCAGGTCAACCTATTCGTCACACCATCCGTCAACTTACCAAGGAATTGCGTTCCTACGAAGAAGCGGTGCAAATGCTCTTGGCAGGCATCAAAAGTAAGTGCTATATTTTCTCTTTTTATTTGGTCTTTTTTTGGCACTGTGACCGTGATCTCATCTTTCTTGTCTTTGTTTTGTTGTCTTGTCCTGTTTGTAGCGGATTATAATCAGTTCCGTAAACATCAAGCCTCAATCCTGGTGACATCGTATTCAGAACATATTGACAAGCTGAATGCTCAGATTACCGAACTGGCTCCCAAGCTGTCGACTCCCATTTCTCCTGCCCCACTTCAACATAACGAGGAGCTCGCCCGAGAATTAGGATTCGTCCAATCATCTGACAACCGACTTGCTCGAGATTCGGCGGTTTACAATAACGAACCTAGCGCGGCCATAGGTTCTGATTTTGATGCCAATCCATGGTCCCGTCTCGGTTCCAATACCAATACGCATTCGCAGTCGGTTGAACCCTGGCAAGCATCGACGTCGGTGCTGCAACATGATACATCCGGACTTCATGCCGTAGATTTACTCGGACACAATGACCCCATGGATGAGTTTACGTCTCCGTTATCTACACAACAAGCGACGCAATCTCAAGGTCCCCGTCCATTTGCGTGGGAAGCTGATCTGGAAGCGAAAGAATGTCGTCGTTGCAGTCGTCGGTTTGGATTATTGGTGAGACGCCATCACTGTCGTCGATGTGGTCTTATTGTATGTGACAAATGCTCGTCGTCTCGCGCTTATCTTGCTCCATCCGAGATCCTGCAAGATCCGGCCAGTCCGCTGGAATCCGTTCAAGTCCTGGCATCGCAACATCAACGTGTGTGTGATAAATGTTATGCCGACCTTGGCATGAGCTCTTGAACGGATCTCTTGTGTCTATGTAATGTAATTTGATATGTAAATTCTTTGATTCGCCCTTTTGTTTATCTGAACTCTCCCCAGTGTGTGCCATTCCTTATTGTTTATGATCCTCCTCACGTTGTCCCATTTTCTTGTATGCATTGATGATTCCCACTTTTTTTTTTTTTTACTCCTTCTACACCACACAGTAAAAAAGTTGACCCAATTCAAATTGTCTTCCTTTGCTTTTCCACTCATCTGTAAAAAAAAATCGGAATTGTTCGTTTTCCTGTGTCAACCAAACTGTTTCCGCGACACTCTGTTCCGCCATTTCTTTTCCTTGCAATAACAAGTAACAGGAAAGAAACATGTTGGAAACCCTTGTACAATGGGGAACGATCAACAGTTTTTGTACTGTACAATAACACATGCATTTATTGCTCTGCTACATGTGCTATACTTTATATCTGATCTTGACTATAACAAGCCGTACACCCGCTGTGCAATGGATGCCACCTGCTACTGGATGCCGCACTCTTACATTGAGCGACATTCGTCAGACAAAAGCCTAACGCAATACGGCATAACCTGGGCGAGACTCTTGATGGAACTTTGGTATATTAATGTCAATACTCTGGCATACCATGAAACACTTTTAATGAACAAAGCAGCACTTATTGACCCCCTCCGTTCTGTCCCGCCCAAGGTTATGATAGATCTACAAAGATGTGTGGGAATGTTGGGTATTTAAAAAAAATGAGTTAGTAAGCTCTTTGGTTGATTCAAATTTCGTTGAGATATTTTACCTTTGATGTTTGATGCAGCAGATACTGAGGGCTTCCCGACCGAAATAAAGAAAGGATACAAATATATAAAAAAAAAAAAGTAAATACAATAGGTGCGTCTGTAAAAACCCCCTAAAAACCCTGTGGGAAAAAAAAGGAGGAAAAGACTGCAAGAAGACTATTCACTAAAATACAAAATACATACTACAACTACAAAATAAAATGGTCGGGAAGAAATATCGAAGGCGATACCACGGGCAGCAATCCATATGAGAGGAACCTGGGGAGGACGCGTCAGCGTTTCCCGATGAAAAAGAGAGTCACACCACCGACGATGCCTTTGACGACAAAAACCGGTTTGGCCACATTTGAGCGCGAACAAAGTAGAAGGATTTGGAGGGATGGATGACTTGCCAAGCGAAAAGAAAACCGGAGAGAAAACCAAAAGCTAAAGAAGGGGTAGAGAAAAAAGAACGTGAGTTTTTTCTTGTCGAAAAACGAATAGTCACATCACACAAAAGGTACCTTTTTGATAATACTCGACTTGACCGGTTACAGATAGACGCCGGATACACCATAGTCTGGATGATGGATGATGGATGTGGATGCGGGTGAGGATGCAATGATATTGAGGGCTTTTCAGGTAAACGGAAAGAGGGAGAAAACCAAAGGAAAAAGAAAAAATTGAAGACAAAATGAATGAGTTCCCATGGATGAAACAATAGTCACTCTGCCAATGCAAGAATGATGATCAGGTCAACCACATGGGCCAAAAAGTGGAACATTTGCGGTTGGTTTACCTTTAAATCAAACATTGTGCCGAAAGAAAATATGTATACGGACCACACGTAAGCTTCTTCTTCGATGCGGAAAAGAAAATTGCTTGCAGAAACAGTTAAGCGGCGGAATATTTTTGGGGCGGTGGTGTCAGCTTGAGCAGGGCCAAGATATTGATGTGGTCAGAAGTGCCGGTAATTTCGAGCTGGAGGCCAGATATCGATAGTTTTCCCGAGTAAAAATAAAAGAAAATAAAACTTGCGTCAGTAAAAATCTCACAAAAAACCCTGTGGCGAAAAAAAGAGGGAAGACTGCGAAAAGAATACTTACATGAAAGACGATATCAAGAGTAGGAATCCAAATGAGGGCAACATGAGGAGGACGCGTCAGCGTTTCCCGATGAGAAAGAGAGCCACACGACCGAAGATGTCCTTTGACGACAAAAACCGGATTGGCCACAATCTGGTGCCCGAACAAAGTAGAAAGGTTTTGGAGGGATGGATGGCTTGAATGGCTTGCCAGGCAAAAGAAAACCGGAGAGAAAACCAAAAGCTAAAGACAGAATAGAGAAAAAGGACAGGTAAATTTTTTCTTGTCGAAAAACGGATAGTCGTATCACACAAAAGGTACCTTTTTTCATAATAATCGAATCGACCGGATCAGATACACGCCATAGTCTGGATGATGGATGATGGATGCAATGATAGTGAGGGATTTCCAGGCAAACAGAAGAGATGCAAAACTAAAGAAGAAAAAAAAATTCGGACAAAAATATGTGATTTTCCATGGATGAAACAATAGTCACCTCACTGATGCATGAATGATGAGCTACACAGATCGAAGCATATCTGCTCCATGTATCATTCGATTACTGAAGAGAATGAAAGGGCATATACAGTATAACTGACAGATAACCCAAATTAAATGATGCTACAAAACACCAGATCGTCGTATCGTCAATCACCTTTCTTCAAAAAAGAGCTCCATTCACATTTTATGTGAACGGCGACGATGCTCTGTTTAACCACAACTGGCGCAAACGGCATTTGCTGCTGATTGTTTCGCCTATTATCGTGAAAGTGGGCAGCGAGGCATGGTTGAAAGATAAAAAAAAACGTTTAACAGGTCCTGATAACTTAGTGTAGATCATGTGATTTACAAAATCGCTAATTTTTCAAAGATTTTAATTATATAACTAGGTGGAGCCCGTGATCTTCAAGATCACAATTGGGGATATTTATTGGTAGACTCAGGGTATGCTACCATGGGTGTGGTTAGAATGGCATGAAGGTGTGCCAGTTCTAACGTATGAGGTAGAGGGCGCAGGTGGAGCCCGTGATCTTCAAGATCACAATTGGGGATATTTATTGGTAAACTCAGGGTATACTATATTTTTGGTGAAATGTTCATTTGAACTGCTGTGGATCAGGTATCTTCGCCGATATGATAGAATCGTAGTGCTCTGGCGTCACAGGTTTATCAGCTTCTTTTAAAATGAGTAGAATATGCGCATGAGGCAATCCTCTTTTCTGGAACTCGACGGTATAAACGTAGCCAATTACTTTTCCAAGTGTATGGTTTTTTGTTAGATCCTTCAAAAGAGCTCTGAGCTTGAGGTTGAAAACTCGTGCTGTCAAATCTGGCCGATCAGATACTGTCTGTGAAGCAAGAAGCTCATTCCGAATTTCTGGCCATTTTGGATTACACGTGAATGTAATGAAGAGGTCAGGCTTTCCGAACATCTGACGATACTCATTGCATCTTGGTACAGCTGTTGCATGTTTCGAGGGCTGCCAATGAATGACGACGGAAGGATGACAGGCTGACCGATGGAATTCATATTCATATTGTTGTCGTCAAGTTGGAGAGCATCTTGTACGCCTGAATACACATCAGCACGCAGTCGGGACTGGTTGAGGCAAAGGTGATTGAGGCGGTTTTGTTCCATCTTGGCATACATATCTACGATATACTGCTGAAAGAGTCGGCCAAAGAGGTGCAAGTGGTGTCCATCATTTCGATACATCAATCTGAAACTGTAGTAGTTCATCACGGTGACTCTGTCGTTTCTGGTCGATCGAGTTTCAATGTTCCACCCAGGGTCGCCTTCAGGAAACATCAGCACGTAATGGAGTGGGTCATACAGGCGATGCATCTCACTGATTGATGTCAGTTGGTCACTACGCGTACAGATCACAATATCCCTTCCAGAGGACTCTGCGTTTTCACCGATAATGACACCAATTTCAGAAGCATTTGTGCATTATAGCGTCGTGGATCTGGGGCATCGTCAGCTCGAATAATCATTCTGATGTTGGAAGCACCACCATTATCCTGTATGTATTGGGCCATTGTCTTGAAAAGATGGATGAAAGGATTGGTTTCATGCATTAATTGCTGAAGTACTTCCAAGGTGTCTCGCGCGAGATGGCTTGCAATTGCATGTCGATTTGATATTTCGTTGTCAGTATCATGGACGTATATTTGTGCAAATGCAGGTCGTTGGCCATTAGCAGGAAGTAGTGATCCCATCAAGTGGTAAACACTTCCATGAATACGGAAGCAGTAAGCGCCCCGTCTGCCATTCATTACACTTTCGTCTAAATTTACACCAAGAGAAGTAAAACTGAGAGCACTACAATAAGCTCTGATCTTGAGCTGGAAATCTTTTGCTTGCGCCCCAGTCCCTGTCAAAAGCGAGGCAATCAAAGGAGGGGTGGGTTTGAGAGGAGAAAGTACAAATTGACCATTTCCACAACAGAGCTGAAACTTAGGATCATTCATAGTACTTCCAGCAATTTTTTCTCCACTCCACATTCGTGCCTGACAGTGGCTGCAGATGACATTCATGGCTCCTACATTATGAAGATTTGGCATCGAGACATTGGGATCGCGAGCCACATTGGGCCTAGAATTGAAATTTTCTGTATTTCCGTCTTGATTATGAAGGGGACAATGGCGGTTTGAGCGACGACGATGTCCTGTTTGACCACAACTGGTGCAAACCGCATTTTGCTGCTCATTGTTTCTTTCGCCCATTATTTATAGTAGTGTTTCGTGGAGAGAAATTTGGGCAACGACGATTGGTAGAACGCTGGTGATCGTTGCCGTTGCAAGATGGGCAGCGAGGCATGGTTCAAAGATGAACAAAAAAAAAAAAAAAGGCACCAATATCGAAAGAATTGAGATTCTAATGACTTGGTGTATTGCAAAAAGATATCAAGAAGTTCTGATAGCTTAGTGTAGTTGAAGAAGAAAAGAAGGCACCAAAAAAAAAGAAAAGAATAATAAGAGGTTCTGAAGAGAGAAGGCACAAAAAAAGGTTCCGATAGCTTAGTGTGGAAGTCATGTGATTTACAAATTGCTAATTTTTCAAAGATTTTAATTATATAGACTATTTCCAATGGGTGGTTGTTCCTTGATGCTGAATCATGAATGACTGGTGACCGACATCAGGTACGTTTACAGGATATTGTTGATGACTTTGTATCCTCGCTCGGGTTTTGCTGCCAATAATTGTTCCTTGGTGGGTATGGATGCCACGTTTTCGACATGAACGAGTTCTTTCAACTTGAGAATGAGACCTGCTGTGCTAGGATTGACAGGTTGGTATGTCGTTTGATGGAGACGAACAAGACCCAAAGTCTTTGCGGCTGCTCGATAATCTTGAGAAAGGCCGATGGTGGATCGTTTCAGGGTGACTTTGTAGTACTTTGCAACGGCTGCACTGCTGGTGAATAATCGTTGTTGCATATTGTGAGAAAGATGGAGCAAATGGACCAAAGATAAAGAGCCAGCAAAATGCCGCAAAGAAGGGACGCTTACTTTGGTGGCTTAGCAACATGGGTTCGAATGGGCAAGTTTAGCGGAGATTCAAAACAATCGAGCAATTCGAGGAAGGGGGAATTCTGGGAACTCCCGCATTGTCAAAAGCGTTCGTTCAGTCGTGTTTTGTTTCTTTTTGCTTCTTTCTTGAAGGGAGAGAGTGACCAGTGTTAGTCCATTGTATGTATAGGATTGCTGACCTTATGCGATTTATTTTAAAACTCCCGCTTTATTTATTCAAATACATTATCGGTCCGCACAGGCTTGAAGAGTCCCTTTTCAATGAACCATTATTTACGTGTTGCATTGTGTGATTTCAGGAGTGATTCTTTGTCTTGCTGTCAAAGATGGAAATTTTTGCAATTGGCGGTCATACAAGATTTGCTTCGCAGTAAGCAGATGCAGCTTCGCTCTTTCTTCGTTCTTTTTTTCACTTCTTCTTTCCCTTATCCCGAAATCTGACCCGCACTTCTCGAACTTGACATCTTGGTCACTAATACTAACCAGCCATCTTTGCCTGCAAAATGAATGCTATCTCCGACGATATTTGCAACACTATTGAAGCACGGCCTATTGCTGGTGACACTTATCAGGTGGCTTTTCGCACAAGCGGTGTCTCACTGGCGACAATTTCGCGACTTGCCAAGAATCATAAAGTGGAATCGCATCAGAAACGTAGCCGCAAACCGAAGATTTGGGGCCACCTTGCACGTCTGCTCCTCAAAAAACTTTTGACTGGGCGTACAGCACTGCTGCGGAGGCTGCTGCGCAGTTGGCTACTGAGGGTACAGCTGTTTACCCTCAACCAATCCGGACTCATTTTGCCTGCAGCCAACTTTAAGGCTATGAACAAGAAGCCTGCGAGGCCATTGACTCCTGCCCGCAAGAAGAACTGGACGGCTGCTGACTGGAGAAAAGTCGCTTTTACTGATGGGCGCGCTGCATATGCTCCGAATTTTCATTATCCGACGCATACAAAGAAAAAGAACCCCCTTACGGTTCATCCGCAGCCTGCCTGTCCCTTTGGCTGCTTCCAATCGCATCAGCACTTCCCGAGCTTGTCTGCAGTCTCGACGATCATGTCCATGCGTCAAACTTTCTGATTTCACACGCACGAACACGAGCACAGTGATCGATCATGACTACGACAGTGAGTTCGACCATACAACAATTAAAAACGTGTGGTGTAACAAGTTCAAAAAAGCCAAAAAAAAGTACAAGACCCATCGAGGTAAGGAACCAAATATCCATCAACATAATAAAAGCAGACAAAGTTTTGATTGACTATGTAACTTAGGTTGTCAAAGGTAACTAACAACTCCATTGGGTCGAGCTTGAGAGCCGCATCCGAGAGATATGTATAGAAACGAATGATATGCATACCGTACTACTGACCCGTTTCATCCACTTTTCGAAACCCAGCGCAAGTTGAAGACCGAAGTGCAAAGACTGAGAAGAGATCTCTCCTCCAGAACCTTGGAAGGTTTTAGGTAAACAAGTGAAAATCTCATCGACGAACTATTTAATCCTGCAGTAAGTCACTATTGCCCTATCGCTTGGTAGCTATGGTTCATATGTTAACTTATTTACAGGATGAAGAAGCTGGAATGGATTTCTTAAGTTTGAGGGAAAAGATTCGCCATTGGAGACGTGGCGCCACACGCATTAGCGATTTGGCAGAACAAGAGTAACTGACGAAGACTGTGGGATAGCGATTTTCATTGACATTTGCTGTTGTTTCGACTTCCCCATAGTCTGCTGTATTATGGGATTATACAGTAGATCTGGCCACTTCGCATAAATGTGGAACAAAGGACCTGCTGGACTCTCACTACGACGACTTTCCAGCAAGTATGGGAATGCCGTTCGAAATAGCAACGGTGTTCCCATCTCCAAGGGCGTCGCCACAACAGTCGTCAATCCCCCACAGAGCTACTGAAGTGCACCGCTATGTGTGACATAGCTATAAAACAAGTTAGCATATGAACCATGTCTATAAGACGATAGGGCAATAATGACTTGATAGTTCGCCGATTAAATGTTCACTTGATTCCCCGACACTTTCAAGGGTTCGAGACGAGAAATCTCTTCTTAGTCTTTGCATTTCTCTCTGAGCCTTGTACTATTTTTAAACAGTGGATGGAAACTGGTCAGCATTAAGGTATTGCATATCACTAGTATTTGTACATACTTCATGAATACGGCTCTGAACTCGACCCAATCGAGTTAGTAGTTATCTTTGACAAACTACAGTAAGATACATAGTTCAATTAAAACTTTGTCTGTTTTATTATGCTGGTGGATATTTGGTTGCTTACCTCGATGGGTCTCGTGCTTTTCTCTTTGGCTTCTTTGAATACGGCACACGATACGTTTTCAATCGTCGTGTGATCGAACTCCTTGCCGTAGTCGTGATTCATCACTATGATTGTGTTCGTACGTAAGACATCAGATAGCTTGACGCAACGTTCATTCTCGTCTAGCCTGCAGATAAACTCGGGAAGTGCTGGCATAATATGAAGCAGTCAAAGGGACAAACAAGCTGTGGAATGAAAAAGGAAAAGGTTTTCTTATCCTTTTTATATGCGTCGGGGCGACCAATAAATTTTCATTGTGATATCCAGCGCATTTTTTCATTGTGTCAGTCCATCCCCTTCAATTGTGGGTGCTCCGCCACCAAACCTTCTTTTTTCCTGAGTCACGGCTCCCATTATGACCGATGAATTCCCATCATAAAGTTTGATAATGATACAAAAATCTTGCTATCGTTCAATGAATATAACTCACTATCGTCGTATCACCCGTGCATAGGATATACTGTATATCTTTTGCTTTGGCCTCACAATAGTATCTGAAAGACGATGAACATACATGAACCCGACATTTTCTCTGATCATTCTTTCCAAGTATCACTAATACGATGCTATCACAGGATTCTGGCCTGTTCATTTGTAAACCTGTTCGATGACGCTTCAATTATTGAAATATCAAATAGCCTCGATGAATACATTCTGGACTCAATAATATTTTCACTGTATTCATTCCGTAATTTGTACTCGCCATCGCATGATAGTATATATGGCTAGACTTGCCGTATTGTTTGCGCTGGTCTATAAACATACAATAAACAATTTCCAATAGATATGATTGATAGCACAGCCAATCTGCTACATTATGTTTTGCCTAAAAAACTTGTTGAAAGAGCTGGACGCTTTTATCTTTATTCATTAAGACGATGTAAGTAAATCTTTTGATGCGTAGATAGATACAGTACAAAGATCTAAAAAATACTATCGACGGAGTAGATTATGATAATATCGTTCATGACTTTCAACTCGAACAACAAAAAGTTTATTCGTTACACTTTGGACTCTTTTTTTTATCTCTCACTGGGAAAGACATCAGGATGACGTTTCGAAGCTAGGCAACAGTTTCTTCAGAAAAAGCCTCTTCATGTCATTCGATGGAAGATTGTTTATCCGAATATTCCAGCAGCAAAAGCCACTTTTTCTGCCGCGAATGCTCAGCAGCGCCCGGAAACTCACTAGGGTCATCCCAATCTGACCGGATTCGCAATCGGGGGTTAAATATAAGGGCCGAGAAATCATCGGCCGCTTTCGTTTGAGTTCTTATTGTGCTGCGTTTTATCTTTTTTCTGCAGTTTCCTTTTGCTTCTATTGTATTTTGTATTGTTCGTTCATTTACGACCTTCCGTATATTTCATATCTATTGTACCAAATTTTCTTTTTTTTTTCCAATCGAAAAAAAATTCCCGTCCAACCGTATAAGCTTTGCGCATTCCATTCCATTTACTTTTGGGTTACCGCAACGCATGTCAGTTATCGCCCAAATTAAACGATTCATACGAAGTGGTCGTAATGACTCCAATGACGACACTTCTTCCGAAATCTCTCAATCCAAAGCCGAAAAAATTGAAAAGGCGGCCGTGTTTGTCGAACGTCAAAACGAACGCAAGTCCCGTATGCCAAAGTATGACGGACTTGAGCGATATAAGCTGACCGGTAAACTGGGAGAGTAAGTTTTCAACCCAAGAAAGGAAAAAAGAGGCCAACTCATCAAGAATATTCATCTAAATATTATTTTTAGTGGTGCATTTTCAGTGGTCTACAAGGCAGTGGATCTTGATACCAACGAGAATGTCGCTCTAAAGGTGGTGCAGAAAAAGGAATTGAACCGACAACAGGTAAAACTCAGCGTCACGGGGTTGCATGGAAAAATGCGAAATTGTGTCATATTGATACGCTTGTCTATTTTTGCTCAGAGAGCAAGTGTGCTCAAAGAAATCCAAATTATGCGAACCCTCAAACACCCTTCTATTATCCGCTTACTCAATTACATCGAAACAGACAAGGTAAACATCACGCGTTACCGCAGTACTTGTCGCAGAAGTCCGACCAGTAGCTAAATGAGATGATGTGCTGGTTACACAATTAGTATTACTTTCTCGTATTGGAACTCTGTGAAGGCGGCGAATTATTCCATCAGATCGTTCGCTTGACCTATTTCAGTGAAGATCTCGCCCGCCACTGTATACGACAAGTAGCGGAAGGAATCCGGTACTTGCATGAAGAAAGAGGTGTCGTTCATAGGTAAGTTTCGAGCGAGGGTTATTCCATATTCTTTGCCGTTCATTGGTATTCATGCATTTTGATCATGGCACCCATAGAGATATCAAACCCGAGAATTTATTGTTTGAACCGATTCCCTTTCATCCGCGTGTAAGCACGCCGCCACCGACGCAATTTGAAGACGAGCCAAAAGAAGATGAAGGCGAATTTATCCCTGGTGTTGGTGGAGGAGGCATCGGAAAGGTCAAAATAGCGGATTTCGGATTATCAAAAGTAGTGTGGGATTCGCAAACCATGACACCTTGTGGTACCGTGGGCTACACCGCTCCGGAAATTGTCAAGGATGAACGGTACTCCAAATCAGTGGATATGTGGGCTTTGGGTTGTGTGTTGTATACCTTGCTGTGTGGATTTCCTCCGTTTTATGACGAAAGTATCAAGGTGTTGACCGAAAAGGTCGCCAAAGGCCAATTCACATTTTTGAGTCCTTGGTGGGATGGCATTTCCAATGGTGCGAAAGATTTGGTCTCCAATCTCTTGACGATCGATCCTGATCAGCGTCTTACCATTGATCAATTTCTTGACCATCCATGGATGAAGACACCGGTAAGTGGATTGGTAAAATCATGAACATTAGCAATGAATCAGTACCTTATGCTTTGTCTCTCTATAGGAACCCGCTTCCGCCACACCAGCCATGTCTGTGAGTTCACATGCCACCGATTCCTTATTCGCAGCCGAAGTGGAAACGATTAAAAGCAATCTCGAAAACTCACCTGAAGAGTCGGAAGCAGAAGCGTTCAAACGCATGTATCAACAGCGAACCCAAGCCCGTGAAAGCGATACGGCGTCAATACGCTCAGGTCAAACCACGCCACGAAGAGATTTGTATTCTGGCGTAACGTCTATGAAAGAGATGTTTGACGTCTCTTATGCTGTGCACCGTATGGCGGAAGAGAAGGCTCGACGTCAAAAATTACGTGCTCGACAAGGGGGTAATACACCAGTGGATCATCGACGCTCGCGTCTGATGAATACACTCAATATCGATGAGAACGATTCAGACGAGGACGAGGACGAAGATGACGATGAGGATGACGATGATGGTACCACAACGACCGACGATACGGTAAATGAACAGGATGCTCAGCTAGAAGAACTGCGCAATAAGCTGGACGAGTTGGCCATGGCGTCGAATCAGCAACTCAAAGAGGTATCGCAGTTGAAAGAAGAAAAAACACAGCCCGAAAGGCGTCACGGTCGATCCAAACGAACAAGATCTCCGGCCTTGTTTGAACTCAACATTGATAAAGCAACGTTGCTGGAAAGACGCAAGAAAGACCAAGGTCAAGATGATAAAGCAGAGGCGCCTTCTGTTGATATAGCTCATGCTCCGCCTCAAGATTCCGCTCCAAATCCATAATACCTCCACTGTAAAAAGTACTCATCCGTGGTCCAATTTTATCTGCAGCGCATACAACACCCCTACCTTTCAACATATTTACATAACGCAACGCGCACATACATTACATTCCATTTTTTTAGTTTCTTTTTAATGTAAAAGATATAAATTCGTATATGCACATGTATAAAGTTCAAAGCAATCAGAAGGAACAGATCACATTCATGGATGAGATAAATCATCTTTTGAAGGTACCATTTTGGATAACACTGTAGAACATTCCAGTGTAAGATCAGAATTGTGGAACAATGTCAGTGTTTGTATGACGAAATAGGTGGCGTGCATATCTTGTAACATTTTTTTTTTGTTAATGGTGAATGAGCCTATGTGACAATTAGGGAATAGGGGATCCCGCTCTGGCTTGCACGGCAGTAATAAAGGCGGCGTAGGACCATGTTAAATCTCTTGCCCCTTGTTCGAATCCTGTGATTCGATCGTATTGTTCAGATAACGAACCATTGGCACGTTGATGGTATTGTACGGTGGCCATAAATTTATCCGCTTCCGCTGCTATATTTTCAGTGAGCCGCACGTAATCGGGCGATCCGTATTTGTACATTTTGCCTCGGACGGCATCCGCATCGAATTTTCGGAAAAACGGTTCGTTGATATGGTTGACAGAGACTCCCCCTTGGTCGGCCCATTCAAGCATGGCATTATAATATAACTCACTGTAAGCACTTGTGGCGAGGAACCATGGGTTACCCAAAGAAATGCCATAGCCATCATAAACGTCTTCAGGATAACGACCAATGGCTGTACCAAGGTTGGATGAAAGATGGTAGTTGAGAGGATACAGATCGGAAAATGCATCTTCAATGGCGGCCGCCGTCGCCAGAATCTGCAACAAACGCGGTGAAGCATCCAGTTTTAGTATAAAAAAAAGTTAGACCGTCGCACGCATCAGTAAGCGGCATGTCAAACATTAGTTTGGGACCCTCTGCAGTTTACCTTGTCCGAACCTGGAGTGAAGAACCCTTTAAAAAAAGAAACAAAAGGTGCAAATAAGCAAAAGTCCAACTTGCAATTTCTCTTAAGAGCCACGTCATTTTTACCATCTTTGCGGTACGCTACGATATTAGCAGCAAGGACAGTGGACACATCCAGTCCGGAGCTCTTTTCAACACCGAGCACTTGATCTTGGGTGACATGGATGTAATTATCGGCAGAAGACCAAAACGTGGTGAGGCGGTCCTCAATAAGTGATGCTACAGAATGGTATCGAGAAGATCTCGTTTCATCATGATAACGAGCAGCGAACTGTGCTCCATCCAATAAGGCTCGACGCATGACCATGAGGGTATAAAAATGGACCCCTTTGACTTCTTCCCTAAGTAAAACATCATCATGTGAGATTGTCCATCCGAGATCATATGAGTAGATTCAATAGTCATCACGGCGTACCAAAGATCGAAACACGGCTCGGACCATGTTTCCACTAAATAGTCGAGATCTACGTAGATGGCAGGCAGCAGGGTGTGAGTTACGTATTCCTTGTCGTGATGACGGGCAAGCCAGCTATCAGCAAATAACATGAAGGTGACAGCACGTTCGGCTGGTCCGTCGTTCTGAGGTCTAGGAAATTTCAGTGTTCAAAAAACATGGGAGTTCATCTCTTTGGTCCTCTTGGCCCCGAAACTGTACCTTCCCCAATCTCCTTGGAAACCTGTCCCATTGGGATTGAATTTTGGTTCACCGAGACATTGGCAAACGGTGGGCGTAGACTGTGTGTGAATCTGGAAAGTGACATAATCCTGAAGCATGTTGGCCAATGTATCATCGGTAGTGTTGTATTGATGTACAATGACACGGGCCACTAACGCAGCGTCACGAGTCCAGGTGTAAAAGTAATCCGGATGGTGGGTACTCAAAGAAGCTGCCACAAACCCTTTCACGGCACCGGGTGGGTTGATGTTACGGAACATGGCTTGGTAACTGATATGCTCTTCTTCCTGTATCCAATCATCAAAAGAAGAGGCGACACTCTCTACTTGAAACGTGAGTCGGCGGTTGTGAAGGTTTGCAATGAGTCGCACTTACCTCGCAACAAGACTCGTTGATCAGGCGTATACAAGTACTCGCCAAGCACGCTTCGCGATATGAGTAGCATTAACCATTGTATATACAGGCTTTGCAAGAAGACCATGAATAATAAAGTAAATTGACAAGATAGATGAATGGGTGGAAAAAAGGGGGGGAAAAAAGTGAAAAAGAACTGGTTCACATGAAAAAAAAAAAAAAAATATGCCCAGCTGCATGATGTGTTTTTCTCTTCTGAGCTTCCATTGGACCAGCTGATCGGCATGGATGAAAATGGGTGACTGTGGAAGACGATTTGGACTTTGAATGGGTCACCTAGAGATCCGGCCTTGGAGCCATATCATTTACGTGGTCAACAGTACCAGTATATGTGCCACGTAGTCTATGTCTATAGCCAGACTCTGTGAATCGCTTTTGCTGTATTTACCAAATACGCTGATAAATGCACACTGCCCGCAATTCGTGTCTCGAAAAATAGAATTCGCAGATCTCGGCAAAATATTTAACCGCTGAAACTGTATTTTTTGAACAAAAATTCTGTCTGCCACTACAACAACGATCCACGGTCTAGATCTAGTGCAGTACGATGCAACGCACATGTCGTCGGCTGTTTACCACTACGGTGAAGATACCCACCACGATTATTCCAAAAACCGGAAAGCCGGTCTCGCGCATTGGATTTGGTGCTTATCGTGTGTCAACGGACGAGCATGGCCAAGCACTACGGGATGCTCTGCAAGCCGGTGTCAACGTTATTGATACCGGTGCCAATTTCGAAAATGGTATTCGTCTATGTGTATATTAACGTCTGATGAAGATCTATATTAACGCGTAGAGAAACGGCGCAGGTGCTTCCGAGAAGGTGATTGGCAAAACATTGCAAGATCTGCAGGTCGAACGAGAGGTAAGCAATGACAGATCGTGGTAGCTGAGGGACCGTTGCTTAACGCCAGTTCACATTTTTAAATAGAACCTGACGTTGATCAGTAAATCGGGCTATCTTTCGTCCGCAGAAGCTGCATTATTTCACGAAAAGGAGGCGGTCCAGATCACTGATAAAAGCTTCCACTCGCTGTCGCCAAAAGTTTTTGAGAAACAAATTGCCCAATCTTTGGATCGTCTTCGCACCAAGAAACTGGATATCTTTATGATTAATGCTCCAGAACGCATGTTGACAGCCAAAAATAAGGTAAAAAAAAGAGGGAACATTAGATCTTTGGAGGGGCTGGACGAATTTGTCTGATCGTGTAATTGTGGGCAGGTATACACATTGAATCATCTTTATAAAGATTTGGAAACTGCGTTCAAATACCTGGATACATTGGTGAGCGATGGTAAGAGACTGATTCCACAGAATACCCGGTTCTCGAGATGCATGTATTCAACTGTCCATAGGAACCATTGGGGGTTACGGTATCTGTTCCAACAGCATGGCACTTCCAACCGCAGTAGATCATATATCGCTTGCGGACGTTTTGAAATCGTGCAATCAGCCATCGAATTTTCAAGCTATCCAAGTTCCCTTCAATTTATATGAACGAGAAGCAGTAGTACCAAGTGGTTGGGATCAGAGTGCCCAGGTCAAACCTGTCAGCCAAGTAGCCAAAGTGAGTCAAGCGTAATTCAGCAGATATGCACACAATTTGTGTTGACACGGCGATCTAGGAAAACGATATTTATGTAATGACAAATCGTCCTTTGAATACCATTGCCAACGGTCAAATTCGTACCTTGGTGAATCATCCTATAGAAGTTCTTGCATCTGGCGCAGGTAAAAAAGTCAATTATCAATGCAGCAAAGGAACTCTTTGTACTCACGTATGAATGGCAGACGAGCACATGATCATGGAAAAAATGAGCCGGTCGTTCGAACGTGTGACTCGGCTGGAGACGGATATACTATCTGAGTGTAAGAATGAATGCCACTGATTGACTAAAGATAAACCACTAAATCGGCAAACACAGTACAATTGGAAGACGAATTGAGTACAAAGTTTGTTTGGAGCCAGGTACGTATGTAAAATATAGACAAGCTTGTGTGATCCTCATCTAACGCACGACATTTATGGAATTTAAGGTGCTGTCCGAGAATTTGGCTCGATTATCACAGAATTATTTTGCGGCTCGCCACTATTTATCGCAACAAGTGTTGCCTGCTGTTGAAAAAGACTTGGAAGATTTGGATGTGTACGCAGAAGAGATGGATGCAGAGGCAACCAAAGCCGCATTCGTTGATTGGATGACGAATTACCGCGAGGTATGAACGATAGGCTGCCGTTTCGTTCATTTTGCATCGAGCTCACAGTTAATTTTTAGGGTATGCGAGAATTGGTGGATGATGTTGTCTCTTACGCGTATGTGGACGTACTTCGAAAGAACAATGAATTGGATCGAATCATGGACGCGTTGTGTCCTTCGCTGGGTCGCGATTTTGAATCAGCCTATTCACCTTTGTCTGCAAAGACGCTGCGTTTTCTAATGGCGAATCCAAATGTAGACACTGTGTTGACGGGAATGCGTCAGCCTCGTTATGTGAAGGATGCTTTGTTGGCAACGCAGCATCTCGCAGTTGAAAAGGAAGACCTAGATGATGTGTGGCGATGTCCCTTGTTTAACTGAGGTGATCTTCGCTACCGTGCGCCTCTTTGATCGTCTTGCCAACGCGATTTCATTTTTTCCTTGTACCCGCCGAGCCCCACATCTTTCGATACATCTGTGATCCGTGCTCAAAAAAGACCATTGTACTTGACAACACCAAAAAAAAAAAACAGCATTTCATTCTGTTATAGACTAAATTTAAATATCATTGTATTGGAAACCACCGGCCTTGCCATGTCGAAATAGAATATTTTACGATCTTATGTGAAACAGAATAGAAGCATTTATTCCATCATCATAACAGCTATGTATCTCAAAATCTCGGTGTACCATTTTTTGATAAAGACATGGTTAATGGATTGAAATGCCGCGCTTGATACAAATTCTCACGAACAATAAATAGACGTGTGCTTACTACGTACATAAGATGTTCCGTGCGACATTATGCATGTGACATTTGAAGGCTGTCATCTCGTGCTGAACATATTTATCGGGCATATCGTCAAAAAGGGAAAGAACGATGGAGGAGAAAAGCAAATAATGCAGCCTAAAAAAATAACTGATTTCCAAAGAGACAGTGAACGCCGAGAACAGAAGGCACAATAGAAGATGGTGACCGGAGTAACTGACAAGATGACAACACTGACTCTATTTGGGGTAAATATAGTTACAGGTGCGCCTTGCTTTGTTAGTGAACTCCATTTGTGCAATGACGATAAATATCACAATCCTCCAGTAAGCTGAAATTGCGCATTTCAGTGACTACTAAATTTTAATCCAATCAAATAATTTTGATGACGTGCACCAGAAAATTATGGGCGTGCAGAAAATTATGGGCGTGCGGTAAAATATGGTCGTGCGGCGAAAGTCGCTCTGTGTTTTTGTTCACGCTTGATCGAGTCGCTGCTTGAATATCGCAATATGCGCTCACTTTCCGTCGCAAATTGTCGGGTACTATTATTTGACAGTCAGGATGTTTTGTATGAGAGCAATCAGTTGCTCTTTTTTACCAATATAGCGGATGGCAAACAATGTCATTGATGACTGTTACAGTCGGCAAGGTTACGTTGTCTAGGACGATAATGATCATCGACATGACAATTGTGGCGTCATGGCAGTACCTTTTAACTTGTGCACCAGGAAGTGAAAGAGTAACAAGATCTCGTAGATATCTGGATGATTAATTGACTCAATGCAGCCCATCTACACCGGCTGCTTCATGTGACAGCAAAAAACTGAAACCTTTTTTTTGATGAATACGGGCCAGCGAATTTCCATGATGTATCTATGATACTCTCTCAGTTGTCACCAGCTATTTTCATTCTCACAAGTAGTGTAAGCACAGTATCACTTGTTAATTGCGACAATGTGCATGATTCGTGGATCACTTCTTGCGTGAGCTGCAGGTGTCACTTTTGAGTGTATTATTTGCCATATCTGCTAATGTATTAAGAAGGGCCTCGTCAGCTTAGTCTGGCCTATCCGCATGTCGAGGCGTTCCAGGGACTAGTCATGACGGTGGTGGGCGTTGCATTTGCATTATTTATATTAGTCGGCTGGATCGACATGCAAGGGCCTTGTAGCATAAATGGGAATAATGCAGATGAAGAAATTCAGCGCCTCTAAACTTACCTTGTTTCCCTCGGTATTCGAAATCGTTCTTTTCTAAAAGTGCTTCCTACTTGGTATCAGTCACAACGACAATAGGTCAAAGATGAAGATAGTTGCCAGATCCGCCTCGAGAAAAATGGAAAACAAAGATCATCATCTCATGTTTCTGTATGGAACTACTTGTTGAAATGATCTGGATAGATTAGTAAAAAGGAAAAAAAAAATAATGACACATTCGATCTTTTAGATTCTGCGCTGCTGATGCTAGTCAAATGCTGTTACAAGTAGCCAACTAAACCCATTTTCTCCTCCGATCTTGTATCACTCGCAAATCATGATATTTTATTATTTTCTGCCATGACGATTCTTGATCTTATAGTCACCCTATTTCACCTCGAACTGAGACATTTATAAGTTAAAATTCTTTTTGCTAAAGTGATTGTGCTTTGTCATTAAGGATTATTTTGTGTAAAACGACAAATGAGGTGATTATTGATTTTATGCATTAGGAGCTCGGGTGACGATGAAAAAAAAAAGAAATCAGGAAAAGGGAATACGGAAGAAACATGGGCGAGTTAATGTCTGTGAGTGCTGCAGGTGATGATCAGCACGGAGTGTGCAGTCGTGGTCTTTTCAACGTCCGCGATTGATCATCCTCACCCTCTTCATTTATCGTCGATTTTTGGTCTCGGTCGGCTTGTTTGGTGCTGGAACCACTTTCAACAATAAGAGAACGTAATACCTTGTTCTACAGTAGCACGTACATGATATATCGAGTTAGCACCACGTGGACATATTATGGAGGACAATTTTTGCATTTTGGGTTATTACCTCAATTTCAAGGTCGTGAATACGGGAGTGCAGTACTTTTGTGTCTTCTACTTGCGAATTTAGCCGGGCAATCTGTTGACGTAATTCCTGGTTCTCCTTTTCTAGTCGGTCGACCACAGAGGGTTCTCGTAAAATGGTATAAGAGGCGGTAGGAAGAGGTAATCGTCTAGAGGGTGGGTGGGACCTGTCCGGGGAATAGGTCCACGATCGGTAAGGTTCAGGCAATGTATTATTGGAGGAAGAAGGAGACTGTGAATTGGAAGAAGGCAGTGACGCCGATGAGTAGGCGACTTGAATAGGTACCAATTCGGTACTTTCCGAAACTGGCAGATTTGGAAGCGCACTCGGTGAGGGTAGAACATTGCTATGGGTTGATGTAACTGGCAAATTTGAATTGGATGGTGTATTGGGAGGTGAAAGCGAGGATGGTGGGTGGGGATAAACTTCGTTTTGAACAGGACGTGATGCGGGATGAGGAATTTGAAGCTGAGGAATCATGGGTCGAGGCGCGGTTAAAGATTTCGATGATGGAGTGTCGGTGTTGGAGGCGGGTGTGAACTTGGTGGCGTTTGTGTGACCAACAAATGGATGAACATCACTGCAAGCAGAGGACCCTTCCGAGCGTTGATGACGATTGAGGGCGTCTAATCGAGCAAACGATCTGTTACAGGTTTGACACACGTAGGGACGTTCGCCGGTATGCAGCTTTTGATGCCGTTTCAAATCGTGATGCCGTCGAAAGTAAAGTTTGCAGGTGCCACACTAAATATATTGAAAGTCCAGAAAAAGAATGAGGACATTGGCAAGAAAAAGGAATAGATCGGATTTCACCCCATTTTTATAACAAGCCTAATCCATCCATTGGGTGTTCGATGCAATCGACAAATTACCTGAAATGGTCGTTCGGAAGAATGAGTGGCGAGATGTGATTTTAGATTATGAGGACGGCTAAATGCCTGGTCGCACTCGTGGCATGCAAAGGGTTTATCAGGTGTTGGTCTCTTGGGCGTGGCCGCCTTTTGTAAGGCAAATGCACCATATCCAGGATACTCTTGTGCCAAACATTTAGGAAACGCGCCGGCCGGAGTGACAGGTGTAGGTAAATATTCGGTGGTGGGTGCTTTTTTTTCCGGGTTGGGATGTTTGTCATTTTCTTTATTCAGCATCGAAGGCATCAAACCTGCATCCGAAGATCCGATGCTATTGGAGCGTTCCCATGCTGTTGACGAAGAAGCTGACGGAGCAATGGATGATGAAGGTGAGGGACATGACGCAGTCGACATGATGGTAGTCAATCGCACTTTAAATAAAACAGATTAAAAAAAATAATAGAAGTGAAAGGGGGAAAAATAAAAATAAAAAGGTCCAGTTCAGAAATTTAATACAAGAAGGAAAAAGAAGGACCACCAGCAAAAAAAGTACTCTCGTTCCTTTATCGAATATCACGGTCTATGAGAATGTTTTGGTGAAAAGGTGCTTTTTTTTCTATATGAATGAGTATTTATATGCACATAGGTTACGAATAATGATAACAAAGGGGAAGGGAAGAAAAAGGAAAGGGGAAGAGAGGGAGTAGTGGTGGTAGAAAAAAAAAGAAGAGATAGGAAAAATGGATAATTTTAGTTCGAGAGAACCAACAGACATCAAGCCCCGTCCAGCTGTGTGGCTTTTCATCCTCACCGCCGCGCCACACACATATTCATATCACACATGCAAATATTCCGTTGAACACCAAAAATAATCACAGGATTCCTTTTTTTTTTATTTCGGACAATCAAATAAACTTTCTTTTTTTGGAATTACTTTTCAAGCGATCTTGTCATCCCCACTGACATGGAAACGCTTGCGTTGCTGCATGGAGGATTTCGCTTGGGATGGTTTGTTGTCATCGGGAAGGGCCATATTGGATCGTTTTCGGGATTTGTTCATTGACTTTTCGTCTCGACTAAGAGCCTTTGTGGATGAAAACTCCGAAGACGCTGGTGCGGATGAACGGCTAGAGTCTAGCCCGACCGTATTGGACCGTTTTGAGACTGCAATAGAACAAATGGAAGGTTGAGTTAGTGGTCGGTGATAAAGGGAAAGAAAAAATCAATAGAATAACGCACACGGATCGTTTACCTGATGCAGATTTCATATTATTGCCGTCGGAGAAATGATCACCAGATGAATAGGAAGTGGCATTTTGAGAAACTGCAGAGGATAGGTTCGGCGAAGACATTGAAGGAGACCATGATGAAGTTGTGGTATTAGTGATAGAAGTAGAAGTAGAGTGAATGGTCGAAGACATCTTGCTGGCGATATTAGAGTTCATGGTGGGAGTGCTTGCGGCGGTCGAAGGAGAAGATCCGTGACCATTGGATGGATTCGAACCATACGGTAGAGTAGATGGATGAAATGCATTGAAGGATTTCAATGATCCGACTTGGTTGGCTTGATTCTCGGGTGGCGGACTGCTTGGGAAATCGATGCGACTGAGGGCCGACTTGTCGCGTGCTTCCAGTTTCGCGGGCGGACTGTATTCAATTTTGTCGATTTCACATGATGAGGTTTTCCGAGACAGGTTGCCAAATTGGTCGTACTGCGGTGATTCGTGGAATGACACGGAGTGATCGTCCATATTCTCAGGCGGATACATACTCGAAGTGGCGGGGACACTGTAAGGTGGATAACCCTGAGAGGACATACTGCCATAGGATCGCGGTGGGGCCGGGCCAGAACGGTAATCGTAAGGATTGTTCATCAGATAAGGATCATGTTCTTCACCGGGAATCATAGGCGTGATCGTACCAGGAACGGGACTACAACTCCCGCTCTGCAAACTGGTGTGCTGTGATCGGATGACCATTTGATCCTGTTGTTGCGAAGTAGTGATGCTAGGCAGTGATTGGTATGGCGATCGTTCCCATGGTTGAACTTGAAAGGGCGCGTATCCTTCGGGCCGGTAGTGAAAGGGATTTGGGTTTCTGGAGGACGAGGCCATACTGGAACCGGACATCATCATGGACATGGAACCGGAGGCAGGATTGAGAGCTGAACTGCACAAGAACACGGAAGGATCTTCCACGAAAAGAGGATATAGAATGTCGACGATCTTGAATTTGGTAGCCAGGTCCTTTGCACGGGCAAAAGTGATCCACACGCCCTTCAAATGCATCGCACCGACTTTGACGACCACTCGACCTTTTTCGTTTTTGAGAATGCCATCTCGTTTGCCACGGGACATGCCCACAACATTGAGCAGCTTGGTACCATTAATCATGTCATTATCTGAAATGATGGACCGCCATGGACGAGATTGGGAACAAGTAAGGAGCCGAGTGAGATAACGGAATATAGAAGAAAAAAGGCAGAAGGAGATTGTTTTTTAAAGTTAATACTGGGTAAATCATGGCGGAAACGGCAGTCTTTTTTTTGTTTGTTTTGTTTGTTTTTTTTGAAAAAAAAAAAAAAAAAAAAAAGAGTTGGATTTACCTTTACGACGAGCGACACAGACGCTCTTGGCATCGACTTGATAGCAGAGAGTACCTTCGTCTTCCCAAACGGTGGTGCTTAATTTTGGTCGTTGAATGGGAGAGGACATATTGGGTGGATGAACCACGGAAGATGATGAGCAAGGGCCAAAAGGTGAAAGACCATTGGTTCCTGAAGCGTAACCAGGGCGGGAAAGTGCGCCTCCGGCCACCCCTGTGACGGTTGGCGGCGGAAGAGGGGGTGGGCTTGAGTTCCAGGAGAGACCAGGTGATGACCAAACCATGGCGGATGAAGTCGCGGTAGTGGATGCGTAATCATTTGGGTGGGGGAGACCCATATTATCATGGTGGTAATGTGTCGTGCTTAGACCAGCCGAATGCGAGGGCAATGCAGAGTGATACGGGGTCGAGCCAGAGGACCGAGCATCAGAAAAAGCACTAGACCGGTATTGATTGTAATGAGAAGCATGAAATGAGTGATGGTCAGACGATGGTGCTGGTGGCATGACGTAAGGTGAAGTGGAATTGTACAGATTATTTTGGTAGAGGCTTTCCATGACGGTAGATTATGGATGGATACGAAGAGAAATTAGCGGTACAGAAAGAAGCGAGATGGGTAAAAAAAAAAAAAGCGACAAATTGAGGCACGCTGATATTGGAACCAGATAAGTAATAAAAAGTGAAAAAAAGGGGGGACTTGATCAACAACCAAAGGACGAGTGCGTAGGTTTTTGATTCTTTGATGTTTTCCAGATATGTATAATCTGCGCCAAAAAAAAAAGAGAAAGAGTACAGCATTAGATAATCAGATGTAGCATTTTTTTCATGCAAAGTTTTTTACCTTTTGGAATAATAAGATGACTTGAATAGTGCTTTGCAGTGTTTTTTTTCTTCTTGTCACCGAAAATAAAGCGGACCCACTAAATTAAAAAGATTGGAAAACCCAAAGTGCAGATAAAAGAAGAAGAGGAAAAAGTCGATGAGTTGGCTTTTTCGGAAAAGAAACCGTGTAATATATAAGAGAATTAATGGAGGAGGTGAAAGAAGAAGAGAAAGATGGCAAGATGGTCTGATTCGGTTTGTTTAAAAAACTTTGGTGGCAAATAAAAAAAAAAAAAAAAAAAAAGTTCACCAGCCAAGCGTGTAGAGTAAAAGAGGAAGGGAGAAAAAAAAGGGAATAAATGATGATGTTGACGATGATGGTGACGATGATGATATGGTTGTTTTTGTTGATGATGTTAATGTGAATGATGCTACTAACCTAGAGTGATTTGATTGTATGTCTGTTTATTGTTTATGCTGCAAGGTGGTTGAGTTTACCTGCATATATTTATATAGATCCCATAAAAAAAAAAAAAAAACTCCAACATCGCCTTTGGGCGGAAGCAACAGGTTTTCGTCCCGCTTTACCATATTTGTTTCCATACAAATAGAAGTGGTAGTTTGGCTATTCATCATCTAGAAGCATCTGTTGCTATGCCAAGTTGCTTCGATGATTACTTTTGTTGCTTATCTCAGGATGCTTTGAATATCAACTATTTACTTCTTGGTCCGAACCCGTTCAAAAGATTGAATAATGATTTGTAGTGTGATGATGTCTCTCACCCCAAAACGGATTTCCCCCGAAAAAAAAAAGGCACCCCCTTGTCTCCCCACGCCGTTTTTCTTATCCCCTTGGCTATCTTCTTTTTTTTTTCTTTTTCCCTCTTGTTCTCTCAGTTTCTCATCTCTATCCCTTGGCTTTGCCTCCTGTGTTTCTCAGTCACACGCCGTTTCTTTTTTCTCTCTATTCGCCCCGACTGAACAAAATAACCCCCCCCCTCCCCCCCAAATTTTCTCTTCTCTAAAAAGAAGTAGTCTCCTGTTACCTTGGAGATGAAACAATTCTTCATGAGATTTCTCAAGTGAACTGAATGAATTAAAATGCAACCAACAAAATTTGTGCGTGAATCTTCATCATCTTTGTAATTTACTATTTCTCCCTTCCCGTCATGATAAGAGTATCTATTGATGTCACCATATGTGCTACAGTATATTAAAAAAAAAACAAGATCGACAGAATAATGAATGGAGAAGAATTGTTTGTACGTTTTTGTTGAGAAGTGCTTCAAACACAAAGTGCTTCATCCTGGGGCAACTCTGGGAAAAAAAACAGTCCACCTTCTTGGTGCCATAAGAGGAATAGCCCACAAGAAAGAGAAAAAAAAATTCCGTCTCGAGTTGAGATCTCGTGAACAACAAACATTTATTTTGCCTAAACTTTATGAACGACCCAACTCAACTGGCGCGGGACAGTCTAAAAGAAAAAAGAAAAACCACAGTGGCTGAACATGGTTGTGTCTAAAAACAACTTTCAACCTTGCCTTTTTTTTATATATTTTATTTTTCCCTTTGATTTGGGCTTTCGCCGACGTTACTTTTTTAACTCTAATCACCGATGATGTATTACCAGTTAATCTCATCGCTTGTCTATTTACATGTCAATAAAACTGAGGAAGATTACGTGTCAAAAGATCCAAGAGGGAATCAATGTCACAATAATCATGATGAAAAGTAAATAAAGGCAAGTGATATTAACGTGAGTGACACAGAGAATTTTTTACTTTCACTCTTTTTGAAAGCTGCAATGCAATGCAATGCCATCAGGAAAAGAAAGAAGAGTCTTTTTTTTTGTTATTTATTTTAGATACAACCTGGATTTTTACCCAATTGGCCACACTGGGTTTCTTCATCATTCCTTATAAGACGTTCGATTAGATTTTCCGTGTTACAACATGATTCTGGTAAACTAAGAAAAAACCAACAAAAAAAAGTGACGCGGAATAAGGATTGAGTTCGAAGCACTTCCGAAGCACCTCAGGGTGTGTCACTCAGCCTGCCGCGTCATGGCGGGAAGAGGATTAAGGGGAAAACGGGAAAAAAAGCCCAACAAGCCCATCCTTGTCACAGGATTATGACTACGCAATGATGATGACAAATTATTCAAAGAGAATGGAAGGATGATTCCGACCTTTTTTTTTTTGTAGTGCTTATCAGGTTCCATCAATCTATCATTGACAGATCAACCTTTTCATAAAAAGAAAAAATGCTTCACTAGAGCAAACAAAAAATTATAAGAAAAATAAACAGCAAAACGGAAAAAGAGTTCCTTCACTTTCATTGGTGCTCTTTGTTTATGTGAATAACTGGACCATTTTTGCCAAGAGTTGGAAATAGACAAACCACAAGCCAGATTTCGCGTAGCAAGAAGGAGCAAAAGGGGAGACTCGGAAAGAAACCAAATATTGACATCTCTACAACGGTTTAGATGGGAAACGGATATTGAATTCATCTGTCAAGGCATTATTACCTAAAATGAATCACACTTCTGGAAATGGTGATATTGAAAAAAAAAAAAAAACCAATTCTAAAAAAAATAGACATCGAAAACATCCGCTCATAGAGACCATTTTCTGGTTATATGTTTATTTACCATGGTAACTTTTTTTCTTCACAGATCCAACATTTGTACACGATCATCCAACTCCTCCAACTCTTCCTTTGACGGCATTTCAGAAGATTGGTCTTCATTCGCCACAACATCTCCTGTTTTGATTCCAACGTATCTTAATATCTCGTCCAAACAGGTCGGTAACGTGAAATCCGCGATTTCAATATCTTTGGGAAGTGTCACATCGTACGGTTAGCGTTCTTTTTTTTTTTTTTTTTTTTTTTTTTTTTTGGCTCGACGAGCCCTGAATGGCAACTTACTTGCAGAGATTGTGTCGCAACCCATACGAGGATCACGTATAATGGTACCCTTTGGTTCACCCGACACTGCCCAATTAGCCATATGCTTAACAAAAATAAAACTCATGTCAGTCCATCCTGTCCATAGCGTATCTTCATTTACCCTTCTCTTACGTTAATCATCCAAGCGCGTTTATGTTCTCCTTCAACCAACGTGATCGAATGAGCACTATCCGCAATAGCAACAGCTCCCACTCGCTCTTTCACAAAGTCGACTAATAAAGAATTGTTGGTTAATTGAGAATAAAAAAAAATGTGACACTCGTTCCTGAGTTATTTGTCACTTTGACATTGTCGTACGTACAGTGTTTGTTGAGAATTTCTGTAAAACAATATCCTCCCCAACCAAGGGCAATGACATTCACAGTTTTGGCTTTGGATGATCTTTACAAAAAAAAAAAAAAAAAAAGTGGTGCAAATGCATGTAAGTTTAAAAAAAAAAAACAGAGTTGACGAGCACAGCAGTGTGGATGATCCAACCTGACAAATTGTTCAAACACATATTGACAGTGTTCCTCCGGACCGCTGTTTTCTGTTGCAGCATGCAATGCGAGTAAATGAATTATGTCGATAGGAGTCAATAGCATATTACGATAAAAATTACCTGGAATAATCTCAAATGGTGTATTGGAAAGTACGCGGTCCTAAAAAAGCAACGATCAGTCACCACCTTTTTTTTTTTCCTCGACACGGTTTTCATCGTTCAAACTACATGAGGGGCATTGTCGTAAAAGAATAAACCGTTCGGATTGAAGATAATGACTTCAAACCCTTCACTCTGGGCCAACTTTGAAATCTCAATCATAGATCCGCGCTATCATCAGTGGCAGGCAAAAATAAGACACGCATGTCATTTTCACACCGTTATCGTCACTTTCACCTACTTCCACATTTTCATCGCACATGATACGGCGACTCCATTGACCAATGCTATGAGAGACCACGTGAGTTATCCACCGCAATGTTTACTTGTTACTGCATTCGCACTTACCGCGTCTTGATACCGGGAATAAGAAGCAACAATTTATCTGTGGTCGTGAGTGCATTCGGCCTAGAAGAAAAAAGAATAAGCCCATAAGCCCATATTCTCACTTACATACACCTCACTCCCCAACTCACGTCATGTAAACATAAGTGTATTTGTCGTTTTTAGCAGGATCAGCGCCTACAGGGACAATAGTTTTTTGGAAATTCAAAGGACTTTGCTGAAGTCGTTCTTCCACCATGTCACCAATCAGTTCTGTTGACAAAGACGTATCATTCCGTGAGCCCATGCATGTATCATCATGTCGTTTTGTACTGACCAATAAAAGCTTCGTAGCGTGCTTCATTGTAAGGGCGATTCTTGTAGAGGAACTCGAAATCATACGGTGTACCTGAAATAGATCCATGAACATGACGCACCACCGGCGATCGGCCGTTCCTCTCGGTGTCAAGCACCACTTACCCTCTTCTTTATGTCTGATCTCGTGATTCTCATTGACGATATAGCCAAAGTCTTCCAGTTTATCAGGAATAGGCGGCAACTCTTCTTTTACTTTTCTGCGTCGGTACATGATCGCAACGAATGATGTTCAATTCTTTTTTTCAACTCTTCGCTGTCAGAAACCCTCTCCAATTTTTAACGGTGTGTGCGCTCCAGCCAATAAAATGGCTTCATCTTGCATTTTCATTGTCGTCTGCGTTTGCCACTGAAAAATGAGGCCCGGCCTTCCTTTATCCTCCTCGTGACTTGAAAATATTTCACCCTGTCCTCTTTCCCAAACTACATGCATCTCTGTTGCTTGCATTTTACTTGAATGATATGGATAAAGATGTCAATAAATATGTATTAAATAAAAGGGCCAAAAGAGACTGGATATTCCAACAATCCAACATGGTCTAGTCAACGATCATCAACCCGTTCATGCTTTCCACAGGTCGAACCGCAAATCTTCCAAGGTGCTAGCCTGCATTTTGGATTGAATAGCATCCCACATGGCTTCATGCACTTTATCCATGGACTCTGAAGCATCAATGACCTTTTTTTCACGTATCAAGTCAAACGTTATTGCTTTTTTTTCCCGGCCATGGTGTTGCTCGCGCTTACCTTCCATGAACTCTCCATCAGTTGGCCAAATTTTTGACGCACAATGATCTGCAATTCTCGCTTTTCATAACGTTCATCACCAAAACCGCCGCGTCGTTCGGCTTCTTCAATAGGAAGGTCAAGGAATAGTACAACATCCGGTGTCAGCAAACCCACATCCGGTTGTTTGCACCAATCAAGACTCAGTCCCTAGTTGGTTGCAACAAGCGCGTCAATTTTTGGAACATGCTACTTGGTCAGTGTGGACGTTACCTTGGCTGCAGAGAAAGCAACACCTGAAAAAGCATAACGATCCACTACAAGATTAGTACCCGAATTTAACAGAGAGGTCATGGTATCACTATGGATACAATAATATGAGTCACTCTGCCAAGTATCGCACTCAAGCTAAGAAATCTACATGGCTTCCCATCGGTTGGCTGAAAATAAAAGATGAATAGCATGGTCGTCCAAATGCTGTGTTTGTTTTAGATAGCCGTCAATCATTTGTCCCGTCTGCGTTGTACGATCTAGCGTCCTTTATTAGGAACAGGCAACCTCACGGCATGAAAGTAACGAGATGTCAAACCTGGGAATTTAAGTAGTTCGGTCCCGAGCTGTTCACCGCGCATTCGTTGAACTAACCGTTCACATTGAGTTGATTTCCCTGCCCGATCGCATCCTTCGACGACAATAAATAATCCACGTCGAGTGGTCATGGTGAAACACGTAAAATTATAACAACAAGGAACGCAAAGCGACAGCAGCAATAATTTTTTCAATTTTTTCGGTCCAATTAATCGCGGCATGATATAATTTGTTCTTAAGCTTTCCCAGTAAGCGTTTATATTCTCATAAAGCATGCTATCTCATATATGTATGTACGAGGCTCAGCGACGTTCTATGGTGCTTTCACCGTCAAACGCACCAAACGTTTACCGGCAAATAAGAATGTTGCAAAAACAGGACGTATAAAAAATGCTCCAGCCGGATTTTTGTATGCTTCTTGCATTATCGTTTTGCAGCTGATTGTTGGGCTTCACCATTCGGATGCAAAAGTTCACCTTTTACCGTTCTCACTCACCTTCTTACTGTGCAACTTAATGCTTCTGATCAAATTCCCCGAAATTGACCGGTTAATGGCGTTGTAATAAATAAAAAGGTCTATAAAATAGTTATCCATCGTGTCTATCCAAAGTTCTTTCTTTCCCCCGACCTCCGCCATATCTTCTGGAAACTAACACAGATGAGATCAAGACCGTTGATGCTATAAAAAAATAAACTTGTATAATAATGATTTCATATGGTCGTTTATCAACACCGACCAACGAAGGGCACCGGCGCGTGTGTACTACTGCATTGCATAGCATTGTGTAGTCCATGCTGGCCTACTTGATTAGTTCTTCCGGTTAGCAAAGGTCGTCCGAGAAGTTTACAGGTACGCTAACTTATATATGCTATACGCTATATGCTATTTTTCCATATTTTGGTCCGTTTGACTACATAATTTGAATCGTTCATAACTCGCCTCTTCATTTTTTCGTCATTTGAGTGATTTTGTGACTTGAAGTTGGAATAAACTGTAGATTGTCGCGATTTCACAAATATGAAACAAATCGATGCCACGATTTTTTTTTCGATTTAAAGAAAAAGCTCACACATTGTAATTCTTCAAACAAACGGACAATGGCTGGGAAAAAAATGACAAGATAAGCATTCTCAAATCAGGCAAGTCTTCCCAGTGATGGATAATCTCAAGTATCAACAAGTTCATCGATATTATGTAAGTTGACAAGTGCCAATGTGATTGAAAAAATTTACAGCCGAAACGAACACGAAGCGAGGGGCTCCACTGAACACACCACGCGTGAAATTTAACCGTTCCAATAGCAACAGTGAATGGCCGTAGAAGCTTATACTATTGGATGAAGTGGTTTCTAGTGTTAAAGCTGGAAAATACCTAAGAGATCATCAAAGATTGATCAGCCCTTTTTTTTTTCCAACCTTCTGAGTTATTTTCGGATCTTATCGCTTATCGACCAGCCAGTTGATAAATTTTTTTTCCAAATCCATGGCAGAAAAAAAGAAGCTCCCAAGTCCGCTCATTGGATGATCTCATAAATTTTTTTTTTGCTTTTCGTTTCTGCGCATGAAAACAATCAGCTCATGTGCGACGAATTCATTCAGAAATCCCATGTCTATTATTGTGGCGGTTTCGCTAATTGTTTTGTTACTGAAAGCAGCCATTGGAACGACGCATTGATATGTAATGGTAAGCTGTCATGGCAATGGGTGATAAACGCTGCTTATCTATACGTGGCAATCGTTACACAACGCTTCTTCAAGCTGCGCATGGCGCGTGACAACATCTCCCATCGATACGCCAAAGTTTCTTTTTTTTTTTTTAATTACAGCATGGGTCTTACTACGACAAAAAAGTGACTGGGCTTGATCGATAAGTTGCATATTTAAATGCATTCAAGTTTCATTCACTATCGAGTTTTTTTTTCTCTTTCTTTTCACATCAAAAAAATCATCCATCATGTCTGTCTCCAAGGTTCACGCTCGTCAAATCTACGATTCCCGTGGTAACCCCACCGTCGAAGTTGAGGTCACCACTGGCAAGGGTGTCTTCCGTGCCGCCGTTCCCTCCGGTGCTTCCACCGGTATTCACGAAGCTCTTGAACTCCGTGATAACGTCAAGGGTGACTACATGGGCAAAGGTAAGCTTGCCGGGAAGAACTGGGAAAGACGCGGAAATATAGGCGTCGGCATTTTTTTTCTCTTTTTTTTTTTTTTTTTTGCTAATCGACTGCTTTTTTTTGACATGAAATGATTTGATTAGGTGTGCTCAAGGCTGTTGAGAACGTGAACAAGCAAATTGCTCAAGCTCTCATTGATGCCAAGATCCCCGTCACTGATCAGGCTGCCGTTGACAACTTCTTGTTGAAGTTGGATGGTACCAAGAACAAGTCCAAGCTCGGTGCCAACGCCATCCTCGGTGTTTCCCTTGCTGTTGCCAAGGCCGGTGCTGGCGAGAAGGGTGTTCCCCTCTACGTCCACTTTGCTGACATCTCCGGTTCCAAGAAGCCTTTCGTGCTCCCTGTCCCCGCTTTCAACGTTATCAACGGTGGTTCCCATGCTGGTAACAAGCTCGCCATGCAGGAATTCATGATTCTTCCAACGGGCGCCAAGTCCTTCTCTGAAGCCATGAAGATGGGTTCTGAAGTCTACCACAACTTGAAGAGCGTCATCAAGGCCAAGTACGGTCTTGATGCTACCAACGTCGGTGACGAAGGTGGTTTCGCCCCCAACATTCAAGACAGCAAGGAAGGTCTCGACTTGTTGATGTCTGCCATTGATAAGGCTGGCTACAAGGGTAAGATCAAGATCGGTATGGACTGTGCCGCTTCCGAATTCTACAAGGATGGCAAGTACGATTTGGACTTCAAGAACCCCAAGTCCGATCCTTCCACCTACTTGACTGGTCAACAGCTCGCTGACCTTTACAAGTCCTTCTCTGATAACTATCCCAGTAAGTTCTCTTTTAAACATGCATGACAAGAAAAAAGAGATGGTATGATGAATATCATGGTGTGATTGACCGTTTGTATTTGTATTATCTAGTCGTTTCCATTGAAGATGCTTTCGACCAGGATGACTGGGACAACTGGACTCACTTGGAAAACACCTCCGACTATCAGCTTGTTGGTGATGACTTGACTGTCACCAACCCTGAACGTATCAAGACTGCTGTCGAGAAGAAGGCTTGTAACGCTTTGTTGCTCAAGGTCAACCAGATCGGTACCGTCACCGAATCTATCCAGGCTGCTAAGGATTCTCAGGCTGCTGGTTGGGGTGTCATGGTCTCTCACCGTTCCGGTGAAACCGAAGACACCACCATTGCTGACCTTGTTGTCGGTCTCCGTACCGGTCAAATCAAGACTGGTGCTCCTTGCCGTTCTGAACGTTTGGCCAAGTACAACCAGCTTCTCCGTATCGAAGAAGAACTCGGTGCCAATGCCATCTACGCTGGTGAGAACTTCCGCAAGGCTCATGAAATGTAAATATGATAAAAAAATCTCGCCCCACCATCTTCTTTCATTCTAGTCGCATAAGGGGAAAAGCAAAAAAATAATCTTTTCTTTATTTTCCCCAAAATTTTAAATAAATAAGCATTACGTTATAAGCGCTGTAAAAAAGAAGGACCACGTCTTCAGATTAGATTATCGACGTCTTGTGGTTGAAAATGTTGACGATGTGAAAAAAGTCATCATGCCATCGCTCGGCTAGCTACATCACAATAAAGCGGGAGAAAAAAAAAAGATAGCGTGTTATTTTTCATTGGACGGCGGGGCGTTTCCCGCATTTGTTCCAGTGCAAAGCGTTATTCATTCCCCCATCATGCCTGGCATTGTGCAACTATGCTCGTCCCGGCGGAAACAGCTCCGACATTCAGAAGGCGGGTTTCTCCTATTCCTTTTGGTTTCAGATAATCAAACAATGACTGCTGTGGAGCATTGAGATACGTGGGTTGGACCAAACTACCCATCAGATAATGTGCATAATGAGGACCGCCAACCATTATTCTTAGTAAATATTTCACTGAATCCAAAATAACTTGATGGACCACCCCCCCCCGTGGTCAGATCCCGGCAAAAAACGACAAGTAAGGCCTACTCGACATTGTCACCTTTATAACGGACCGGCTGAGTGGCCGCATTTACACTCACGTACACGGCACGCTCTCTCACTAGCATCTGCCACCACTGATTAACCTAGTCTAGCAAAGCCATCAATTAAGAAAGCATGGAATCTGACCGAGAATACGTTTGAAACACACATGAGCAAGCTTCGTAAAGTCCAAAATAGGCAACCGCACTAGCTTGAACCCAAAAACATAGGTGCCCATTGAAATGTCGGCACCACAACAGAATAGTATCGGATTCAATCATATCGAGTATCCAGGATAACGTGTTTCCAACCAACCACTTCCATTATCGCCCCGCCTCCCCTTTTTTTGCATGAGCATCCCCGAAAATAATCCGCGCAACGGCAAGTGTGTCGTGGAAGCACACTTTTCTAGCTCTTCTCTTTCTTTCTTTTTGATGGCATTGAAAACAAGGGGGGTTCCAGGACGATGATGTTGGAAAATGGAATTCGTATAAACTGGTTGCCGGCCGGATAAGGAAAAAATGCTATCTGTAGGAGACGTCATAGCTACGAATGGCATGACGTTCAAAAAATCAAACGGTATCTTCCGGTGAACCAAGCGTTTATTGCTATCCTTCAACAGAGATAACTCACTGTCGCTGTATCTTCGTGCAGAAGCTGCTGCATATCTCGACTTCGGCGTAACACCAGGTACCTCGTTGATGTTTAACACACATAGCTTGACGTTGTCTGTAATTTTTGGCTTTCCACGGTTTACTAGTACGGTGCTATTGATTGCGCAGCTGAATGCTGACCATGTTCACTAGGGAAACCTGCGCCAACAACGGTGTCATATCCAATGTGCGCATAAGGCATTGAAGGGGCTTTCGATGTAGCAGCTTGCAATGATTTCAGGAGATGGAAATCAAACGAATAATAAAACAAAAGCGAGACATTATTCTACGAGTTGCTATGGCAGCATCAATGATTCGGTATACTTATCGAAACCCACTGAAGTCTCATTAAAATGGCAAAATTATAATCGATCCATTCATCGTCCGATTCAGTTAGTTTGAGATAAGAACGCAACTATTTGACAGCATTGTTATGATGCTAACAGAAATTATAAAAAGCGATATATCGAGGAACAACAACTGAAAATTTCTGCACGAAAATGTAGGATGAGACATGGATTTTCGACTAATGTGAGTGAACTGGAATGGAGATATCTGTTTATGCAAATGTATTTTACAAACAATGAGGGGAAAGACAAATGGAAGACCAACATGCCGCCAACCATGAATCCATGATGCAAAAAAAAACTATTCTTCGTCTTCATCTTCATCTTCGCTACTGCTGACTGGTTCTTGAATGGTGACGCTTTTCGACTTCTTTGTCTTTTGCTTTTTCATGGTCAAGTTTTTCATGTGAAGACCGTGACGCGCACCAAGAGCTTTCTCCCAATCATCTTTCACGCTTTTATACAAAGACATGGTAAACCGAGCATCTTCCACCTATGCAACCAGCTGTCAGCTGCTGTCACAAAGAGCGATAATATAGGCCTACTTACCGAAGAATGGCTTCCCGATTGAATAGTGATGTTGAGGATACGTTGCACCAACATTTTCAGACCCGGGGTTCTTCCTCCCACAAATTTGCGGAAAGGTTTATAACGTGATGTATCGCGGATAAACAAGCGAGGATGATCAAGCATCAAGGCTTGCAGATCGTTATACACTGCATGACCTATCAAAATACGATCTTTAATGATGTCCGCTACTGCCTTTTGTGCGTCTTGAAAGCTCATAGCTTTTTTTGAAAAAAGAAAAAAGAAAAAAAGACGAACATAATGATTAATACTGCATTACGTATAAAGCTTTTTATACCGTCACTTACCATCCACTAGATGCTCAGGTTTGATGCCACTGACAAATGTACGGTAATCCGTCACTTTCTCCTGCGGCTTGACATAGGTATCCAAGAGCACAGCTCCATTAAAATTCACCAAACTGACTCGCGCCAGTGCTGATTCCACACCCCCGGGACCGACGCCCACCATCTCACAATCGATGGCCACATACTTCCCAAGCCTAAAACCAGATCGAAGTTAGATTACTGTCCTGATTGCAGATCTCGAGTCAAAAGGAGTTGAGGATATTCCTTTTTTTCTTACTTTGCGTCTTTGCCTTTGGCCAAGTCCATTTTCTCCAATATGGCTTGTTTTCGTACTCGTTCCTCCTCTTTGGCATCGGAGGCGGAAGTTTTCTTGCCGTACGCTTTGTTCAAAGTTTCCTCGTCAATGTCCTCACCGAACCATAATTCATCTTTCTTGGGTATCGCAACATCCTGTTTCGTCGTAGTACTAGCATAAACAGATCAGCAATTGATCTTGCAACATCTTGGGAAGAATCTTCACTTACTCTGTTTTACTCTTCTTTACCACTGTCGTAGTGGTTGTCGTACTGGCTTTGCGTTTGCCAGTGGTCTTCTTGGTCGATGAAGACGTAGCTTTAATCGTCTGTGCAAACGTTTAGTAGCTATTCTTAATCCAACTCTACTTGTTTGCAGACTTACAGGTAAAAGCTTCTTCCAATTCGATGACGGTGCCTGTTTGATAGTCTTCATGATCGATCGAAAGAACAAACTATTACCGCTTCCCGAAAATTTTTTGTCACTGCAACAGACACAAAAAGTCGCTTGTTACAATGCCGAAAATGGAAATCACACTTCAAACTCAGCCATACTTGCCGCTTACTCAAGAAATATCATTCGGAAGCATGGCACTCAAATTTTTTAAATACCTAATCGTCTCAATAGAGCGGTTATTCATCTTTGGGATATCGTTTATCATTTCAAATTTGATTGAGCAGTGTTTTATTTTCAGAACACTTCGTTTATATGATTTTTTTACACCCAAGGAGATGCTTTGTGTGTGAGATGACCGGTCTACCGGACGGCCATTACGTGCCAGACGAAATCCAGGTTGCAGGAAATTGGTGCACATTATTCGAGCATGGACGAAATGACTTTATAGTCTACCCGAGATACAAATAATTACATTACACCAGCAGATTGGGTGGTGAAAATATGCAACACCATGCAGGATGCACCGGAGCTGCTCTTATTTCGCAAGACCGCATAACGTAAGCCTCAACGGTTGCAGCATTCTCCCTGAACGTATATTATATATTTGTTCGCTTACCAGTCATTACCTAAAGTATGGCAAGGAATCACCTTCACCATATCAAACTGATAAGTGACTGAACATATCCATGCTGACTGAACCCATGCAATTATTTCAATTTTCATGACGATGAAGCCTTGTTGATGAAGCACAGATCTGAGGAGATTTCAATGACCGCCACTGGGAGATGGGGGTAATACGGCTGAGTCACGATCAGACCAACTTCGATTGTCCGTTCTTGACCGTGCAAGGTGCTTTCACTCTACACAATATTTTTTACCCATGTCATTCATTGCACGCCACCGATCACCATTATGCTCAAGTGCAAAATGGTCATACTTCTCTTTGATCGAGCCATTACTGACACATCGTCGCTCTTATCTTCACATGACGAAAACCATGCCGAGTCGAGGTAAAGTAGAAAGTCGCTTCGCTATCCTGCCCCGTGACCAAAAACTATTTGCAAACTTAAAAATTAAACATTTTCGATCTATAGTATGCAATGTTCTAACTCTCAAGCCAAAGGTAAACGAAAAAGGGTTTACTTTTGCCGATAAAAAAGGGGAATTAAAGCATCCGTTTTTATTCTTGCATAGCGTTGCTTTCACAGTTCAGGTTGGTGCGAACATAGACATTGGGAATAAGGCATCAAGAGAAAAGGAAGCTGATCATAGACTTGCAAAGCTACTCGATGGGCTGCTAAAATGGATCCATATCAGGTCTTGGGTATAGACCGCTCGGCTTCTCAAAACGCCATCAAAAAAGCATATTATGCGGTATGTAGATCCCATTTGCACCCGGTTTACTTAACTACTCACTCATCCGAATCTTCGTACAGCTGGCCAAAAAATACCACCCTGATACGAATAAAGAAAAAGAAGCGCGAGAAAAGTTTGTGCAGATTCAGGAAGCATACGAACTCTTGTCAGACGAAGAAAAGCGAAAACAATACGATCAATTCGGTCACGGTTTCGAAGGTAGGGAAATTACTACTTTTTCTACTTTTTGCATAAATTTTTTGATTGGCTGACATGCATTTAAACTTTCAAAAGGGGCTCCAGGCGCAGGCGGTTTTGGAGGTTTTGAAGGAGCCAATCCGGGCGGCTTTGATCCGAATGACATCTTTAGCCAATTCTTTGGAGGCGGATTCTCAGGAGGATTTGGCGGCGGCGGGATGGGCGGCGACCATTTTCGTAACATGAGCGGCGAAGATATTCAGGTATTTTCATCTTGCCATGTTCATTCCATCAGAAGTTTCCCGGAATAATAATGAGGTCTCCACAAAAAGACGCCGTTGACCATCAGTTTCATGGACGCGGTCAAAGGCACCACCAAACATGTATATGTGGATCGTGTCACGACTTGCAAAACATGCAAAGGAAGTGGTTTAGGGGCCGGTAAACAGAAATCCACGTGTCAAGTATGCCACGGTTCGGGTAGGCAGACCGTAGCAATGGGCGGTTTTCACATGCAGTCTACCTGTCAAGCCTGTGGCGGGGCAGGATCGTCCATTCCGGCGGGCAGCGAATGTTCAGCATGCGACGGGATTGGAAAAGTGCGTGAACATGCAGCAGTCCAAGTAAAAATTCCCCCGGGCGTTGATAATAATTCGCGCATTCGCGTTGCCGGTCAAGGCGATGCTCCGATGAAAGGTCACGGCAGTAATGGCGATTTATTTGTTTCTCTTCATGTAAGTTGTGACAATCCTGCCTAATTTGCAGACAGCATGCATGCATGCTTACATACCAGTAACCGTCATGGATTACATTATAGATCCAACCGTCCAAGGTTTTCCGACGTCAAGATGCTGACATTTTTGTCGATGCCAAAATTCCTTTTTACAAAGCCGTGTTGGGCGGCACCATACGAGCTCCGACGATTGACGGGACGGTGGCATTAAAAATACCCGTCGGAACACAGGCGGATGATCATATTGCTTTACGTGGAAGAGGCATCCAACGGCTACGAGGTTCTACCCGTGGCGATGAAATAGTAACAGTGAAAATAGAGTTACCAAGGTACGACCCACTCTATGATGAAAGCAATATTTGCAGTCACCAACACAATGTTACGCTAGATCCATGACGGATGAACAACGCAAACTGATAGAAAAATACGCTAGCCTGGTTGATCCAGAATATCGCAAGGACAATGGAGACAAGAAATAATACCTACCATTATTAAAATGTTGGGGAGTATGCGCGCTAATTTTCAGTCACAAGGCAGTCACATTGGGTTTTTGCTACATTTGTCGGCTTTGATTGGGTAATTTTTGAAAAAAAATATATATGATTGGTTGAAACGAAACCAGACAGCTGTTGATCGGCCCGACCTTTGCGCTCGAATTTATAACATGAAGCGTAAAGCTCTGATGGAAGATCTAAAGAAGAACCATGTTTGGGAAGAGTCGTTACCCATGTACACACGGCGGAGTTTTAGAAGCGAGGCTTACTGCATCTTCATTTGCTTTTGGTGTTACTCCGGAGGATAAGCCGAGAACACTTGATGACTATGATCGTATCGTGTGTGCCGAACTTCAGGACAGAGAGAGATTTCCTGATCTCTACGACACCGTCAGCATATGTATGGTGCACGGTCCGTGTGGAACAACGCATCCGAGGTCTCCCTGCATGGAAAACGGCTCATGTAAAAAGCGTTACCCGCGCTCCTTCAATGAAGCTACTATCGAAGATCACAGTGGTTACCCGTTATACCGTCGTCGCAACAATGGTGATTTTGTGGTCAAGAACCATGTCCAGTTGGACATAGATGGGTTGTTCCCCACAATCGATATCTCTGTGCAAGATATAACGCTCACATTAACGTCGAAATCTGTACTTCTCTGGAAAGCGTCAAATACCTGTTCAAGTATGTTTACAAAGGCCACGATCGTGCTGCAGCAGCAATGTATCATGCCGACAATGACAGAAAATGTCAGGCTCCTGACCCGTTTGCGCTTTGGATGCAGTTCCGCCAGCACTTGGCAGAAGACTATATCCATTTTTGGAGCAATCAAAATCAAGATAATGATCATTAAATTGAGCCGCCCCAAATCGTGTACGATCGCGCTTTGCTGGACATTGAGAGCATCTGAACCGCCAATCGAGTTCACTGCTGAATTACGATCGCTTTGTTCTTCCTGATCGCCAAGAAATTGGCAGAAGCACACTTCGCCGCCAGCCCAGGTTGGTAAGAGAACAATTCGATCTCATCGCAGACGCTGCCAATGTTCCCCAAACACACGAGGGCCTAAACAGTTATCAACATGCCGTATACCACGCAATTCTCCAGAGTGTCACGCATGGAAGCAACGAATCAGCCCGATTGTTCTTTGTTGATGGTCCTGGTGGCGTCTTTACCCTTATGTTGTTGTTTTTATTATTCCTTTATATTTTACTGTATGTATTTTGTCTTATGCTCCTTTGATTTCATCCTTTGCTATGATTTTTCAAGTTATTCTTCACCTTTATGTTTTACTGTATGCTTTTCGTCCTTATGTTCCTTTTGATTTTATCCTTATGCTATGTTTCCCCAAGTACGATTTTTTCTGTTATCTAGTTTTGTCTCTCCATTTAATATTATACGATGCCTGACTATTTCTGTTCCTAACTTTGTGTACATATTGTTGTTCCTCTGTCGTGGATGAAGAAAATGATCGCTATGTGGCGGTAGGTCAGGGGGGCAAGACCCCCAGGAAAAAAGAAAAAGAGACTGTACTACTCTGTTGTCCATTGAATACGCAAAGATTTATGCACACATCAACTAAATCTTACCGAAAAATCAACCGCTTATTAACAAAAGATTAGAGTACCATCAAGCGAGACCTTTGGATACACAAATTCGAGTGCGGAGCTCTGAATATTGCAAATGGAGCATCCCATTCCAAACGCATCTTTAATCAGCTACTATTCCCACTAGCCTCAGATTATCAACAAACTACAGACCGAAAGAGCATAACTTTGTGATCTTTAAGATCAACAGGCGCTACTAGTCTCTATATAATTAAAATCTTTGGAAAATTAGCAATTTGTAAATCACATGATCTACACTAAGTTATCAGGACCTGTTAAACGTTTTTTTTTATCTTTCAACCATGCCTCGCTGCCCACTTTCACGATAATAGGCGAAACAATCAGCAGCAAGATGCCGTTTGCGCCAGTTGTGGTCAAACAGAGCAACGTCGTCTTTCAAATAAAAAAGTGAGTAGAGCTCTTTTTGAAGAAAAATGGTTGATTATACGACTGGCGTTCTTCTGTAGCATCATTCAATTTGTTTTTTTTTTTTTTGTCAGTTATACTGTATATGCCCTTTGATTCTCTTCATTTTATAATGATCGAGAGGTCAGTGTTCATCTTTTTTTTTTCCGGTACACCATTTGGTTCAAAGGCAAATCCAATTTCTTTTCCTTTGCTATAATGTAATGATCGTATACTAACTCAAAATTTTTCAATGTCATATAATCCAAGCCATGTCAAGCGATCAATGACTATCGAGAACTCAAATAACAAAGGTAAAATATCTTGACGAAATTTTGAATCAACCAAAGAGCTTACTAACTCATTATTTTTAAATACCCAACATACCCACACATCTTTCTAGATCTATCATAGCCTGGGCGGGATGGAACTGAGGGGGTCAATAAGTGCTGCTGCACACATGTTGGAAATCATGACTGTACGGTATGCCAGAGTATTGACATAATATACCAAAGTTCCATCAAGAGTCTCGCCCAGGTTATGCCGTATTGCGTTAGGCTTTTTGTCTGACGAATGTCGCTCAAGGCAAGAGTGCGGCATCCAGTAGCAGGTGGCATCCATTGCACAGCGGGTGTACGGCTTGTTATCAACATTTTGACACGCATAATCGCAGTCATCCCATCTACGATCATACAAAGCATTCTTAAAACAGAAGTCGTGGGTTTCCCACAAATGGCACATATTTATCTATTGTTGAAGTATACTATTTTCTCCTCTTACATAGGAATTAAAATGCATAGTGGCAGCATATTTTAACTGATCAAAAGCGGCCCGTCCCTTCAAGAGATCGATTGTCCGTATCAAAGCATGGGACAGCATTATCAGAACAACTTGCTCAAATCCTTTATTTCATGTATCGTCTTCATTAAAGAATGGTTTATTTCGAGAAATCTGCAGATTGTGTCTGGCCTCTGATCTTAACAAGGAAGCCGAATTGCATCAAGTATGGATGTGGCCTCACTCACATGACGAGGCCAGCCCAGTGTGAGGCAACTTACTGTTCAAGAGACTAATGTTCCGGCGCTTTGCGGGACAAAAATGAATCTGATACTATCGGCGGAAGAGAATGTTACTTAAACGTAAATTTTGACAATGTGCACAGCACAGCAATATCGTTATTGTGGCCATAGCTTTTTTAATCAAGGGACTGATCCTCGCATGATGGTGTCAGAAAAAAAAAGTTTTTTGATTTACTGCTGTTGAGCAAAAGACAGCATATGATTGGTTGGTCTCTCATCTGGAAACGGTTCCATTTTGTCCAAAATAGGGAATCGGTCGATGAGCAGCGGCAAAGGCGAAGGTTTGACAGATGTCAGTAACAGCTCTAGCGACTACGAGTCCATCTTCGGTCAGCGACAAAAAGAAGAAGGATACATCAACATGCCTAGTTTACCCTACTCGCTTCACGTATGAAGCATCCCACTTCGAATATTCAGTATACGCTCCTTCATCAAGATTCCTCCGAGAATTACGATCGGTGTTTCCTGATCTCTCACCGAAACAGCAAAAGTCCGTTCTTGTCATACCCGTCATACAGCACTGCCAAAGGGACATGGTGGGCATTACCAACGATGTTAATCATGAGAGAGATGTCAAATTGGAGACGGTAAGAAATGCTGTTCATGGTTGTACATTAGCTTTCGCAAATTTTAATTGACAATCTTTCTTAGTTTGTATCCTGGGGAAAACGAGTTGTTACTCGACTGCGCTCGGTTGGCATGTGGGCTGACATTATGGATCCTGCTTCTGGATTCCCCGTAAGTCATCTATCATCGATAAGGAGGATGAGGAATCCGCCATTAAATGATGTGGAGTATAGATTTTCAGTGCGGCAGGACCCACACCCTACCCTGACGTGCAAGGAACGCAGGCGCTCACACAATATGATGTACAGAATGTGGGATGCTGTCATATTCTGCTGCATCCAACATGGAAGAGTCATATATACCCTGCTACGATGTTTACCACGGCTCCTAGTGATATTCTTGTTAAAGTCATCAACGAGATCGCCGAAGCTGAATAAATCGTTCCCTTGCAGGGTAAGAGTTTGATGGGATTTTCCCCGATTTACAACTTTTTGTAGACACTGTAGGCACTTTATAATGATTACTTCAGGTCCATCTATTATGCAATGTGCTTTTTTGGTCCATAAATCCCATCACCAGATAGAAATAAAAACTGTCTTTTTTATTCGAGTATCTCCTAGTGCCATGCAGTGGTATCGGAGATTCAACCGTGGTGGCAAGTTGCTGAAATTTCTGGCTTCGACTGTCGTTCTGCACACAATACCCACCAAATGTCGTTTTGGAAACCTGGCACTGTAGCTCCCGGTATATATCACGCAATATTTTAATGTTCGAAACATGGAGTACTGATTCTGAAATACAGGAAGCGCGGTCGACCGCGATACGGAAAATGAGACAGACGAAGCAGTGATTGCTCACGCAGAACAGCAATTTCGACACTTGACTATACAGCAGCAACGTGAACGACTACCTGTCTTCAAATTAAGTAAGCATCGATTTTTTCTCATCGCATAGACCGAATCGCAGCTAATGACAACCATTCAAAGGAAGAGAGCTTTTATACGTCGTCAGTAATCACCAAACCGTAATCGTCGTTGGTCAAACAGGCTGCGGAAAGACAACACGTATGTCCATGTCCATTAATCCAGTCACGACAGGGGGAAATAACAGATCTGACCTGTACCATTGTTAGAAATTCCACAATATTTGGATGAAGCAGGATGGACCGCCAACGGCAAACAGATTGCTTGTACACAGGTAAGCTATCGCTTAAAATGGAAGCTCATGGACATCCTACTAACATGGATCGTTTTCAGCCTCGTCGGATCGCCGCAACTTCGGTTGCTCAGCGCGTAGCAGAAGAAAAAGGATGCCGGTTAGGTAGCGATGTAAGTAGAGTGATCAAAAATTTGTAATGATAACGCAAAGATATTTATGCTAGTGAACAGGTAGGATACCTGATTCGATTCGACGATCAAACAAGCGCCAGAACACGTATCAAATACATGACGGACGGCATGTTATTCCGTGAAGCCATGATTGACCCGTTATTGACAAAGTACAGTGTCATCATGATTGATGAAGCCCACGAAAGAAGTCTTTACACCGACATTCTCCTTGGCGTGATTAAAAAGTAAGAGAAACATCGTCCGTTTTCGAGGAAGAGAAATTCACCTGGGCGTTGATAGGATTCAAAAAAAGCGATCGGACTTGCGTGTGATTATTTCTTCTGCCACGCTCGATGCAGAGGCATTTTTCCGATTTTTCAATCATAATCCCACCCGGGATGCATCAAAGGATACAGCCACCATCATTTCTCTTGAAGGACGAATGTATCCTGTGGATATCTTGTATACCGAATCGCCTGTTTCGGACTACGTGGAGCAAACCATCCAAACCGTCTTCGACATTCATACAAAAGAACCGAAAGGAGACATTCTTGTCTTTCTCACAGGGAGAGATGAAATCGATACGGTGGTTGCAGAAATCTATGAAAGAGGAAAAACGTAAGCTTAATATTTTTGATTTTGCAGGGACAAGGTATTCACATCGGTCATTGTTTTTAGCTTACCGCATGGAAGTTTACAAATTATGCCTTTACCACTGTATGCCGGATTGACGTCGGAGGAACAATTGCAAGTCTTTGAAACCACTCCTCAGTATAGCCGCAAGGTGATTGTGTCTACCAATATTGCTGAAGCCTCGGTGACTCTGGAAGGCATTGTTTATGTGATTGATTGTGGATTTGTCAAGGTACGTGCCACAAAGAAATTGCGTCTTGGTTGTAGCTAGGCAATGATGCCAATTTTTTTTTCCATTCTTTGAACATTCAGGTTCGCGCCTATAATCCCAAAACTGGCATGGAAGCTCTTATCGTCACGCCCGTGTCCAAGGCTTCGGCACTCCAGCGCGCAGGCCGTGCAGGTCGAGTCCGTCCAGGCAAATCGTTTCGATTATACACGGAAGAAACATACAACTCTCTCCGAAACACAAGCATTCCTGAAATCCAGCGTAGTAATCTAGCGCCGGTGATCCTTCAGCTCAAGGCTTTGGGGATTGATAACGTACTGCGATTCGATTTCCTCACACCGCCACCAGCAGCACTCATGGTTCGCGCATTGGAGCTCCTTTATTCATTGAAAGCATTGGACGATGTCGGTCGACTGACCCTACCGCTGGGAATGCAACTGGCCGAATTCCCTGTGGATCCCATGCTGGGTAAAATTTTACTGGCCTCGGGTGAATTCAAATGCAGTGAAGAAATTGTTACTATTGCGGCCATGTTATCCGTACAGAATGTTTTTATTCATCCACCGCGCGCATCCAAAGACGTGGTGGCTGAAGCGCGAAGAAAGTTCTGGGTTGAAGAAGGTGATCATCTCACTTTACTTAATGTATATAATGCGTTCGTCAATAAGGGTAACAAGTCCGGTAAATGGTGCCATGAACGATTCCTCAATTTCAAGGCGTTATCGCGCGCTATCAGTATTCGACTGCAGCTGATCAAGTACCTCAAGCGGTTTGATATCAAATTGGTGAGCGCGACGGCCCAGTATCCGAAAACACCAGAAGGCCGATTGCAAGCGAGTGAACAGATCCGAAAGTGCTTGACCAGTGGTTATTTCTCACAAGCGGCCCGCGCTGAACCGGATGGCAGCGGACGTTTCCGTACGATTCGTGACAATGTGCTGCTCAGCATTCATCCTGACTCCGTATTATTCAATCGAAATCCGCAGTGTGTGGTATTCCACGAAGTCGTGGAAACAAAACAAGCCTACATGCGTGATCTGTGCGTGATTGAACCCGAATGGTTGGCCGAGCTGGCTCCTCACTTTTACGAATATAAATCAACCACAAGAACATAGCAACCCTGTCTCATCACCCTGTATCCATAGATCAAAATAAATGAAAAAACCGTCAGCTCTCTCCCCAGTTTATTTGCTGCTATTTGATTACAGCGAACTATCTTGTCTTGTAGCAGGTCTACAAAATTACGGGCATTGCAGAACAAAGAGGCTCAATGGATGCTGCAGACATCTGATATGAGGTGATACATGAAATCTGGGCCAAAATTTGAGAGCTCAACAGAATAACGCTCGCCACTTCGTTCTAGTTGCAAAGTAGTACGCCTCCAAACAGTCTGGCCAACCTTATGCTGCATCATTGCTGAACTCGATGCCTGCCAACGTCCTGGTCCTGATCCTCAACAAAACCATAATATGGACCTTGGCTGCGCCTTCTTGCTCTGCTACCAGCACTTCCCCTACGCAGCTCACCGCATCGTATCCGGTGATGAGGAAAGACGCGAATCAATCTCGAATCCCAGGTCATGCAGATGGGTGGCAATGCCTTTGGGCGACTGGGATATAGTATGATTTGCGACTTAGCCTATACTCGCGAAAATTTTACCATTGAATTCACATCTACAGATAAAGATGTCTCGTAAATTTCCTGAAATATCCAAATCTGGACAATGCTACTGTTGTCGTTCGGATTTCTCTTTTCGACATAATGAGGCCACCGATTATCGACGTTCGCTTAAGCACCCAGCAAGAAGTCCATTCATATCAACAAGGGTTCCTTTAAAACAAAGGGGACGGGAATATTAAATGGGTGCCTCACTTACTCATTTTTTAATAAACACCAGATGGTGTGCCTAACCTCGCTTTATATTTCCACCTCGTAATATATGGTCTTCACTCCCATCCACTCCGAGAAGTACCGCAACCGCAAATAAGAACAAAAAAGATCAACGTTTCTGGCAGTGGCATAGACATCGGTGTGATGGATGAGATGTTGCATGATTAGCCGTATATGGTTTGAAAGGGCACATCCATCGAGGGTTTTTGAATATGCTTTTCTCCATAAATGATTCATCGTTGTTTGATTTATTAGCGCCGTGATACCATAGATTCAGTCCCAATTTTATTAAGGTGTTTAAACAAAGACGTTGTGAACACTTGACTGGGTTTTTTGCTGGAAAAAAAAAAAAAAAGAATAAGCACGAATATTTTAATTTTAGACTTCAGAGCTGCGAGCCTGAAACTGTCTATTATCGAAACATGAGGACTATTTCTCGCCCACGTTATGCCGTGTATGCGTTAGGCTTTTTGTCTGACGAAAGTCGCTCAATGTAAGAGGGAGGCCTCCGGTGGCAGGCGGCATCCATTGCACAGCGGGTGTACGGCTTGTTATTGGTTAACTCTTGACGGACTTTGGTATATTAATGATAACCTTATGGCATCCCTTACGTCGTGATTTGTTTCTGAACACGCGCAAAGCAGCACTGTTGAACCCCTCAGTTCCATCCCGCCCAGGCTATGATCGATCTAGAAAGATGTGTGGGTATGTTGGGTATTTAAAAAAAATGAGTTAGTAAGCTCTTTGGTTGATTCAAAATTTCGTCAAGATATTTTACCTTTGTTATTTGAGTTCTCGATAGTCATTGATCGCTTGACATGGCTTGGATTATATGACATTGAAAAATTTTGAGTTAGTATACGATCATTACATTATAGCAAAGGAAAAGAAATTGGATTTGCCTTTGAACCAAATGGTGTACCGGAAAAAAAAAAGATGAACACTGACCTCTCGATCATTATAAAATGGAGAGAATCAAAGGGCATATACAGTATAACTGATAGAAAACCCAAATTAAATGATGCTACAAAAGAACGTCAGTCGTATCATCAACCACTTTTCTTCAAAAAGAGCTCTACTCACATTTTTATTCGAAAGACGACGATACTCTGTTTAACCACAACTGGCGCAAACGGCATCTTGCTGCTGATTGTTTCGCCTATTATCGTGAAAGTGGGCAGCGAGGCATGGTTGAAAGATAAAAAAAAAAAAAGGTTTAACAGGTCCTGATGACTTAGTGTAGATCATGCGATTTACAAATCGCTAATTTCCCAAAGATTTAATTGTTTAGATTCGCCAGTGACCTTTTTCCTTCAGGCCTCCTCCTAGATTTCTCTTCATCTCTTTTCTCGTCAGCTTCTTTTTTTCCCTATGAACATCCCTGATGATCGTCTTCAGTTCGAACTACCACGCACTGATAGACCTGGCACTGACAGGATCAACCAGTTAATTGCTAGGGAGCAGTCTATTATCGATTTTATCACAAACAGCAACTCTAGATGTCCCCCCCAGGGACCTATATCAACACCATCACCACCTTCTCGAATGGTCGAATGTGACGTATTGTACATTCCCCGATCCGCTAATTTATCAAGTTACCACCTATTCTGCTGGAGTCCCAGCATACCGTAACAAAGATTTCATGACTCTACCATTAATTATTGTACCAGTGCTCAGCGTCGGTTCCGGGTTTCCCAATACTTGTCATGATTTGTATTGACAGGGTCCCCACAATCTTTCAAAACCGAGTTTGTATCACATTTAGAAACCGTACTGCTTACGACCTCCAGCGTCCAATCTCTTTGCAAAGGACGTCCTGATGTTAACGAAGAGGTCAATTGCTGCGTTTGTCGTCGAAAATACCGGCGACTTGGATCCTCTGTGGCCCTCGCCCATTTTTTTTTACGTCCGGTCAATCAAGCATCATCGGTATCGAGAGGTGTGACGACTCGATCGTACAACACCTCTACCGTATTGTCAAGAAAATCTATAACGAGCATTACAAGACAGAAGAAAATCACGTCGCTGATTCGGTGATGGTCTGTAATGCGATGGCTGCCCAGTTTTCTAAAATTGCCCAGACACAGCAAAGCGATCGAGTACGCGGAAGCCGGTCGTCTGTATTCTGAAAGTCGGAAATCCAAGTTTATGCGAACCAGATCAGATGATAGCCTAAGCATAACGCCCATGGAGGAACCGACCGAAGTCGTCAAGGTGGCATCGAGTTCTCGACATGTTCCTCCGATGACCGACCGGTCCATAGCCCGTGCCGTTGACAGCAACTCTGTACCCAGTGACGTTGAAAGCGACCACTCCATGGTTGATGCAGACTTAATGAACATTGACGTTGATACGACCACTCCGAGGTCAGTGGCATTGAAAGCGACCACCCCATGTTTGATACCGATCAATCCATAATCATTTTTGTCGCAGCATCAGACGAAATTGTTTTAGACGTATGGATTGGGAAGAATGCTGGTTAGAAGGACGAAGAAATGGCTACTTTAGCCAATACAACAATGGCGCCAGCCTCAAAGCTGTATATTATTGACTCGTGAGGAACATCTCACACGAAAATCATGAATAGATCCCCTTCCACCTTTTCTTCTTCACCATCTTTCCCGCCATTATATGCGGGTTTTCTTTTTTTATTTTTTTCAAATAAAAAGTTACCATGAACATTCAGCATAAAAAACGGAATGGTACATTTGTATGATAAGCGCAGGTAAATGTGATTTTTCTACATCATATTCCAACAAATTTCCCATGCAGTCGACTAAATTACCAATGCCACATTAACCTACATTGGCACAACAGAAATTTTATATATACTGTTGTTCCATTTATAAACAGGTAAATATTTTTTATCATATTTGGGTCACAGTACACTGTCCAATATTATCTACTCCCCTATCAAATGCATCCATTACTGTCTCAGAGCACTTATATGACCATGGCATAGTTCTATCCTATCGTTATATGCGCAAGCAGCTGGCGTGTTTTTTGATTTATTGAGAAAGCCATAAGATAGTAGGAGACTTATTTCTGCATTCATTTAAAGAAGATACGTACCTGACAAGCAACCCATTTTCGGGCTGTACAATGTACTGCGGACAGGACAAGGTTAATACTAGAGGGCAATAAGGTAAGAGCAAACGATAAAAGACTTTCGAATTACTTGTTCTGTTCCTCCTCTTTCTCCCGCGTTACAGGGTGCCATGTCCCATATTTTGAACGGCGTCCGATTTTCCCAGTTCGAGGTGTCCACTTTGTGCTATGCAGTGAAACCCTACCGCCAAGCTCTTCTCATCTTGAGTTCGATTATCTGTTTGATTAGGTGTCTACGTCTACAAGTGTAGGTTTTCAGAAAATATTACCTAATTATTACAGGGCTTGCAGATATACTTCCTTCTTCGGCATTATTCAATCATCTTCCTAATTCGATATCTTTTTTCGTTTTTCTGGTGCCGTAATGCTTGTCTGACCTTTCGTCGCGTCCGTTTGAATGCCTTGGGGAGGATTTGGTCCTTTGTGGTTCTTTCAGTTTGTTTCTCGCCTCCATGTCCGGTTATCGCCGCGCTCTTCCCAGGTTGTGGGCCTCTGAATGGACAACCTCTCCAGCGGCTACGGTAAGTTTAAAGGATCAAAAGTAAGTTGGAGAAGAATAATTTTACTAACTTTTATGTTTGTTATGATATCTGTTCTCCATATCCTCTCTCGTTAAAATCAAAAAACCTTATCGTTTTCCATCTTCGCGAAAGTGAGAAGGAGTTAAGTGCCTGCAGTAAATTTTGATTGTGCACTCTCTCTCTCTCTCTAAAATTTTCCTTTTATGGCAACCGGAGAATCCAACCATTGCAATTCATCTGCATGGGTATGATTTGGGTTATTGAGGAGATTTTGAGACAAATTGCAGGAAAATTTAAAAAGCCTTCTTTCTTTGTTGTGTGCGCATTCGATGCTTGCTTGGTGGTTACTATTTTCTTTGTGTGCTTATATTTGCTCGGTCCAAGCCGTGGTGTCTTCCGCAACACAGCAACATCTTGCTTCCAAGCGGCAAACGGAGCTGGAGGCGGCCACAGACCGCTGGCTGCAAGCCAAAACGCTTGATCAAACTTGCAATGCTTGCATAGCTTGGTTTTACCTCGTTAAACAGTTGTCCTACGGACCAGAGAACGTTCAAAAAGCGGCTCTGGTGAAGGCCTGCCAAAAAACAAAACTCTACCCGGCGGAAGTGGTAAGACTGCCATTGTTGCATTAAGTATTTGTATAATCATTTTTAACCAAACTATAGTGCGATGGCGTCGTAGAAGAGCAAACTCCAGTAGCTCGTGAAGTGTTGAAGGTTTTGTATTGATGGTTTGCTGTGATTCCAATCTTCTCGCGAGGCTAACAGTGGAAAATTGGTGCAGACGATGTCCATTGGAGGCAGAGATGGACATTTGCTGTGCGCTGCTGCCTTCAATTCATGTGCTTATCCTGGTATGATTTGATAACAACAAATTTTTTAAGGATATTGCTCGTAATATGGGCGTACTTAGATGTCATACCGTGGAATATCACCTTTCCAAAGTCGAAACCATCGGTGAAAAAGCACCCTCGATCCGATACGGCGAGAAGAAAACGCACATTCAACGTGTTGCACCTGAGTGATTGGCATATTGATCCTTCTTACGCGGTAGATCAACGATTAGTGTACAAAAAGTTGATCGCTGTATATTGATTATAAGATAGGCTGGTACCGAAGCAGCGTGTGATAAACCCATCTGTTGCAGGCGGGACAGCAACAGCGGAGATGAGATTCATCAACGTGCTTCCAAGTGGGGATCCTACCAATGCGACGCTCCATTGCCCCTCATCAATTCTATGTTGGAATACATCGAGTCGTTGGACGATATTCGCTTTGGATTGATGACAGGTGACGTACCACCACACGACGTGTGGAATACCTTACCTGTGAACAAGACAAGGATGATTCAAACCGATTCGTATCAACTATTGCATGCGTACTTTGACGACTCGTTCCGAGCTCGATTGTATCCTACATTTGGAAACCATGAAGCTGCACCGGCGAATCTATTTCCATTGAATGGAAGCAGCATTCCCCAGGATAGATCCTACCTTAAAATGGAGTGGCTATATGGTGCTCTCAAAAAAGCATGGAAAGGCTGGATACCACGCGAGGTAGATGTCAAGGCTCGAAAAGGCAACTATGCAGTGCGACCTGTGAGAGGCCTCAAGATCGTTAGTCTCAACACCAACTTTTGCTATACGTTTAACTGGTGGCTCTATCAATCACCCTTTGAAAAGGATCCTGATGGTATGTTGCAATGGCTTATTGATCAGCTCCAAGAGTCGGAAGACTTGCAGGAGCGTGTATGGATTATGGGACATATTGCTCCAGGCGATATGACCTGCTTGCATGACTTTAGCAACTACTATTATCAAATTGTTGAACGATACGCTCCACATGTTATCGTGGGGCAATTTTTCGGTCATACTCACAGGTCAGCATACCATTATTTCCAATGGAGATACTCATGTGCTCAACCCCTATTTAACAATGATGCGTTGATTTTTGTTAGGGATGAATTTCAAATCTTTTACCGTCATGAAAGGAAAGATGCTGAGCATGCCATTGCTGTGGCCTACCTCGCTCCGTCCGTGACACCGTTTCCCCGACTTAATCCTGGATTTAGGTAACGTGGTTACGATAGAGGAGCGTGTTTCGCCATTGCTGATTACCGTTTGGTGGTATTTTACAGAGTATACGAGGTTGATAACGAGACTTTTGAGATTGTGGATAGCAAAACATATACTGCGAACCTCGATCAAGCCGATACATGGCTCCAAGGACCGGTAATGATTTCTGTAGTTAGTATGATACATCAAAATCATGAAACTTAATGACAAAATATATAGAACTGGCATCTTGAATACTCGGCTAGGAAGGCGTACAACGGATCGACAGAACTATCGTTGACACCTGCATGGTGGCATAATGTTTCAGTAGCTATGGAGCAAGACATCCATGTCTTTGATAAATATTGGGAATATCGCACCAAGTCGTCGGCCGTAAGAGAAGAATGCGACGATGGGTGTCGACACCAGATTCTATGTAGCATTCGAGCAGGAAAATCCGAGTTAAGATGTGACTACAAGCGGTAGCACAATGATGGAGGGATCACGTTGTCAATTTCAGTAGAATCAACAAAATAAAAATAAAAGTCGTATGTGATACGAAGAAATTCGAAAATGCAGGACAAAGTTTTTGAAGACCAACCATGTGACTTGTGTATGCTTTCCAGCTTCTTACTTCAAGTAACTTGATGCCTTCATTTGACAGTGAAATTACCAAAGCCATATGGGGTGGCAAACTGCCACTTCGTATTACCTGTCTTACCGATGATGCTAGCGAATGGGAGCCGATTCATGTACTGCATTCTCTTCCTTTTAACCTACATCCCGCGGACTGATTGTTGACATTCTTTAGATAGAAGCTCCTCGCTGCTCCTACTTTCCGCTCATTGCCCAAAAGTTGCATGACATTTATACAGGCCTAGGATTACAGGTCGATAAAGAGAATATCTGGTTTGACTACCAAGGAGAACCATTAAAGTGGTATGTTTGCAGCCAACTCTTCCTTAAACGTGGATATGGACCAGCGTCGTTTTACAAAACTCTTATATGATGTCGCAGGCACTATCCGATAGGCTTATTATACGATTTAAATGTATTCGGCACAGCGACGCCGACAATGGATGAGGCGGTTATACCATGGTGTATTAATATTCACTGGCGACATTTCCCGGCGGACAAACTACTACGAAACCCCTCCATCGATGCAGCACAGGATATATTTATGAGCATGCTCAAAGAGGTAAGTAAAGAAGGACGTTGAACAAAACAAAAGGCAACATCTTTTGTTATTGTAAAGGCACTAAAGATGTTGAAGAAAAGGCGGATTACCTACGCCACGGCAATACAAAAAAGGTGATGAATCTGTCTAAGCGGGATCAAACTCAACTTTGGCAATCCTTATCTGTAGGTAGGCTATATTATTTCAATGTAATGTCACTGGCAAAAATGTGTATTGATGAGCGTACTCTGTCAAAGATGATCATGATAAATATTGGGAAGTGAATGAACACCTACTGGAGAATGAGCATCAGCAGTGGCGCCACATTCCTGTCCGCTTATACTTGCCGAACAATGGCGTGCTTCAGGAAGCAGTACCCTATCATGATACCGAAGGTAAAGCAGTGAAAAGAAGGCAAAATTCCATGCTATATAGGTGTAGTAACGAAATCAAAATTAGGCACCGCATACACAATAGCCGACGTAATATCACGAATCATGCCTAAGCTTTCCCTCACAACTGCTATACCTGTCATGCACGGCATCCCATTAACCATGGACATTCCTGCAGAATGGGCTTCGAAAAATTTAGCATACGCAGACAATTTTTTACATATTGTTCTGAGTAAATCAAGAGAATAACAAGAGAGGGATTTCATAATAACAGCAGTGGATGGGTTGAATGAGCATTTTTTTATCGCTCTGGTATATGTATTCTTTGTCATCTTAGGGTTCATACAGCCTATGTAAAAAGCTATACAAATGCGTGACAATGAAATCTGGCAACTAGTGGGGAGAAGGAAGCGCGCCTTTTTCTCAGGATACATGGGACTGTTCTGCCGCCGCTCGAGCAATAATGCTTTCAATTTCTGATCGTCGCTCGTTTACTTTGGCCCGTCCTTGCTTGAGGTTATACAAATGGCGTAAAGATAGAGTACTTGCCAAGGTTAATACAGCCAACAAGCCTAGTACGACAAACATATACAGATTGGAGTAGTAAATAACGTCATCGACATCATCAACCCATTCGATCAGTGCGACGCGAACAACGAACTCGCTGACCAAGCCCAATCCCCAGATACCAGTCAAGGTACGGAAAAAGAGGCGAAACGAAGACCAGTAGTCCCAGAACCAACTCCAATGTTCACGCACGGTGGAAGGGTGCAATATGATGGTGCTCGATAAGGCAATTTGGCGAGCCACATAGAACATGAAAGGACGTAACACATGATGGCGCCACCGGAAAGGAATCAAAGTAGCCAACAACATCAAACCCATTGCCAAAGTCATGGCGGACTCACGCAACAAGTACAATTTGGGATCCGACTGAACCACCGCCAATACCGCCGATACCGCGAAACCGAGGAGCATCAGTACGCCGGTCATATCGGTTTTTCGTTCTCGGAATCCTTTAACGATGACTATCAAAGCTGGAGGCAGTCCAGCAATGAGCAAGGAGAGCAATGGCGACACAAACAATCGTAGCACATAGTACAAAGCAATAGGAAGCACCAGCTCAAAGAGCATATGAACAGCGATGCTGGTGAAAGCTCGAAGAATTGAACGTCGATTCGGAATGGAGGTGGTAAAAAAGGTCGGCACACGTTGTACGTGGCGTCGCTGAGGGCCGTTACCCAACAACGGTGTGGTTACTGATGGCACAAAGTCAGTCGGACTGATCGCCATGACGAAAACTTTGGGGGAAGTTTAAAAAAAAGAACGCGCGGATAAACTGGAGAAAAAAGAAATAGAAAAATCAGGCACTGACAGCCTTCTTCTTTTTTTTTGGGGGGGGGAGGGTTCTTTTGTTGGCGTCAGCCAAACCATTGAATAACCGCAATTCCCGTTTTTGCAATTTTCAAAAGCGGCTAAACTTGCAGAAAGCTTAAATGTTGGTATGAATCTCCATGCAACGTGTTTTTTCTTGTTGTTGTTTGCATTATTTTGATCAAATACCAAGGATGCAGGCGAATCTTTATCTAGTGTTAATTGTCACCGGGAGAATTGAGTCGAGACTGACCCAACAGCCTGTATTCATTTTGGTACGCCAATGCCACTGTCTTTTGAGAAGGTTGTGGCTCCGCTCTTGCCAAAAAGCTTGAGAATGCAATTTTGGGCAGTTATATCAGAAGACTGATCGTCTTTTTTGTTAAAAACCGGATTGTCTCTTGTTTGAGTTCTATAGATTGTATTCATGGCATGGTCAGTGGCACGTAGATTTTAGTCGCTACACCAAACACCTCTTCTTCAGTACGAAATCAATAGGCGAGAGTGCCCCATTCCTATTCTGGGCAAGTTCTTCATTTGAAAGCGTCATTGTTTTTTGCGAATATCAAGTCTATCACAAGAAATGTGGTATAGGATGTACCTTTGAGGTAAAGTGCAGCAATTGTATCGTTGAGCCACATTTTGCATTTGCAAAGGCGTTACACGGATACAGACTCCGAATACACTTCCCCATATACATTTGTCTTTTCGTCAGCTCAACTCAAATTCTTGGTAGGGGCACTTCAGATATAACCTCCATAAAAAAAAAAAACGAGGAATAAAAGTATGCTGTGACGAAAGGGGATCTTGAGCATGGATAGTTCAATAGGAACTTTGATTTTCACGATCATCAAAAAGCCCATCATACAACGGAGTTGATATGTGACTGCATGTTGTTTTCACGCAATTCCCAATTCTGTTGTGTATCCTGACATTTTGAATGCTGCGCTTGCCACTCTTTTTCCATTACCGTTTTGACTCCAAGTTTGACTTTCAATGGCGGGCGTGAAACGAAAGGCAGAAATAGAGATTCCGATTGCGGATGACAATGACCTGCTGAAGATTACTCCTCTTGGAGCTGGAAACGAGGTTGGACGATCGTCTATTCTTCTCGAATACAAAGGCAAAACCATTTTGGTAGGTCCAGGCTCTCCTTCTTGTCTCAGTTAGATACCGTCCTATATAGAAAACTCTTTACTACAACTACTTTGCTCGTTAATAAAACACAAATGTCTCATGGTACAAACTCTTTTATTTCTTTTTTGTATATGATGATCAAAGCTTGATGCTGGTATTCATCCTGCCTACAACGGCTTGGCTTCTTTGCCGTTCTTTGACGAGATCGATCCGGCAAGCATTGATCTCTTATTGGTGACACAGTAAGTGGCCTAATGAACCCCTATGCTTATTCACAGTATTGTTTAACGCTGAGAATAGTTTCCACGTTGATCATGCAGCATCGGTTCCTTACTTGATGGAGAGAGTAAGAATACGCTCCCGTCTTTCCGTAGTTCAATATGTCCAAGCGGTGGGTTCTAAACAGTTTGCTTATTATTAGACTTCCTTTAAAGGACGTGTATTTATGACCCATCCGACAAAAGCTATTTACAAATGGTTATTAAGCGATTACTTGCGTGTGAGGTAAGTTTACCGTAGCGTATGTCGAAAACTCATCCCGCTTACCTCTTTGTCTTCCCTGTTAGTAACATCGGAGACGAAGATCAACTCTACACTGAAGAAGATTTGATCAATTCATTTCACCGTATCGAAGCTGTGGATTATCATCAACAAGTGGAAGTAGAAGGCATAAAGTTTACGGGCTACAACGCGGGCCATGTGCTGGGAGCTGCCATGTTCTTGATCGAGATTGCAGGCGTTAAAGTACTATATACTGGTGATTATTCACGAGAAGAAGATCGACATTTAATGGCGGCCGAGAAACCCGAAGGCACCGTAGACGTTCTGATTACTGAAAGTACTTATGGTGTGCAAAGCCATGAACCTCGCTTGGCCAAGGAAATACGATTTACTTGTAAGTGATGTGGTGCCAAAATTACATGATGTGAATCGAAAAGCTAAGGGAAAGTTTTATAGCATTGGTTCATGATATTGTTGGACGCGGTGGACGATGCTTAATGCCTGTATTTGCTTTGGGTCGTGCCCAGGAACTGTTGCTTATTCTGGATGAGTACTGGGAAGCACATCCCGAACTTGACAGCATCCCCATTTACTACGCTTCCAGTTTGGCGAAAAAATGTATGGCCGTCTATCAGACCTATATCAACATGATGAACGCCAGAATTCGCAAACAGTTTACGATTTCCAACCCGTTCGTGTTCAAGCACATCAGTAATTTAAAAAATGTGGAGCAGTTTGAGGACTCGGGACCTTGTGTGATGATGGCCAGTCCTGGTATGCTGCAGGTGAGCACAACACGATGGCTAAAAGTGATATTGTCAAATGCATGCTTAACAGCTGATGTTTGCCTCGATAGAATGGTTTATCTCGTGAATTATTCGAACGATGGGCTCCCGATAAGAAGAATGGATTAGTAATCACAGGTTATTGTGTGGAGAATACCTTGGCACGGGTAAGTAAACAAAAAATGAAGAGCTATACCAATGGCTATATTGATGCTTTTTTTATTACTTTTATATCAGCAAGCAATGAACGAGCCTTCCGATTTCACAGCCATGGATGGACGTCGTGTGCCTTTACGCATGTCGGTCGATTACATTTCCTTTTCGGCCCATGTGGACTTTACACAGAACAGCAAATTCATAGATGATGTCAAAGCGCCTCATGTGGTAAGTGCGAATAGAAGTAACGGTACGACTACGCGATCCTGATGTGAAACTTTGTTTACAGATCTTGGTTCACGGTGAAGCCAACGCAATGTACCGATTGAAATCAGCACTGCAGAGCAAATACTCTGAACGAGAAGAGAATGTAAAAATTTATACACCAAAGAATTGCGATACTGTTAAACTGCTTTTCCGAGGTGAAAAAATGGCCAAGGTAAGGTGTCGAACCAGATTTTTGAGAAACACACGTCGCGATGTATGGAGAATATTGGATTAATAAGTTGATAGACTATTGGAAGGCTAGCCGAAAAATATCCTACCGAGAATCAACCACTGAATGGTGTCATCGTCTCTAAAGACTTCCAACTGAATATCATGTCACCCGAAGATTTAAATGAGCTGGCTGGACTTATCACTACGGTCGTTACGCAGAGACAGGTCGTACCTTTTAATGCCGGTGTGGGTCTGTTAAAGTGGCATTTGGAAATGATGTTTGGTCCTATCCACGAGTCTGATCTGAGCAAAGCCGACGGTAACGATAACCAAGATGCTACAGTGATGCGCGTCTTCGATACTGTGGATATCAAAAAATTCAATAATCGACCGAATCAAGTCGTCCTGGAATGGATTGGCAACGCGATGAACGACATGGTCGCAGATTCCGTCTTGGCAGTTATATTATCCATTGACAGCTCTCCAGCAAGCGTTAAAGGTGACTTGATAAAGCCTAATGGATATTTATTATCGCTTTTCATTGATGATGTTGTATTCTGTGACAATAGCTAGCAGCCGGCCCTGTACGCATACTCATGCTGGAGATAACCAAGAGCTACAGCATTCGAGTATTGAAGAACAAAATGATCGCGAATTTGAAGACGTTGTATCTTTCTTGGAAGAACAATTCGGTGAAGTTACCACCGATGCCAAAGAAAGAAAGGCGACGGTCACAGTGGATGGTGAAGAGGCCTATGTGGATTGTGTGAAATTCGTAAGTTTTGATTCTGTCACCTACTGTGTCTTTCAGTTTTTTTAACCGCTTTCGAAATAGAACGTTGAATCTGATAATGAGGGGCTACAAAAACGAGTTGCCAACGTCCTGCACCATGTGAAGATGGCTATCAAGCCTATTTCCGAAATCTATGAATGCTTTGCATAATTTTATTCTGTTCATATTTAGCTTCTTTTCTTGCTTATATTCTGTTCCTGCTATCGTATAATCAGAACTTACCAAAAAAAAGTAATAAAACCAACGTGATTAAAACACCGACCTGTTTTTGGCTGCATCTTGCATCGATCCCCTTCTCACAAGGCTGTCCCACTTAACATAAAAATATGACAGATGTAAGGCGCCAAATTGACAATGAGCAAAGACTTCGTAGATACCTTTGTTGTTCTAGCTCCCAATCTTTATGTATTATAGCCTCGTCGATATTCCGTAGCTTCGCAATCCTCGCGTCGACGAAGCAGTATTGCGCAGCCTGAGAATGTTTCTGCTCGACCAGCTTCCATTTCAACATTCGGATCGCTGTTCTCCCGCAGTAGCTCATTAACACGATTCGGAAAACGAGCGTCTGTTATCGATAAATCCTCCAGAACACCTTTATACGATCAGGATAACGTGCTTACTGAAGAAGATATCGAAGATGGCCCTATCCCAAAATCGCCACGCTTACAATCTGAATATTTCAAACGATATGAGCTCATGACTGAATTGTGAGAATGAAGTGACGAATGATAGCAATAATGACCATATTGACCGTTGATCATATAGTGTTAATCTACGGAATCCGAACCACTGCCCCTTGGGCGTGTATGTGATGCCTTCCTCAGATAATCTTAATGGTAACTTGACCTAGATGAAGCAAAACAGAACAAGATAACGCTAACAACTGGAACTACAGTATGGTATGGCGTGCTATTCATACACAAAGGTTATTATAAGTCTGGTGTGTTCAAATTTCGGCTGTTGATACCCGAGGATTATCCCAATCAGGCGCCATCCATCTCTTTCCTGACAGACATGTTCCATCCACTTGTGGATGTGAGTGGTAATCTGTCATTAACGCAGCAATTTTCTTCCTGGCGACCCTACCAAGATTATATCTTCCATGTTCTGCATTATCTGAAGAATATATTCAAACGAAGCGTGTTGGACGGTCTCATGGACAAGCACTGTCTTAACAAAGAAGCCTATCGATTGTAAGTATCATTCTTTTTTTACCTGCACACACACATCATCGTCTTACATTCTATGTCAGATACCGCACAGACACAGCTATATTTGGCAAACTGGCCCAGCAATGTGCTCAATTATCTATCACAGAATCCTATTTATTCGATCATTTCCCAGACAACAACATGGTGCGGTTTTCACCTCTGAGTGAGGCCACATTTGGTAAGGGATTTCTTTATCCCTATTGCGCACATGCATCATTAACAACGATCTCTGTCCTCTTGAAAATAAACACTTGTAGACTCATTAAAAGCACAAATATTAAGCAGCACTTTGGTAAGTTATTATCCCCAATGGCGGAGGAAGTGCGCCATTTCGTAACTTTTTTCTAAATGTATGACCGGTTTGCTAATTGATCAATAATTCATTTCAATAAGATGCCTGTTGATACCACGGCCGAAGAGCCAACCATCGAGGAGCAACTTCGAGATCGATTCAACGATTACAAAGCAGGTGTCACTAAACCAAGCCAGTAAATATTTGCTATGTACATTTTTTATGCAACAAGGAAGGGATGAAAGACATAATGACAGAAGAATATTTAATCGGACTCGCTCTCCGGCACACCTTTGGACATGCGCGTCACTATTTTGTTTTTGGAAAGATGAGGGAAAAGATCACCCCACATTGCTTTGCGTGCATCGCGGTAGGGTACTTTGCCTTGCGACTTTGGAATGACCATGCGCTGGATTTCGCCTATTATACAATAAAAAAAGAATGAGAAAAATGACCATCACGCAAAAATCATGCAATCGTTACATTTTTTCACTCATTTTAACTTACCATTGGCAGCAGAAATATCCATCACAACGTGACCCTTGCGTTTAAGTGGTGGTTGGATCAATCGTGGCCAGTTGTACGCTTGCATTTCTAATGATGATTCCTCCGTAGGCTGAGGTCGAGGTCCTCGGCGCATAATGCAGTAAGAGTAAGTGGCATCCTCCGTATTTAATTTTGAATGCTTCGTTCTCATCTGTCATAAAGATTGCCAGTAATGTTAGCGTTCGTAGAACACGGAAGCGTCAAAGCAGTTATTGCATACCAGGAAAGGCGGTCGTTGCACTCTTTGAGAGAAATGCTGCCACATTTGCTCAGGTTTAGCATCAGGGGAATATAACATGGGACAGGGGAGATCATGCGGATACTAGGCAGATAAGACCATGAATAAAAAAAAACCAGTTGCACATTATTTAACCATTCTTCTTCCCGATCACTTACTGGAGCAACGGTATGAACAGCACCTCCCTGTTCACGTTCCGAATCCAGAATCCACTGTCGCGCTCTCGCAATATTCGCAGAACCGATAGGAGTACCCCGCTCAACAAGAACCTATGAAATAGGAGCACAAATTGTTATAGCTATTCTGTAGGGCCCATTTTACGTGTTTTTTAATTTACACACCAGCAAATCACCCGTTTGATCCCATAATTGTGCAACCGTGGATTTTTGGAGCGCCGCAGAGGGTATGTCGCCGATCGTAAATGCGCTTATCACCAGGTCAGTTTTAGGAGCCTATAAACCGAGTTAAAAAAAAAAGAGGTCTTTGACATGGTATTCATAAATCATGACCATGTGGCGGATCACTTACGGATGGATGGATTGCCAGATATCGTTTAAAATCGATTGGTGTATATCGATTCTCTCCGTGCATGGACACTGTATGCACAAGGAAAATCAGTAAGAAGAAAGAGAAAGCGAACAAAGAAAATGATGCATATATTGCTATTTGTATACACTTGCCTTCCAAACGTTCAGCCACCCGTAACATATCTTCCGAAAGATCCACACCTTCGAACTTCTCAACATTGAACAGTTCACGAGCCGCCCTAAGTATACAGAAAATAATCAGAAGACGTTTAGAAAGGTGATGTGTCTATCTCACTTACCAAATGGCCGTGCCAGGCCCCGTGCCAAAATCAAGCATTGTCTTTGGGTTAAACTCGGGAATGCGTTTGGCCACTTCCGCCAAAACATTGTATATCGCACCATAAGTTGATGCCATGGCTCCAGCTGCATAGGCAACCGATTCACGGGGACCGTATGATAATGTGTGAGGTTCCGTGACAGGAGAGACCTTTTTCCGGGCTTTATCTTTCTTTTTCTCCCATCGGTTCAAAGGTTTGTCTTCTTCTTTGGGTAAACGTGCAGTCGAACGCAGTGCTTCGTAAATTCGCAAAGCATCGGTACGAACAAGCCGCTTATCGTGATCTATTCGCAATATTAGGTGTTAAGGAGGGGATCTTCACTCACGATGGATTAAAGCATTGGTGTACCATTAATAAGATCGGTTATGCCCTTTACGAGCGGCTGCGGCAGCTCCACGCATCCGATTCGCTTACGTCCAAATTCAGCTTCAGGCGAAAAGCGCACAACAGGTTCGGAGGGAACGTCGTCAAAGTCATCGGGAATATCGAAGGATCTACAAATGCACGAGATGGATGCATAAGATCATGGAACAAGGTCGGAGATGGTGGTGAGATTACCTTGCTTTAACCGAGTCATCGAGCGAATCAAAGGATTGCAACTCCTTCTCGGTTAAGAATATGACATTTTGCTTGGAATAGAAACGGACATGACGGTAAGGAATTGCCGTGAGGAGTGGTTTTAAGCGGGCAATTGTTCTGTTCATTAAGGAGTCCCGTTGAAGAAAAGAGGTGAGCAGGAATGGAACAATGTAAAACAAGCCACCCATTTTTTTGACAGAACCCAAAAAAAGCAAAAATTCGGTACCTGAAAAAGAGCGTGTGTAACATGGAGAAATGTGTAAAAAAAGAACAGCGCTTTCCCCCTTTTGCCTTTTAACGTGCTCCTTTGTTTTCTTTTGTCCAACTTTCTTTTTCGCTCTTTCGTATTTGTTACTCTTCTCTCTCTTTTTTACTTTATTTTTTACCGTCTAATATATATCAAGTCGAAATGTCTATCGACTCTCCAGCCTTTGACTTGCAGGACTATTCTTACGTGATCGGCATTGGTATGAACTATCTTTGCGTTTGAAAGAGCGACCCTTTTTTTTTTTTACCCCAGGTTAACTGAATGACGACGAGTTTAGATTTTGGAACCACCTTCTCAGGGTGCTGCTACGCCTTTACCAAGGACGGCGGTGACGAAATTGTGGACATCACGAGATGGTAATGGGGGATTGTGCTTTTTTCGTTTTGGGCGTACCTTAGCAATAGAGGGCGTTTGGGTTAGAAACCAAAGGAACGATATCGGAGATGAACCCACTTTATTAACTTACGTACTATTATCGATGATAGGCCTAAGCAGATGAACGTATATCCCAAAACACCTACACTATCACTATATAGAAACGGATCGACCAAATTGATGGCGTGGGGTCAAGAAGCACGTAAACTGTCGTTTAAACGCAATAATAATGACCATTTATTATCGCGATTTAAGCTTCACTTGGATGAAAACTTGGAGTTGGAACCGCTACCCAACGGCTTAACAGCGCTTGAGGCCATCACCGACTATTTGGAAGCCTTTCACGCCCATGTTACGGGAGAACTGCAGCGCGGTTTCGCATCCAATTATGATCAGTCCAAGTTCCGCTACTGTCTTACCGTACCTGCCATGTGGAGCGACCAAGCTAAAGCCACTATGCGTGAAGCGGCGATCCGTGCTGGTATCATTAATCGCTGGGATCACCTTGACCGTCTCATGTTGATCAGCGAACCCGAAGCAGCCGCTTTGTATTGCGAAAAAAAGAGTGAGCAGTTTAACCTCGGTCACGGCCAACGATTTATGATTTGTGACGCGGGCGGCGGTACTGTGGATTTAATTGTATTCGAAATTGACGATTCCGGTAACCGAAGATCGCTCAAGGAGGTGACTAAAGGTCAAGGTGATTCCTGTGGTTCCACCTTTTTGGACGTACGTATGCGGGAATACTTGAAAGGCCGATTTTACCATCATGGCAAGATCAGCGATACAGCCATGGAGACCATGATGGAGACATTTGTAGAAGCTATCAAGGTAAAATGGGCGTTTAGTAGAATTTTGACTATCAACGTGGCCGTTAGCCAAGTATTGCCAAGCTGCTAACCTTGATCAAAAAATTCACCCTAGCCCCAATTTGACGGAGAGGAAGAGCAGTTCCTCCCTCTTCCTGCCTCATTAGGCTTAGGAGACGTCGATGATCCAGATGCGGGGATTGAAGATGGGCATTTGCACCTGCCCGCTCAAGAACTCCGAGAACATGTTTTCGAACCTGTGATTCGCCAAGTTTTGAAACTCATTGACGATCAACTTCAGCAATCGCATATCATGCTGGATGCCATTTTCTTGGTCGGTGGTTTTGGACAGTCTGTTTATCTGTACCGCCGCGTGCGCGAAATTTTCCAGCACCGTGTGGGATTTATAGGGGTTCCGCCTCGTGGTGAACTGGCGGTTGTAAGGGGGGCAGTTTACTTTGGATTGAACCCTCGTATGGTCACGGAACGTGTCTCGCGACGGACCTATGGTGTGGAAACTCGTATGGTGTTTGATCCTCGTCTTGATCCATCGGAGCAGTGCATCAAAGGGGATGATGGTCGCTTGTTCTGCAAGCAGCGTTTCAGTGTCTATGTGCAGAAAGGTCAGGCTATTAAAGTGGACGATGTCGTTTCCAAGAACTTTATGATTGCGTACCCCAATGACACAGACACAGGTATGGCGATCTTGTCTTTGATTTGCTGCCGCTATTCTTTATTCATAACGCGTATATTTTTCCTTAAATTCTTTAGATTTATTCGCTTATGATGGTGAAGGTCCAGTACCGCGATTAACAACCCATCCAAGCGTGTTCAAGGTCGCTCGATTCCCTATTAAGATGCCGAAATTCCATGGTGTACAGAAAGGCGAGCCTATCTTCATGACCATCAAAATGTTCTTTGGCCAGACAGAAATCAAAATTGAGGCGCATATCCGGGATCGCGTGTTCACATTCACTTCCGCTTTTGAGACGTTGGAGCAGGGCATTCACACCATGAACAGCCAAATGAGCGCCTTGAACATGAAGCCGGATGATATGGATGCTCCTACAATAAGCAGCGGTTTTGGAGGTGTAGGCAATGGCTACGGATATGGCGGATCGGCTTCCAACCTGTCGAGTCCATACTCTGGTTCAAGACCTCCGTCGCTTCCATCACATCATCAGGAATATGGATACCCATCCCCGGCCAAGTCGTATCCACGCAGTATGCGTGACGACGATGATACCTTTTATGATGGCGACTCTAAACACTCCACTGGATTGAGCGGTACCACGAAGAAGCTCTTTACCTTCAAATTCGGAAAGAAGAAATAAGCGCTTTTTTTTCGCATCTTTTGTTTTCTCCTTGTCCTGTTTTCGACCTTTCTTTAATCCATAATTCTTTCCTTATTGTTTTTACACCTCGCTATCACAACATAACTAGTCTTCATTTCTGTTGTATTCACTTTGTAATGTTTATATTCAATGCCACCTAGTCTACATGAAGTATTTTTCCCTCCTTTTGTCTAATTCATGACATGAAAACAGATAGAAGTAATCATTTGCGTTTCCCGATTGTCTTATTCCATGAATGACACATAAAAATAGTTTATTGAAAGAATTCATCAAATCACACAATTATCTAAATTTTTGCATTAGATTATCATGGTACTCACCTGCATCTTGCATCAGAACACATGCAACTCAACTCATCAACACTTTGAATACAACAAATACACGATAATTAATATGTACAGCAATGTAAAAAAAGGGTGGGATGACGACTGCAGCCAATCCCGGGACAGGTGTGTATCTTTATTTATAAAGGTTGTGGTGTCCAGGCACCACCAATTTAAGCCTCGAGAACATTGCGTTCAGAGACGTAGATACCATCCAAGAACTTACGGATATCCTTTTTCTTGACGAGGCAAGACTGTTGAATATCAGCAGCTAAATCGCGGAAAAAAAAAAGAAAATACGAATGAGCCATGTCACTTATTGTTACAAGTCACGCAGTTGGATCACTTACCACACTGGGAGACAGCTTCAAGATCGTTACCGGTCAAGGTCAATTCATCCTTGACGTTCTTGGAGGCTTCGACAATAACACCCTCGCGCATCTTGATGCGGAAGACGACCTTCTGACCCAAGAAGTTGCGGATCTCAACTTCCTTACCACCGTCGTTGATAATGACGTTGATGGGAAAATGGGCGTAGACATAACGCATCTTGTACTGGAAACCCTTGGTAACACCAATGATCATGTTGTTCACAAGCGAGCGAACGGTGCGGATGCAGGCGACGTGCTTGCGGTTACCGTGGTACACAACAAACTTGAGCTTGTCCTTGCCCTCGAACTTGATCTCGATGTTCAAGTGGCGCAAGTTCTTGCTCAATTCACCACGGGGACCCTTGACAGTGACATTACGGGCCTTGATGGCAACCTGGACACCTTCGGGGATAGTGAGTTCGTCGTCCTTGTAAATGTCTTTCATGATCTATCCATTAGAAAATTGAATTAATCATCATGTAGAAACGGATGGATAATGCTAGTTCTTTCATGGTATTTACCTAATGGATGGATGGATGAAGGGAAAGGAAGGATGGAGTTTTACGAGTTCTTCAAGGGTTTACCAACTTCGCTCCGTCCCCGAGTCGGCCATTTCACAACTGCAAAATAGTCACGTTTCAAATACCGCTCTGTAGGCAGGCAGAGGAAAAAAACATAGCTTGGGGGATATCGTTGCTCACCAAGCCTACTGTTTATGAGTGGAAAGAAAGCTTGCAGCTTGTAAATAAACTAAACCGCATGAAACTTGATCTGTATTGTTCTTTTATTATGCTCAAATCAAGCCATACCCAATACGGGTTGTAATCAATTGCTTCAATAACGAGGTAGCGCTTCGCTTCAAACAATACTGAACAGGATGGATGTGGTTCGAAGGGATTGTCCCGTAAAAGGCATCATCAGTTAAAACAAGGCAACGAACTGCCACTGCCAAACCTAATATGCATGAAGAAGTTATATGTAAAAAGTATTTATTGATACAAAAAGACAAGTCTTCTTTAGGTGAAACAGATGAAACATCAGAAATGATGCATTTATTTCTTGCTAGCCTTGGCAGCGGCCTTGGTGACCTTGCCAGTCTTGTCAACCTTCTCAACGGCCTTGATGACACCGACAGCGACGGTTTGACGCATGTCACGGACAGCGAAACGACCAAGAGGAGGATATTCGGTGTAAGCTTCAACACACATGGGCTTGGAGGGAACCATCTTGACGATGGCGGAGTCACCAGACTTGACGAACTTGGGAGCAGCTTCGAGAGACTTGCCGGAACGACGGTCAATCTTCTCGAGGAGCTCAGCGAACTTACAAGCAATGTGAGCAGTGTGGCAATCCAAGACGGGAGCGTAACCAGCACCAATCTGACCAGGGTGGTTCAAGACAATAACCTGGGCGGTGAAGGAACCGGCTTCCTTGGCGGGGTCGTTCTTGGAGTCAGAGCAGACGTTACCACGACGGATATCCTTGACGGAAACGTTCTTCACGTTGAAACCAACGTTGTCACCGGGAACACCTTCAACGAGCTGTTCGTGATGCATTTCGACGGACTTGACTTCAGTGGTGACGTTGGCAGGGGCGAAAGTGACGACCATACCAGCCTTGATAACACCAGTTTCAACACGACCAACGGGCACAGTACCGATACCACCAATCTTGTAGACATCCTGGAGGGGAAGACGGAGGGGCTTGTCGGAGGGACGCACCGGGGGTTCGATGTTGTCGATGGCTTCAAGAAGGGTCTTACCAGTCTTGGAACCAGCCTTGGTTTCCTTGGTCCATCCCTTGAACCAGGGCATGTTGGTAGATTCTTCCAACATGTTGTCACCGTGCCAGCCAGAGATGGGGACGAAGGGAACAGCCTTGGGGTTGAAACCGATCTTCTTGATGAAAGCGGAGACTTCCTTGACGATTTCGTTGTAACGGGCTTCGGACCACTTGGTGGAATCCATCTTGTTGATGGCAACGATGAGCTGACGGACACCGAGGGTGAAAGCCAACAAAGCGTGCTCACGGGTCTGACCATCCTTGGAGATACCAGCTTCGAATTCACCAGTACCGGCAGCAATAATCAAGATACCGCAATCAGCCTGGGAGGTACCGGTAATCATGTTCTTGATGAAATCACGATGGCCGGGGGCATCAATGACAGTAACGTGGTACTTGGGGGTTTCGAACTTCCACAAGGCGATATCGATAGTGATACCACGCTCACGTTCAGCCTTGAGCTTGTCAAGAACCCAAGCGTACTTGAAGGAACCCTTACCGAGTTCAGCGGCTTCCTTCTCGAACTTTTCAATGGTACGCTTGTCAATACCACCGCACTTGTAGATCAAGTGGCCAGTGGTGGTGGACTTGCCGGAATCGACGTGACCAATGACGACGACGTTAACGTGAGTCTTCTCCTTACCCATTGCTACAGATGAGTCAAGTGTAAGTGATCACAGTTCAAAGAATCACAGCGAAAAATGACCACCATGCAACTTACCGATCTGGTTGTATAAATGAAAGGGAAAGAACAAAAATTTTACCCAGTGGTCCCACTTTTTCAAACTTTCCCAAAAAGCCACATCCAAGGCAACCTTGTCACACTCACTCAACAATTCAAACCTCGTCGGTCGACGGCAGTTGAATTCTGGGTTTTTCGCTTTCAGTGTTTTGTGGCAAGAACTTTCTATCAATCTGCCATTCCATGGCTATGCACTTTGCAATAATTGTATCTTACCAAGATTTTTTCAGACAAAAAGACTTTTCCTTCCCATCAAACATTTCCGATAATTATGATGTGTCCAGCCACATCTTTGCTGTCGCAATGTGGTGTTGGCGACAACAACAACAGTTTCGGCAAGGGAAATAACCCAGCTTGCTTTTTTTGTTCGCATGATGTAGTATGCAGGAACAGATGTCTCATCTCCGTGTTCAAGGCTCCGACGGTTGCAGCAGAAGTAGGCAAAGCATTACAGGTCGCAGCACAGCCGAACTTCTGGTATTAAAGTTTTTGGCGACACAGCTCGATTCCTTATTTTTGAACTATCATAGAAGAAAGCAACTACTTTCTCTTCATTCCGGCGTTGCGATTGCTGATACTTTGAAAAGCATCGCTCGAATTCTACATGAAGTAGAATCTTATAAACTCGGTTGATTGACATGAAGCAGTTTGTACATATGGCGTCTGCTATCTTAAAAGCAATGAAATTTTATGCACAGTAGTAATAGTGTTCCTGATGAATTCGTGATTCTCCCGTCAATGTAATCCTTGCACATCTTCTCTATGTGGTCTAAGACTCAATTGGCTACACAGGGCTGCAGATACCATTACTCTGTCAAGAGACATAAGTTGCAATCCTGTTTCCATATTTCAGTTACGCATTCATAACGTTATATACAGTAGAGTTAATATCTATGGCAACTTGAAGAATATGACAACGTCCAATCAAGCACTGGGAGACCAGCTAATACCACCTGAAGGGTTATCGTACATTAGTTGAGCTGAGCAAAATAAAGACGGCGAAAACGGACATCTGTGGAATGTTTCGTTTATAACAAGGATGCGATAAGAGACGTTTATCATTTTTTTTCCGCAAGGAAAAATGAGAAGTAGTGAATTACTATTTATTTGATGTAAAAAATTGAGTCTCCTGCTTCTCCTGTCGCCTAAAACCGACCCTGCCTTCTTTTTTTTTTTTTTTTTTTCCTCCTGGAGAAGTCTGCTTTGTGCGGGGGATGATTAATGCCAGAAGGAAAGGGGAAGCTTCTCAACCTAACGATAGCGTAACGTATCGAATATTCAAAAGATCCCAAAAACAAAAAGAAACAAGGACAGAATAGAGTATAAGCTTTGTAAATATGTATGATTTAGCAAATGAGGGCGGCAACGATGATCATTCCCGAGATTAAGATCGAGTTGGATGCAAAACTTAGTAAAGAGGAAGATGCAGAGGTAGCTGAGGCAGCTGCGCTCGAGGAAGCCACTGCAGAGGGAGTGCCGGATGCTGGTATAGACGTGGCTATAAATAGTAATTTAGTAACATTTTTGAGAGAAATGCTGTGGGTGCACTTACAACTAGGATAAGCAGATGATACTGCCGTGATCGAAGACCAGCTGGAAGAGGGCCAAATAGAAGAGGGCCAGGAAGCGGATGTCGTTGATAAACCAGAGCTTGTCATGGAAGCTGTGGGTGTGGAAGAAGCCGACGAAGCAAGAGACAGTGTCGGTGAGGTGGATGAGGCGTCCGACAAAGAGACACCACTTGCAGTAGCAGATGGACTCATGGTTTCGGTGGGGATAGCGGTGTAGGATGGTGTATAGCTTGGATCACCGCCAGGCCAGTGATCATGGATACAGCTCGTAAAGCAGTCGTTATCACTGCAATTATTCATACATTGCTGTGTATGGTCGACTGATATGCTTCTTGTGAGTATTTGCGTTGATAAAAGCGCGTCGAGTCCCATTTGAGCATCGAGTGAGCTCAAACGATGACAAATACTTACCACATTCGCTCAAACAAACGTTATCAGTAGAATCACAGGCACACTGGGCGTTCACTTGTGCGACAGCAGCGAGGCCCAACACGGCAATAACGGTGAACGATTTCATTATACCAGTAATGTGTGAGGGAACGAAAAATGGGTAGTAAGCAGGAACGCTTTCTTTTTATATTGTATATGGTTTATTTTGCATAGTCTCCTGACTTTGAAGAGATTGACTTGTTATGTTGCTGCAGCTTGGTTTTTCTCCCGAATTTTTCCCTTTTTTTTGGCTTACTACTACTCGACTCCTGTTCTGCCTCTTCTTGTCGATCTGCGCGGGTCTTTGCTGCCTCTCCTTGCATGACAAAGAGTACTGCTAAGCTTAATTGTTCATTTTTTGCCACAAACGTAAAGTAGTCATGATAATGTGCGGCTGAGATGTTCCTGGACGCTTATCATCTACTAACATGCTGTAACTGGCAGGTCAACCTGGCTATAGTTACTGTGCGGCGGAAAAGCACTCTTTTTCTGTGTGCGAATCCAGATAAAAGCAGACATGCAAGAGAGCATCATTTAGTGGAACCTTAATCTTGATTATTTTTAAAGGCTTGAATGTACATAAAAGCGTATGGATATCAAATTTGCAGAATAAGAATTTCTCTGGTTCTAATGCTGTCGCGAATTTTACGTGCCATGGCATTGTCGCCGAGAAAGAAGCCCGATAACCATCCCAGGATAAAGGAAACGACCCAGGATAGAAAAGAACCGGGAATCCAGTATCTGACAATTAGGGATAGGCTGTGACAACGGTCCTAAACAGAGAGTCGAAATGGCAAACTGCAAGTTATAACAGGGTTTGGATGCCGCATGCATCCCAGTGTACTGCACTGATTCGCAATGTCTATAATACATCTTGATAACCATCACGACTGGAATTCGTGATAAATCATTCACTCAGATCTTTTATGATAACCATGGATCTTGGTTATAATATTGTTATATCGACAATATAATTACATACGCATATCCTTTCGTCGTTGCAAATAACCAAAGCTCAATACTCAGGCTCACTTTAAAAGGAAACATGCTTATTCATTCTCACGATATTGATTGATTAACATATAAATCCGTTAAAAATATTACCCATTGGAAGACTTTTGTTTCTGGTACAGTTGTACGCCCATGGTTGGCGAGATGACGAATGGGGGTTGGAAGACCCTTTGACAAGCAGTAAACTATGAAGCAGGCACATAACTGTTGCTATACAGTACACTACGGTACACAAGCGGGGTTGGCTGTCCTACACACGTCCCTAATAAAGAGACATGGTCAACTGACATGGGCAGCCTATCACCGAATAAGAGGCAAGGCCGAAGAGTTCGGACCAAAAAATTGGGATAGCGTGTGACAGGTGACCCAATTTTCACCATACACGGAACGAGCTGGGTATATTTTTGCAGCTGTGCCCAGCCGACAGTCACTGGCAAGTTGATTAAATACGGCTTTTGTGGGAACGCTGCATTTGCTCTTTCATTTTCTAAATCAAAAAAAAGTCCTTTTTTGTCCTGTCATATCGGTTGGTCATAGCTTATTAACTGACCTCACATACTATACTGTTCACAGTATATAAAACCACGCTTGAACGGAATAGAGCTCTTTCAAATATATAAATAGCCGGCTGGATCCTGCTCAAGTAATAGTTTTTTTCTCGTCATCAATGTCGGACTTGTTATCAAATCCCATTTTTTCTGGGTTTCTTCTCGTTACTGCAGGTTGCACATTGGCCCTTCAAGCAGGTGGATGATTGATCCTAGACGTTGCACTGACAACGGTGTCGTTTATTAACCAACTATTCTGACAATTTTACGGATCTATTCAGGTTGTAATGCTACTTTGACTCGCTATGGAGGACGATCATTTTCAGGTGTTATGTCATTTTCGACAGGTGTGATCTGCTGTTTGATTTTCTTTGCTATTGATATCAATGCTTTGCACACACCATTGCCCGATGAAACACTCAAATGTAGGTCTGAAACAGACACAGGGATAACGGTCAATGCTGACCTTTTTTTTTTTTTTGCTATCCACCGATCAATGTAGCTGCACCTGGTTATGCGTGGATCGGCGGCATACTCGGCTGTTACTATGTGATTACCAACATTCTAACCATACCAAGGCTCGGAGCAGCCACAACATTGGCTCTCTTTGTATGCGCACAGGTAATATAGTGAAGAGACGCTGAAAAGTTACGGATAGAAACCTAAGCACTAAAAACGAAAACTTCCGCAGATCATTATGGCGTCCATTATAGATAACTGGGGACTGCTGGGTGTTCCGGAACGACCTTATACCAAATGGAGAATATTAGCTTCATTCGGCCTTGTTGGCTGTGTTGGCGTTATTTCTAGATACTAACTGAATTCAAAATAAATCCCAAGATCTATCAGAAAAGCACACACCGTAGCAGGATCCCAAAAAGACATGCCATTTATAGTAATTTCTTCGCGCAGCGCGCCGAATTTTAAATAAAAAAAAAAAAAAAAATTATCGTTGTCGCAAAGATTCTTTATTGATCATCAACAGCTCTCAATGTCCGATTCATCAACCAACAGCAAACGGAATCGTTACAATTTTCAGTATTTTGACCAAGAAAGCGATTTTGGTGTAGAAAATGAAAACGGGGAACGCATTCGTAAGCGAAAACGACCGGGTCGCAAGTCTAACCCACCATCCCCACAAGAACGACGAGCACAGAATCGGGCTGCGCAAAAGGCATTTCGAGAACGTGAGCAAATCAAAAAACGAGAAAAAGAGGAACAATGGCAAGAACATACCGAAGAGATTCACCGACTTCGACAACGATTAGCTGAAGTAGAATACGAGGCAAACTATCTCAGGGGATCTTTACTTCAGTTGACACTTGCTTATCTAAATGAACGAGGATCCATACCGTTGATTTGGCATGATAGTCGGATCTTTCCTCCCTCTAGAACTAATCTCGACGAGGTATTGGAAGTCCCCCGCATCCTCAAATCGGTTTTACAGGAAGATAAGCATCAGATTCTGGAATTCGATCAAGCCAAAAAAGTCGTGGATTATCGAGAGTCATGTCCTTTCGTGCATCAAGCTTTTGCCGAAATGTGCAACGCTTCTACAACAGCTTGTAACTGCAAAACGCCAGAAGACTTGCTGAATACGGATTTTATGCCTATGAGTGTGAATTCACAGGACGTTCGCACTGCTTTCCCCAAACCACGTAGCAACCAAGCGCAAAAAAAATCACTCCATCCTACCCCGAAACTTGACCAAAGCACAACTAATACCGATCTTTCATCACCTTTACCAAAACCGATAAAAGGGACTATCATTGAACCGCCTGCTTTGAAGACACCCGACGATTTAACCCATATGCCACCCTTACAAGCTTTACACATTCTGCGACTCCAGCTAAAGATGGGATCAATTCTCGGCAACCTAACTGCCTTGGCTCTCTGGCCCAGTAAGTCTCTTTTTCCCTTTTTGGGGAACAATTTTTCTGATAACCTTTTGATTAGCTGCATTGCAACGTCTTATTCCACACGATGTACGAATTGACTATATTCCAAGCGCTTATCTACGTGACCGCATGATTCTCTTTCAAGAATTTTACGATCTTGATGACTGCTTCCAGTTGCTTACAACCGAGACCCTGTTCCTAGGAGGTGACATTAGAGACAACCGAAATTGGGTCATGCCCAAGAGCTTCACAGACAAATTCTGGTTCTTTTCGCACGAACTGGTCGATCACAGTTTTGACGACTGTCATATTCCGTACGAAAAAATGAATAATATTATCACTTGTCATATAAAAGAGGAAGAGCAGCAAGAAGAAGAAGAACAAAACAAGAATGAAAAGCAAACCGCGATACAACAGGTTTGTTATGCACCTGAACAACAGTTTGGGCGCGCTAGCTTTGCCGTCGACAGCAGACTTGCTCACACATTTCTGGATGACAATTTCGTATATATCTCATAATTGTTCTTCTGATACATCAATCAAACCGATTGCTCTCCTTCTTTTTTATTGTAATTTAATAGCACCAGCCCTTCGTATTTATTCATCACATCATCCTTGTTTTATTTCCTTAACAATTTGTATAGGCAAATCATGTTTCTCGCGGGTATATGCCATTGATGTGATCCATTTCCATTATAAAGTCAAGGCAGTTATGGCAATTTATCGTTTGTTTCTTGCCCTTTTTTTTTCTAATGTGCTTTCCCGGGCAGCAATAACTGAAAGAGGACGCCCTATCCAGGTTGCATAGCTTTTCAAAACGGGTTCGTTAACATTCAACCACACACTACAGTTGACATTTTTGATCACGTTCGATCATGCAACGTGTGTGGCTGTGCTATAACATGAAGAATCTGGTCAATATCTAGCTTTCTGCAGATGAAAGAACAAATAAAGACTGTGATATGTTGGAATCACTACATCATAGTCTGCACATACTTAAAAGCTGGCTCTATTAATTCTTGTTATCAAAAATGAACTCGATTCCATCGATTTATGACGGTATTGTATCAAAAATAAACACATTCACCAATGCCAAACACAAGATGAATCTCATGATACTCATCCTTTCACCACACTTGCTACTTCAAACAAATAAAATTCACACACTCGTGTAACCCTGCGATTCACCTCGGTAGAACTATGTATAGAGTGAGAACCCGCAAAGACCAAGATAGAACAGAGACCATCGGCGGGGAAGACCGATCTAGGAACGTCACATCTGCACAATCCTTGACGGCCGCAAGAACTGCACATGACTTTTTTTTTCTTGCGCCTTCCAACGATAGGACCTTTGGCTTGTCAGAGACCCGGCCATTTCATGTTTCTCACTCGTTCCGAGTTACAATGGCTGTGCAACCATTATCGTTAATGCGTATAAATTTAGAGACCCTCCGGCTTTTAGGTAAAGGCGCTATTTTTGCTCTCGGAATAAGCTCCACATCACGTCAGCGAGGCAACACGACATGGTTGAACAGCACATACCCTGGGCTTGCATAAAAGCTCATCTGACCTGGACCCTATTTTTAGGGTCAAAAAACAGAAAATAAAATTAGCCAGACATGCGGAACACTGTAAGAGCCAAAAGAGCGTGAGTAATCGGACAATAGACGTCTCACTCTACCCGCACGCGTATATAAACCGTGGTTTCTATCGTGGCGAATCCGATTTATTATCCATCTTCTCTCCATTGTTCTCATCCTCTATTATTTCTACCCTTGTTACCATGCATATCGCTGCTGCATTGACTTGTTTCGTGTCTGCTCTCTTGGTTTCCGTGCAAGCCGCTCCCGCTGCTCCCGCTGCACCTGCTGCCTGCCTCGGTTTCCGCATTACCTCACCTACCAAATCAGGTCTCAACTGGACTTACGGTCAATGCTACTCTGTGGACTGGGATCTTGGTGCAAGCCAAGTGAAAACTATCACTTCGGTGGATCTCTATGATGCCGCAACGAAGAAAAAGGTGACAACCGAAGTCTCCAATATTTCGGCTTCCAAAGGCACTACCGGAAACTTCCCATTGATGATGGGAGACGACGTGGAATCCGGCAATTATTATTTTGTGCTGAACGGAAAAGCTGGCAATGGTCAAGCCTGTCAGTTAAGCTCCGTCAGTTTCCATGTTACTGTGAACCCCAACTCCCCTCCAGCTACTTGCTAAATGTCATTCATGACTGCAGCCTTCTTTACCTTTGAACGGCTGAAGAACATACGTATTTTAATCCATTCCTTTCTCCTAATAATAAAACAGGTTTCTTTTTATCTTTTATTTGCAATGTATAATGAATATCAGCAGACTACCGTGAGATAGGCTTGCCCGCCAATACATCTATGATTTCTTGATATGACAGTGTCTCATACTCTATCAATGCATTGGCTAGCCGATCGAGCTCTTCCCTGTGTGTAGCCAAAATCTCCTTTGCCCGGTGCTCTGAGCCTTGTACTAACGCCTTGATTTCACTTTCAATCAATTGCTTTGTCTGCGCACTCAGCAATTGCATATCTTCATCGTCATGATTCACTGGTCCAACCTTCTCGCTCATACCGTAATGTCGTACCATTCTCCTTGCTACATCCGTAGCTTTCACAATATCACTGTGTGCGCCACTCGTCACATTATCGCTACCAAAAATCATTTCTTCCGCTACACGGCCGCCCATGCATACGTCGATTTGTGCAATAAATTCTCGTTTGGTAAAGGAATCCTAGAAAGAAAGAAAAAAATGAATTTCAGGATCATCGTTTAGTAACGCCATTGTAATGAGGATGGCATCGCATTCAAAGTGATAAAAAATACCTTGTCCATTTCTGGTAACTGGATGGTCATGCCGAGTGCCGAGCCACGGGGCATAATGGTTGCTTTGTGCAGAGGCATGGCCCCGGGAGTGTAGAAAGCCACCAAGGCATGTCCGCCTTCGTGATATGCTGTCACGCGCTTGCTTTCTTCTGTAATGACAGCCGAGCGACGCTCAGCCCCCATGATGATTTTATCCTTGGAGAACTCCATATGCTTCAGGTTCACTTGTCGACATCCTTCTCGACTGGCTTGAATGGCAGCCTGATTCACCAGATTCGCAAGGTCGGCACCACTGAAACCCGGGGTGCCTCGAGCAATCACACTCACGTCCACATCACTAGCGAACTGAATATTTTTCATGTGATGTTTGAGAATCTCAATACGGCCACGGACATCCGGGAGAGGCACATTAACGTGACGATCGAAACGACCGGGTCGAACCAGCGCCTTATCCAGTAATTCGGGGAAGTTGGTTGCAGCAATGAAAATCACGCCTTCAGTTTGTGAAAACCCATCCAGATCCACCAACAATTGATTCAGAGTTTGCTTCATATAGGATTGATCTTTGGGATTGCGTTTGGATCCAATGGCATCGATTTCATCGATAAATACAATACTGGGAGCTTTGATACGTGCAGCAGCTGTGAAACGACACACAATCGTAGCAATTGAGAATCACAAATCATTATACAGACAATGGATTTATCAATTCATACGTACCGAATAATTCACGAACGCGACGAGCACCAACACCAACGTACATTTCATCAAATTCACTTCCGCTCATGAAGAAGAATGGCACATTTGCCTCGCCCGCGACGGCTCTTGCCAACATGGTTTTACCCGTGCCCGGTGGACCGGTTAACAGTACACCTTTAGGAAGTTTGCCACCGAGTTCAGTGAACTTTTGAGGGTTTTTTAAGAATTGAACGATTTCTTCCAGCTCCTGTTTTGCTTCATCCACTCCCTGCACATCATCGAATTTGACCGCTTGTTGAGTGACCGGTTCGTATTCTGTTTGCTGCGTTGCAGTCTTCAACAAGCCCGAGTTTTCCAATGCCAGTGAAAGAATCGTGAGGATACAGAAGGCATATGTCAAAGTCACACCGACCCAGCGAATGGCTCGCCAGAACATGAATTTACGTCCTTCCTCCACCACGACGTAAATCGGATTCGACTTTTTTCCTGAACCTGCTAGAATGGTTGCACCGTCCATCGAAGCTTGGCCACCCGCACGACTGGCGACCAACTGTTGCAGTACTTCTTTCGGTAAAACGCCTTTCCCTATATCGTTGGAAAACGAGAGTAAAACCCGAGATAGTTTGGTTAGCATATTAAAAAAAAAGCAATTATTGCCCAATGCCGTGAACCATTTACCTTGATCCGCCATCCATTTGGCGCCACCGTCCCTTTCTAATTTTTGCATTATTCTTGGTAATATCGCTTCGGCATTTCCCGTTTGCGCTAAAGCCGCGATATAGTACTGCCAGCACTCTTCATTATGGTTAAAATGCCCACGTTCGAACCGGGCAATGACTGCTTCTGGGTTCTTTGCTCTTAACCATTCCTAACGGGGGAAGCGAAATAAGTCGCCGCAACATTTAAAAAGAGAGAGTGACTGAAAGGAAAGTCCCTTCCGCAATACCTTGTATAATACTGCTTGTTTTCTCGGTTCCTGAGGGAAAGAATTGGCTTCCATTTCGAGCTTGGCTAAGCGTCGGTTGTTGACCAGCCGAAATGCTGATCCTTGACTTCCCGAAAATAAGGTACGACGCTGTGAGGGATGAGGGCGGATTGGGGGTCTGGTCAAAACGGATGGTGTTCGAGAAGACAGGGATGGTAGGTCGCAAGCAATGATCGGTTTACTTCCAAATTTTAGAATGGTATTCGTGCCGGCTGAATTCGTGTTGTTGATACTTCGATGCTTTACAGACTATGAAAAAGTGAATTCACAATTGTTGGATAAGTGCCATCCTATGTCGCACAATAGCAACTAGTATTTTGCCCATTTACCTCTAGGGCCTGCATAGCCGACCGGCTCAGGGATTCATTGGGAACCTTTGACAGGTATGCTGGACGTAACCAATGGGTCAAATTGCGTGACACATGCGAAGAAGCCTCTAGTGTAACTTTGGCCAACTGAGGATCATGGTGAGCGGGGAAGCTTAAAGGAAAAAAGATACACTCTTGCCGGCCGTGAATGACAACAATTTACCTGCTGCGATATCGACAGAGCTCCATAGACACTCATTGAATGACAAAGTCGAAGAGGAAAGATGAGTACAAAAATAGAGCAAAGTAATGAGTGATGTAACGGAGGTAGTTTGACGAGTGATGGGTATTATTTTGGCAAATGGACGACAACAAATGGGTGGACTTTTCTTATGTTCGCTCGACCCAACCATTGTCGGAGAAACAATGGGTCTCGCCCACGTCACATTTGAATTTCGCACTTTTCGATTCAATACCAAAATTTCTGCATTGTCGTACGGAGTCAAGATCGATTGCCCCAAGCGTTGAGTCTTACAAGGAATATCAATTACACCAGGAATATATCAATTACACCATTATTATCATTACCATCGTCGGACGATAAACTTTTGTCTTGATTGAAGATGAATAAAATGATTTATAAAGAATGAAAAGAGCAATTGGAAATTTAAAGATTTTCTGGTCTCTGCTAAACTATTATCTTGATCATCATTGGTAGGCCTAAGCTATGGTCTTCCTTGATTCATAAAGATCGAAATGTTGATAGCACACTAGCTCATCCTCAATCCTGCATAAATCTGCAGGAAGGAAATATTATAATTTTTTTTGATGGATCTTTTTCCATATGCCGTCCATATCGTTGTGCATTGCCGATAGGGAAACATAAACTTCGCAACAAATGAATTTGCTCGATTGCCAAGAGCTAAAAAGCAACCGTAAACACGCTACTGCTTGATTCGTTCGCCCTTTTTTCTATCATGCTACAGTATAAAGGTAGGTCTTTTTAACGCAGACAATCAAGTTATAGCTACCTTACAAGTGATCAACGCTGATACGCAAGAGCCAGCTTGCAAACCTTGCCATAGTAACAAACGCAATAATGTGATTCTACTCACTACGCAGAAAGCTAACGAGAGCATAGCCATGACGAAGCCATATTTGTCGATTATATAGTTCTTTAAGCCAAAATCCCCTCCCCACCCTGCCATCACTTTCATATAATGTATTTGTCCGTCAATAATGATAAAAATCCTCAATGACTATCCAATCGATCAGCTTCACAAAATTGCAGTGTCCAACATAGTATCATATTTTCTCATATGCAGCATCGTCAAAGAATATTATCTTTTGCCTTTTGTAAAAGATTTGCAGAATATCGCCGTGATCTACAGTATTCTTTGCTTGTTCCTGCGAAATTGTTGCGCAGTGGACCAAATCAAAGTGCTACTGCTGACTTTTATATCCATTTGAAACTGCATATTTCCAATAAGAGTCACGAAATTAGCACAAGTTGGTTTAGCTCGGCGATCCATTGTAATACAGTCATTGCTTACCCAAAATTTTATTTAACAGCTTTTGATAGTATGGAAGACTGCGAGTAGGAATAATGATGCTCACTTAGCACCTATACAAATAAACATTTTTTTTATTTTTATTTTGTCCAGATCATGGCTCGATGATTTTTAAAAAGAAGCGATGGAAGATGTGTTTCAGGGTCCACCCAAATGTTCATCATGGCGATTTCATGACTCATTGCTCGTCATTTCTTGGTGAAATTGATGGCTGAAATACACAAATTTACCACCTTGCACAAGAGGAAATATTAAATTCAGGTAGTTCTCTGTTCTCCGAAAGCTAGCGTAGCTGCCCAAAAATATTGATCTTGCTGTCAAGGGTGCAACACTTTATCAATGGAAGGTTTGCTACTGCACTCCACCGGCTCGACCACAAGCAAGGCAACAGGTCTAGGATGACTCCGGAACCATGCGGTAAAATAAAGTTTTTTTTCTCACGAACACAGCAAAGTTCCAATCTCTCACGGCACGAGCCATAGGCCGGACTTGGAAAATGAGCTGCAAACAGAGGAAAATTCATCTCGTCATCAAAACAGAAACGAGGCAGAAATAGGGTTTTGTTCGCTGCTTCTAAAAATGGTGCTTATGAGCCTCAAATGGATCGTACAATGATGATTAGATTTTTCATTTCTCGATCTTCCGTTTTTGGCACCTCTTTTAGTCACTTCAGATGGCCTGGCACATGTCCTATAGCACGTCATCACACCGTAGCCGACGACCACCCTAGCTCGGGCGTGATAATAAGTCATAGGCACTAAATGATACAGAACTAATGTGCGCACAAATTACATGAGCCCTTTTCATTGACGGGGATTAGCTGAAAAATGAGGGAAAGCGGAGGTTTATTCGGGGGTGGGGCCGTTCTTAAAAGTTTTTTTAAACCCGCTTTTTGTGGCAATTAATTTTCCCTTCTCGTTCCTGAAGCTTTTTTTATTACTCTTTTCCGTCTTGCTAATCTCGAACCAAAAAAAAAAAAGCTGTCATGACGACCACAAAGAGATCGACTCCCTTTTACTTTGGAGGTGCTGCTTCCTGCATTGCTGCCATGGTGGTTCATCCCTTTGACCTCACCAAGGTCCGCTTGCAAAACACCAAAGGCGCCGACAAGGCGGGCATGCTTACGACCATGGTAAGAATCGCCAAGAATGAGGGTCCTCTCAAGCTTTATGCTGGTCTCTCGGCAAGTATTCTTCGTCAAGCGACATACTCTACTGTTCGCTTTGGTGGTTATGAAAAGTTGAAGCAAATGGTTTCTGACGGCAAAAGTATGTAATTTATTGGGAGAAACGATCATTGACAACCTGTGACTCATTTATTTTTGTCACAGGCATTTCTGTCTGGCAAATGTTGATCTGCTCCAGTGCAGCTGGTGCATTAGGCGGTGCTTGCGGTAATCCGGGTGACGTTGTTAACGTGCGTATGCAAAATGATGGCCAGCTTCCGGCTCACCAGCGACGCAACTACAAGCATGCCATTGATGGTGTCGTCCGTATTACTAAAGAAGAAGGCGTCGCATCACTGTTCCGAGGACTCGGACCCAACGTCAACAGAGCGATATTGATGACCTCTTCCCAGTGTGTCTCCTATGATATTTTCAAAGATCTTCTGTTGAAGCACAGCCCGTTAAAGGATGGTATGGCTCTTCACCTGACGTCGAGTGTGTTAGCGGTACGTATCTGGGATACTAGTGGTTTTTTGATTTGGCGGTGGCTTTTTTGGGTTTCAGTTGGGATATGCTTCATCACCTCACGTTGACTGATACTGATCGTTTTTCCTTCTTTGAACAATAGGGTCTCGTGGCAACCACTGTATGCTCCCCCGTTGACGTTATCAAGACACGTATCATGACCGCCAGCTCATCGGATCGCAAGATGTCATCGCTGACTGTCATGTCGCAAATGTATAAGGCGGAAGGCATTGCCTCCTTCTTCAAGGGTTGGACTCCAGCATTTATTCGTCTTGGACCGCAGACTATCATTACTTTTGTGGTACTGGAACAGTTCAAAAAGTGGCATGCGGCATGGCACGATAGATCATTGGTTACAGCCAAGCTGTAATTGGCATATCCTTATTTTCTCCATTGTTATCTTATTTATTTTTGACACTTTCTTTATTCATCATTCATAGTATATCATTTTTGTATTTTTTTTACAGCATTTTTTATTTTTTTGATAGAGAACAATGAAAATCTGGGGCACTGCCTCAAGTTACCTGAAAGAGGAAGTCCTGTCAGTACATTCAAATTTTGAAATATACCCTCAAAGGTGTGGAGTGCGAAATTGCGGGGCGCCTATAGTCGGAAAAAAAAAATTGGCATTTGGCACAAAGCTTTCCGAAAAAAGCAATAATAAGGATGGAATTCAGGGAATGACGTTTTGAGATGTCTTCGTTCTCTCACCATTAGATAAGTAAAAAGCCAAATGCTCAAATCACTGCTCGCATGCTCACAACCTAAAACGAAATAAAAAACGACGACAATGCAATATGCGGTATGCTAAGCATCAGAATAATGAACCACATATACAATACTATGCGTTCTGATCTTTAGTGTTTTATGACATGTTCGGGACATGAATATCGCGTAGCACCATCATCCCCACAAACCCGTAGATAACCATTTTGATCTGCAATCTGCATGCTTATCAGTGGTTCATTCGACCATGGTGTCATTCTAACATATGTGACATTGCGTTAAATAAATCTCTAGTTCGAAACGTTGGCAACGGTGCACGTTACATATCTCTGGGAACTTTTGTTCTCGATCGTGAAATTTACGCACCATGGCAAAACTTGGTTATCTCTTCACACAAGCTTTTTAAGATCCGGAATTTCCCTGTGATAGGCAATGTGCAATATCATGTATGAATCCATGTGATCGCTGAATGCCTCGCTTTCGATATGGACACATAAACGTTACCATTGTATCACTCATCTGCCCCTTTCAACCTTAATTTGCCGGCTATTCCAAGGTTATACTGTATTGCAAAATCTTTCCGAAAAGCAAAACTGAAGGTTTTATAATAATGCTTTGTGGATCCATGGTACTGTGATCCCATTGATTGACTATTGAGTTTTTTGTCACTTTTGCAGCTCTAACGCTTGACGATGATTGCCATACATAAAACTGTTTATCTTTGCCACGCATGTATAGATAATTTTATGATGAAGTGAGTTTCAAGACACTACGCGCAGGCAACTTTGTTAGAATCATGCAGAGTAAGATCAAATCAATAGTATACACGCCTTTTTCGGACTTGCCATCAAGCTTCAATAGTCCCTCTTCTGCGATCATTTGCCAAATAGTGATTCGTAACATGCTAAAAATATTGGCACCTTGACGCTTTACGAAACATTGCATTTTTACAAGCACCTATGTTTGCAATTTTCGTTATGCTTCTGAACTGTTAATCGTCGTGCTATGCCTCAATTTTGGTGATCCTTCTTGGGAATTAAAATAACGTTTACAACTATCTAGGGTTCAAAAATATGGAATATCTAGTTGGCACCATTTTGGTACGCTCGCTCGCTAAAAAGAAATAATCAACAAAATAAATAGCATCAACTGTATCGCTCCCATTCTCTCGCTTGGTATTATACATCGATGTGGCTATCTGCACACCGTATCCAGATTAGGCAACAAGTAACAATAATATAGAATTTAATTGGTCAAATTATCTCCGCCTGAAACTGAGGCGGAGCAAAAAAGAACGTCGCCTGCAGGATTCGAACCTGCGCGTCCAAAGGACAATGCCTTAGCAGGGCACCGCGTTAACCACTCCGCCAAAGCGACCTTATTGGTCGAAATATTTTTTATTTTTTAAGATCCTATATTACTTGCCATAAAAGGAAGTCACCAGAAATGCAACGAACTATATCTTCGCATCGTCACAGGTATCAAAAAGTCTATATAAAAAGCTTACAAAAAGGTGAAAAAATCTTTTGCTGTACCAGGAATATATAGAAGAATACGAAAGTAGATTTTTTCTTTCTGAAATGCTGCTGACCTTATACAAATCAGATTAGTTTTAAATTCTATCCATTGTTACAGAATTTTACTTCATTAATATAATTACCAATTTCTACTGCCCTGATTTTCCTCAGACTATCTTTGGATTTTTACAGTTATGTTTGCTTTCTTCGTTTGCCGATTTACCATTTTTCATCAACCACTTACAAAATTCACTTCATAACTGTAATCGCCGATTTCTGCTGCCCTGATTTTTTCTCAGACTCTTTTTTGATTTTTCTGCGTCTATATTCAGTTTTTGACCTACCGACGTACCATGTTCCCCCAACTGACATAGAGTTTTCCATTAGCCAGTGTATCGTTCTCCTTTAACTGATTCATCATTTTTACCATTGACCAATTAACCAAAAATTCTAGCTACAAAATAGTGTACCTTTATTGATATGGATGCTCTCATATTTCGATCTAAAATAACACACTAAATAATATACCAACTCATCTCCCCTGAGCTTCTTTATCAAGGCACTCAAGTGAAGTCCACTTTTTCTCTTTTTTTTTTCTGAGATTTTCAATCAGACAACAAAGATTAAATCGTCAGAATTTTTGCAGTACAGTATTAGCTCGGAATCTTGAGTGAGAACCAAATGCATTAAGATCGATGTATATTAAGTTGTTGTGTACATCATCCACTAAAAAAGAAAAAGAAAAAAGTATAAGACATACATTATATTGGGATCGAAAATCAATATATGCAAAGAAAAAAAAGTGCTGATGAGAATAGATGAAATGATGTGCTGATATGTTATTTGGTTCATTTCGAGTAAAAGCTGAGGGTCAACTGAATCCGTTCAGTAAAATGAAGATTATCATTAGATAAATGAGGGAACAGCAGAACGTAAGGAAGCGAACATTGTCAGAAACACAATTGGTTTTTGGTATGGTGGCCGGAATTTACGGCATCAGTTCGTTGCTGTTGTGTGAGCACCAAATATACTGTGGACGATGTATATCAGATCGTTTGAATGTATCATTCGTTGAATCGGGAAAGAAAAAGGAAGAATCAGAGAGACAAAAGACCTGTTACGTCTGAACCGGAAATTGACATGGTAAAGAAAGAAATAAATGCACTACTCTGAGCATCAAAAGGGATCGGATAGGTGGGTATAAATACTTTTTGTACCTATTAGCGTATTTATAGTTAAGGGAAACTATGCTAGATATTAGTTGATCAAGAATAAACACAATACATGAAAACGGATTACCAATAAGTGACAAAACGGAACATTAATTAAAGGGTGAAAAGGTACATCAAAAATTAAAAGCGAAACATCAACGCATGAAAAGTAGGGATTATGGAAATTACAATGAGAAATCATGACGACAATTTCAAAACGTCAACTGGCAAAGCAACGAACTTCAGAAGGTGAGATATTCAAAGGATCAGAACGCGGACATTGATGCATGAACAGCATGATAACAGTGAGGAACGTGCGTAGGGCAATAATGCACACGGTCATGCATTACGGCCACGGCAACGTGCGCGGGAATGGCCATGACCAAAGGATAATTTCCGATATGTCAGATGATTTATTATACACAATGAACACTGATCGGTGTTTATATGGTTCCTGAATAAATCACTTCTTTATAGGTGAATTTCCAATCGCTAACGGCGATTTCTTGGACTGAGGAGAAGATGATGACAACTAGAAAGAATATCCGGACTCATGGGAAGATGGATATTTTATGCCAAAAAAGGAGGTCGGATATGTAATGGATCTTGTTGAAAATATCAGTCATGACCATTCCCACTGTAATGCGTTGAATCTAGGCGAGAGAGCAAACGAAATGGTAGCGAGGTTAGGGTTTTTTCGGTTTGTTGGTAAGGCGATCGTAAATTGCTGTAGTATATATAGGTTTCAGTTAACGAGCACCAGATACATATGTGAACGGTATGCATCACATCGTAAAGTTCACGAACTCGACGAAGATAAAAAAGAGATAAAATAAAAACAAAAAGTCACGAAGAGCCAAAGGCCTTTGTTGCCTGACTGAAAATTCCAGTAAAAAAAAAAGATGCTCTTCAATTGAGCGCCTAAGTAAAGAAAACCAGAGGAGGGGGGATTTATCTCGTTAAGGCTATGCTATTTCTAGCTATGGTATGTGGTTGACCAGTCAATGGAAAATGATAGATCGGTGAATGGAAAACGGTACGTTGGCTGGCGAAAAATCAAACATAAGCTGGAGAAAATCGTGAGAAGCTCTGAGCTAAATCAGGGCAGCAAAGATCGACGGTCACAGACACGAAGTTGAATTACTGTACAGCAAAAACAAGACAGTAGATAGGAACTCGATGACTTTAATTCCACGGGAAGCAACAAAACAAGGCAGGACGAGATAAGAAAAGGGATCAGAAATCAGGACCGCAACAGGATAAGAGATGAATTTTTAACGAGATAATCTGATCGTTGTATGCAATATGATCAATCGCATATACGGCACAGACATAACCCTTGCAATATCTCCTTTGACTTGTAATACTTATGCAAAAGTTCTGATTGTTATTATCTTCTCTTGGCTCAAGATATCGTCCTTTCTATTGAAGCTCACCTTTAAAGGGACGATTAACCAGGAATCAATAAAATAGTTTTATCATTATATTCAAATAAAATTCGATCAATTATCTTGTTTCATACTCTAATCATTGTTTCTGTCATCATATCTTGTTTCCTTCAATCCGTCTTATTTCGATCTCTTCTTTTGGCTACTGCCTTCTATTCCTGATCATTCGAACTTCTAATGCTTATATGTCCCTGGGAAGCATTTGATACCATTATCTGCTCTTGTCCTACCTGTCCACCTGGCTAATTCCCCTTATCAGTTTGACACTATCAGTGTTCATTGTGAAATAAATCATCCTATTTTCACTCGGTCTCGTTGACATCTTGATTGCTTTTTAATGGACGGCGTCTAATTTCCCAGTTCAGCATGTCCGTTTTGCTGTTCTATACTATTATATTTTAACCTATCTTCATTGAACATGGACTATGGTATAACTATCAAACATATCTCGATTTGAATAAAGCAATCATTTATCTGTCTGTACCACAAACTTATATCTTGTTGATGTTCTCGGTTCTCTTCCCGATCCATCATGGCTATTCCATTGTTCTTGTCCTCAAGAACTGTCATCCTCTTCCTGCGTTTTAATCATTTCAAAACACCTGACATCTTCCAAAGCAGACGATGGTAGTCCTGTTGTATTTGTGGTTCCCGACGGATATAATGATGTGCTTTTTATTTCCCATCCTCCTTCAGGATATCAGTCTTGATAGTGAGGGACTACTGATTTTGGTAGAAAAGTATTTGTTTTATGTATAATGTATTAGCGGGCTGCGTAGTGATACCTGCACACACGATACCTTGACTATAATGCATGACCATGTACGTTATTGGCCCAAGCCTGCTGCTTACTGTTATTATTGATCAATTCACCCACAATGCTTCAGAATTTTAGACGCCAAAGATGTCTCGAATCGGTCGGAATATGTTGCGAATTAGTCGAAGTTCATATTATAATGGCCTGGATTTTGTAGGTACGCAATACCGACTCCATAGTGGATTGTGACCACCCGGTTGTCCATCATCTCCGAGGATTGTGGATATCACATCATCACTGTTAGCGAATTTTTATTTACTCTGTACTAGATTTTATTTGAAGGGTCATCAGTGAAATTAAATGCAATATATCAATTACACTTACTTTTCGACGAAGTAGATTGGGATCGACGGTGAACAGAAATGTTTTCAATTCTGCATATAACGCCCTAGTGCCCACCAATTGTATCAACACGATTACCACGTACATCTCGAAAACAGATGATGAAAAGTTAAAAATACATAATCTAGAACCGTCCGAGTGCTGTATGCGGAGTCATGCATCGAGTTTCTAACCTCACAGCTCGTTGTGAGCTTTGCTTTAGAGTCTTAGTTTCAAAGGTGCTCACGGCACTCACTCGGTAAGCAACCAAGCTACCGATCCAGAGCATGTTTACATAATCTATAGAGAAAAAAGAAATAAAGAGAGAAAAAAAAAGGCGGATAGAAACCATGGAAGTGACCGCCTCGGTTGATCTACAGCCCAATCACGGTGGTCATAGAATTGTACGATTTCCCGGCATCGAAACTATTTCCATTAAGTAAGCGATAGAACCGATCCAGGACCATCGCGGATTATACCTAATATTCTGGTGATGACAAGCCTACTCTTCCCTGTGCGAATTTTATAGTACCAAATTGCGAGGAATTAATTTCGCGCGGTATCTGCATATGATCCGACCCTTAGATACCAGACTGTGGTGGATTGGGTCATACAGCCGATAAGCAGAGCAAACAAAATATCCGATGCGCTGATACCAGGCTGAATCAATGGGTGTTTGTCTGCAGCCCAGGTTTAGGAGGACCAAGTCTTATCCAATCAGTCTGAAAGAACTATCGATTTCAGCCATCACCTGTGTGGTGTTTGGTAGTGAATAAAACGTAAAGATCAAGAAACAGGAAATCTTTTGAGACTTGGATTTATTTGAGTAACAACAGTTGATTATCGATCAATTATTCATTCTACGTCTGCTTATATAGTTTATGACGGATCGTCGTTTGAATTGTTCGTATTTAAGAAAACATTTATCTGTAGATATTGTCATTGAATGTCCTATGGACGAATGACTGAAGGAGACGATAATCTTTGAGACTTTTGGTGACGATGAGATGATGAGCTTGTGCATATAAATCGAGTGATTATTTTATGTCAAGGGATCGGTTCC